CCTGCTGCCGCAGGGACAAAAGAAATCTCGGAAAACACCGCTGATGCACTTTGAGGTTTCCTGAGTTTTAAAAAAATATACGTGTGTGAGAAGTGTGATTGCCTCTTTAGCGCCCCAATTTCAGCGACTTCACTGGAGGGTGATCTCGCCCGATGGCGCAGTGCGCTCATCAGGTCAGGAGCAGGGTCTGTGAATACCAGCAAATTAACTTCGTCTGGAGGGATGGCGCGCAGGGGGGCGGACGGCCATCAAGGCCTGGGGTTCCCTCTGGCAGTTCTTGCCGGGATGAGCTGCCTCTCCCCCCTCAGATGTGAAACACAGAGGTGCCTGCATTACACATAAGGGTAGAGAACAGAACTTTTTTCCATCAAAAGCCACGAATCAATCAGCCAATCTTATGATCTCACTACAATTGAGCCAAATTCTCTTGAACCGATGCCCTGGTCCTGAGCTTCTCCGAGACCTGCTCCTTGTTTCTCTGAACGAAATTGAGGGCTGACCCCCATTAACAGAAACACAGAGGCAAGGCTCGTGGGTGCTGATGCCCTGCACCCAGTTTGTCCTTGCACCCAGGTCCGTTTCACCCAGACCTGCTGACACTCCACTCGGGATTCAACTCCGCGGAGAAGAGAGGGTCGTGGCCAGCTCTCCCGGTTTCCCTGCCGGTGACAAGGCCCCTCCGTGGTACGAAGCTGCGCGCCAGGGGCCTCAGTTACCTTTTTATGTCTGTTTCTCAGAAGGCAGATGGTTCGTAACTAGCAACTTCAATTTTGCCCAGAACCCCGGCAAATGGTCTTCGAACAGAACTGGGCAGTAGCTTTTCAAAAGTCACTGCTTTGTCATTTTGCTCTGTGTCTGTCTACCCAGCAGACATTTAACAGGTGACCAGCAATGACGTTGGAGGTGAATGTGAGTTGCATCCCATGCTCAGTGGGCATTTGCCGCATGTCTGGTGCTCAGTACTCTGTGCCCATTGGTGCTTTTCGTCCTCACGACACCCTGGGAAGTGTCTCTCTGAACTAGTCCCACTTCATCGACGAGGAGACCGGGGCCACGTTAAGGGAACCCACTTGCTCAAGGATGCAGAGGAGAGAAGTAGTGATTTAGTCCCCGGTCATCAAACTCCAGGGTCCTCGACAGGCTCCTGGCAGTGGCCTTGTTCAGCAGTGTCCCCTCCCAAGGGAACTGGCCGGAGCTGCCAAAATGAAGACTCACCTGGGTGTCCTCTTTGGTTCCTGGCAGGGCGGCCAGCATCTCCCGATTCCTTACCAACGCTTTTCCATTTCACCCCGAGGGACCTCATCTCCTCTTACTGCCCAGCCGAGGCCTGTGTACATCTTTTCCATGTGCTTAACACATGTGCGTATGTATTGAAAACACATGTCTAAGACCCTCTGAGAAATACCTGTAGCGGATCCTGGGGGCTATGAACAGAAGTAATGTACAGGGTCCGGCACTAATAATCCCCCTTTTCATTACAAAACCATAGGTGTGTAATTCTGTAACATAACAATATCACACTCAAGCACACTGTATGAACACTTTAGGTGAAATGTTCACATTAAAACTATAAGTTATTACACCCATGTTATTACCATACTGACCACACTCAAGCAGGCCTTCCTTCTGCTGCACCCCACGCTCTGTAACACAGTGGAAAATATAGAAACGGTGTAAAAGATGAGTGAAAAGTGGGGAGCTGGGAGGTGGAGCTGCCTGAAATGGAGGGGCGTGGCCGGGACCCAGAAGCAGAGATGTAACAGGTGGTGCGGGTGAGTAGCTGCGACATCAAGTATGTGCTTGTCTCCAAAATGCCAGCTCCCAATTTGCACTCGAAACCTTTCCCCACACGTCCTGTGATTAAGAAGAAGGCCATGCCCAGAGCCCGACATGAAGCAATGAGGTCACTCTTGGACGGCAGGGTGGCTTCGACGTCATCAGAAACACGGGGTGGGAAGGATTCAAAATGCTGTAAAATCAGCCTCTGTTACGAATGAACCATCAAGGTGGTCGCAGCCAAGTTGTCGCAGCCAAGTGGTCGTAGCCAAGTTGTCGTCTCTGAGGCCCCTGGTGGCCCAAGAAAAGCCGAACTGCTTGTGGCTGGTGGACTGGATGATGGGGGAGTTCCACGGGGTTAAGGGCTCAGGCTGGCCCTTCATTCTCCGCTTTGAACGGCAGTGAGCTCCCCGCATAGCCACAAAGAAAAGGGGGAGACACTCAGGATTCCAGCAGGAGAACCAGGGGTGAGGAGAGGACGTGGTATTTAACACACTCAGGGTGTGAGAAGGTCTGGCAACCTGGGGCTGTGAGAACTGCAATCCGAAGACCCAGGTTCAAGTTCTCCTTCCCCCGTGCCAGCTTTGTGACCTTTGGTGTGTCCCTAACACTCTCTAAGCCTGTTTCCCTATCTGTAAAATGGGGACCATGAAGTTAGAGCTGAAAGCTAATTGAAATAGGGCACCAAAGCAGGACCCTTTAAGCGAACGCGATTGTTGTTCCCCACGACTTGCATTTTCTGCTCGGACGCGTGGTGTTTCTCCTGCTGGCTCAGCCCTGCACCTCCTCAGACGCCCCCGAAGGGGTCCAGTGAGCACTGTGCCTGCTGCTCATTTGAGAGCCGGAGCCCAGGGACTGTCCCAGCTGACCCCTTCTCATCCCTCCCTGCACTTCCCCTCACGATGACAGGAACTCTCGGGCATGTCTCTTGGACACCGTGAGCACTTCAGGGGCCCGAGCACTCGTTTGGCCTCTGTGCCTTTGTGCCCTGAGGCCGGAGTCCACACGCCACGTCACGCCTGCCTCGGGCTCCGCACGCAGCTGCTGCGCACCGTGCTATGCCCAGCCGGACCAGGGCGGCCCGTCCTGGCCCACGCTCACAAGTTCAATTAGAGATAGTCTTGTTAAAAATCAACCGTTAAAGGAAAAGCAGGCCTTGGGTTTTATAGCATGAAACAATTTTAAGCAATAAGCTAATGGTAATTGGGTGCATGCGTTTCAATGTCATTTCAAAGCATTTACCACTTTGAACAAAGAGAAGTTTTTTTACACCCACATATGGCAGAAGCCATATTCAGTAAAATCTTTACCTTATAGTATTCATAAAATCTTTACAGCGAAAGCCTTATAAGCCTGCATGTTTGGATATTGTCATTATTGAAAGTTGGTAAATTGACATGTACAGAATGGGGCAAAGGAAGCTTTACCATTGTTCATATGGAAGATAACACGGTGATTGACAGACACCAGTGCAAGGATGAACTGTGTTTCGCACACTCACGACTGTACCCTGACTTCTGCCCGCCTGGGCCTCACCGACCAGAGCAGCCCTGCCGCGGCGTCGCCCGGCAGGAGTGTCGCCTCTGGGTGTGCTTGTCAGGAAGGGCTCCCTGCCAGCAGGAGGGGTGATGCTCCGAGGGCCTCAGAAGCAGGAGGCCCAGGTGTGAGTACTCGGAGGAAGAGCAGACGTACAAAGGGGTCGATAACCTCTGCCTGCCCTTTAAAACCCTCTTCTTGTCCAACAACTGAAATTCCCACCGTGGGCTGGGCACACGGACCCTTCGTCACGCCGCTCTCCCCACCACCCCCGCACAGGGTCTCATCAACGTGTCACCTGCAAACCCCTTTGACAAGGCACTGCACTTGCAGGGCGAGCAGGAGGGATCCACTGTTTGCTCATGTTCCCTCCTGGCCGGAACCCCTGCCCACCCCCCTTCCCAGCTGGGCCAGGGCTTCTGGAGCACTTACCCTACCCCCAGTCCAGAGTCAGCCGTGTCAGAACCCAATGGGCACTGCTGGACGTCATTTGGTGGGGCTCTAACACATACCCTTGGAAGTCACGGGCAAGTGCCACGGAGTCAAGCCCAGGAATTTAAGCTGCCACAGTGTGTTCAGGGCTGTCCCAGGTGTGGGGAGCAGAGAGGACTGTCAGGCACGGTCCCTGCCATCTGAAGCTGTGATCCCAGGGGAGCAGGTGCGCACAGTGGCCATCCTCTCCAGCAGGATGCGGGGACTGCTGCAGGGGGACTCCCCAGAGGAGGGGCCTGGGAGCTGGAGATGGAGGCGGAAGGACTCTTCGGTCCGAGCGGCCCGGTGGCAGTCTGGGTGGGGCCTGGGAGCAAGAGTAAGACTGATCCATGTAGGTGACGGGAGAGGGCCTCTCAGCGCGCTCTGGGTTAGCAGGGTGGCCAGGCGCAACCTAGGTCTGGGCGCTTAGAAAAAAGTTGGCTGCTTACCCGACCGAGTCTGTCGCTGGTGCCTTAAGGTCGACTGTCTGTTTTTATTCCTTCGTTTCTCCCGCCGGGACTGAAAAAGTGTTTCTTGGTGTAGTGATAGAGTTGCCGAAATCGTTGTAAATTGTGTTTTTTGGTCTGTTTGCAGCCCCAAGAAGCCCTTCACAGCAGTGCTTTCATTATCCTTCCTGCGACCTTCCCACATCACGCCCGCGTGTTTGTGTGCGGAGCAGCCCCTGCTCTGTGGCCGAGATGCCCCGTGGGAGCTTGTGGGTCTCAGGCCCGGGAGGGGCAGGAGGCGCAGGTCAGAGGGAGGAAGGGGGTGCCCAGAGGCTGAGCCAGAGAAACCAACCAGCCTACCTGGTGGGGAAGTTGCAGATGGTGACAAATCATTTCTGAGTGTTAAAAAAAATGAACAAAGCAAGCCCCTGAGACACTAGGGAAGTTAAGCGACGGGAGTGAGGGAGCCTGGTGACAGGAAAACTTCACGTAGGAGGGTTGTCAAGAAGCCTCAGGACGAGTCGGATTAGGTTCAGAGACTAGACCACAGTGAGAATACCAGCTTGATGCTGAAACTCAGTATTGACAGCTAATGTGGGAAATGTCTCATTTCAAAGAGACCAGTGTTGGTCTCTTTCTGTTTCTTGCTAAACTGGAGGTGACACCCAAGCCATCGCCACTTCCCCCACTGGAACCCTAGGACACGGCCCCTGTAAATGTCGGAGCCCCCGGTGGACAGTGATTGACTTCCCTGTGCTTCCCCCGTGACAGGAAACAGCAGGAGCGTCCCGCCGACCTACGGATTCCGCCTGTCCCCCGAAGAAGAAACGAGGAGAAGACGGCTTCACAGATTTGACCACCAGTGAGGACACCCGGCATCTTGGGCCGACGCACTCCAGGGGTGTAATCATCGTCCGTTTGGTGCATCCCCCCAAACCCTGACCCACTCCTAACAGAGGCAGAGAAGCAGTGTTCACTCCGGGCTGCCCTGTCCTGCTGCTGCTCCCGCCCTTGGGCCGAGGCCGCTCCCCTGGCCTTGTTTTTTCTCACCAGCCAGGTCCGTGCCTCGGCGCAGGGACAAGTGTCCACAGTCCTCTCTTTCCCTGCTGACCCAGCGGTGCCTCTGCCTTGTCTTGTTCTGAAGACAGTGACCTTCACCTTCAGTGACCTTCGCCCCGAGATTTGCTTTCACTGACCCCAGAGATCAGGCTTCATTCTGCCTGGAGAACACTCCCCCCCACCCCGTTCGGCCCTGTGGGGGGTCAGGAGCCGCGCCTTGTCCTCCTGGCACACTGCCAGGTGACTTTCCAGGGACAGGATGTGGCCAGCGCAGCACTGTGTTCTAGCCAGTCTCCTTTGTGCAGGACCCCAGCTCCTTGGTCCCCTGCATCCTGACAGGGGTGCTTGGTTCAGTCTCATGCGGCCCTGCCTTGCAGACTGGGAAGCCCAACTGGGAAAGCTTCGGTCGCACCTCGGGGCAGGGAACCACACTCCTGGGTGTCCAGTAGCACCAGCACTCCAGGCAGCCTCTCCAGTGGCATCTATGTCCCGAATGGGACTCGCGTGTCACCTGGCAGCAAAGGGGCCACACGTAGAATGGGGCCAAGATGTGCAGTGGGTGTGTCACTGAGAAATGGCTCTCGAGGGCGTTGTTTCTTCACAAAAGTGCCTTTTCCCTGGTCACTGTGAGAGGCTGACGGCGCCCCAGGCCCCCCTCCCCCGCCAGGCCTCGGCAGCGCTGTCCGTCCAGGTCCCCTAGACGTTGCCTGGTGCTTGCTTCTACAGCCAAAGCACACTCCTGTGCCACTGATGTCTTAGTCACTGAGATATTTATTTTTAAAGAGTTAGAAACAGAAAAGGATCCTTGTATTTCCACTTATCTAGCACTTATGCAGAGTTTTCTGATTATGAAAGTATTATAATATACAGTTCCCTTGTTTATGCATAAAGCAAACATATTACAGAAGAAAATAAGCCACGTGTCAGCCGAGGTTATTTTGGGGAGTGGAGTAGTAGGATTTTGCTTTCCGTTTTTTATAATTTTGTATTCACTCTTTCAAAAATGTGTGTACATGTATGTGTGTGTATTACTTTTGCAACAGGATAACTGATTCATATGATAATAAATCAAGAAACATATAATCAGGAAAATGGACTAAATAAGAAAATTCCCTGTATGAACAGAAAGACAGATAAATGGACCTGCGATTTGAACATCGCCAGAGGCTCACCACTCACAGCGCCCAGGGTCAGTGTTCTCGGGCAGCGCTTGCCTGTTTTTCTTTTCTACATTTGACAAACGGGGAGCGTCCCCACTATGCAGCTTAGGACCCCGCCCCCGACCTGAACGGACCGGAGAGGCTTCGGCACTTACGCATAAATGAACTAAGGAAACCACTTGATGCCGGGAGCCCTTCGCCCTTCCGTCTGGCACGGTGCGGCCTGGGCTCTGGGGGTTGATTTATCATCGAGGGAGAGCTGTAGCTTGTCTGTAATAGGAATTGTGTCTGTGACCCCGGCACCTTTAAACGTGTTTAGATTAAAACGTCCAGGGCTCATGCTGCCCCTCCCTCCCCTGAGCCCTGCACTCCGGACTCCCGTTCTCCCCACGGGGAGCAACGCCCCGCCACTCGTCATCTGCCGACAGCATGCTGACCAAGCAACCTGGGAGAACGCGTGTGTAAGTCGTGCTCAGCATTCCTGTGCACAACCGCACAGACGCGTGCCTCCCACACTGGAGCGTGGGTCATGAGCGGCTGTAGGACTGGGCCCACATCTTGTCTGCCCTTCTACACTCTCCCCCTCTGCCCCTCCCCCGCTCAACTCCAGCCCTGAGTCCCGGGGCAGCTCAGGGAACGTTAGTTTCCCATCGGACTGCTTTTTCAATGCATTGAAAGTCTACTGCATTTTGCTGCGTATAATGTGCACCCATGTTTTTGTGCATCATCATACATGGGATTATTATACCCATGGTACATAATCATCATATCCATGTATAGTTATTTTTCCCTCAGAAATTTGGGCAAGAAAGTGTGCATTATACACAGCAAAATATGGTAATCACTTGGCTCGGAAGTGTGTTTTTTATTGCCGTCGAGTTCAAGAACAGCAGCTCCGTCCCTGCCGTGTTTGGTCGGACGTGAAGACACCGGGACCGGATTTGACTGTGATATGGAGGACCTTACGGTAACGTGCACGCCGTGTTTGTTTGTGGAGTGGGACATCCCTACACTTGAGCGATGCGGGAGAGGTCATTTTACTCATAAGTATAAACCGATTATCTTAGCACAACAGTAAAGATGTTCTGGAAATTATGGTAATTACTTTGTTAACAGATTTGCCTGTAACCAGGGTGAATTGTTTTTAAGGTTCATCCTATGTGTGATCTACAATAAGGAATCCCCAGAGTTGTGCGAACAAACTTTTTGTTTTCCTGAGGAAAACAAAGGTTCTAAGTGTAACTCTGTGTCGCGGGGACCAAGCGCATAGAGCTGGTTTCCAAATTTGACTTCTTTGCTTAGCAGCAATTTCTTGACTGTCTGCTCAACATCCACTTCTCACCATTTAGCCGTGGTCAGTCAGCTGGTGGAGTCTCTCAGTTCGGAATCTTGGTTCTCAGGACGAGGGCCGGGTTCAAACGGCTTCCCCTGAGCGATCGGACGCGTTGCCTGTGATGGCCAAGCAGTTCAGGGCTGCTAGGATCAGGCCTGGGCCACACCTTGGGCGTCTGTTCTGCCGCCTGGGGAGTGAGTCAGCAAAGGGGCGAGATCTGCCACCAACGGGCTGGGAGACAGAGGGTGTGTCCAGCCTGGCTTCCTCGTTGTCAGCCTTCATTTCTCTGCAGAGACTCAGTATTCAGTAAAGAAATGTATTCAATTAGTCATTTTTTAAAAACCTAGCATTTCTTCCTTTGTTTTCCCATAGATTATTACAGTCATTTTCTATATGTTTTTGCCCCCGTCTTCATTTTAGAATCACAGACTCTATGTAGAAGGACTTTATAATCTCTCAGTTCACTGCTCTGCTCAGCAGTGACAAACAATACGCCTGCCCTCGATTCTACGTAGCCCTGCCTGTCAATCTTCCCAAACGACTCCTACACCATCACCCATCAGCGCCTGCCTCCCTCTGTCTGTTGCCCAAAGATACAGGTCACACTCACTGGCCCCAACCATGGGGAGTGCCAGCCAGCCTTTGGGCCTCCTCCCACTTATCCAGAAGAGTCTGAGCTTGTGCTGACTGGTCTCACTGCCTCAGCTATGAGTTTTCCTCATTTTTTGACCGAATTCTTCATGTGCTTTGACGTGGGACCACCTCTCTCTGCACCCATCCAGATCCTCCCTGTCCTGCCCCAGACACCACAGCCCAGAGGGGGTCTCACGCGCCCCCATCCGATCTACTGCTCTTGTTGGGTCTCCGGCAGTGTCCACAGGCCCCTTGGAATTGCCTGTTATCCTCAGTGGGGGGCAGCCTTTCTCTCCAGGTTGTAAGCTTCACGGGAGCAGGGACCACGTGTGTTTCTGTGTGTCTCCGTGCACTTTGAACAGGGCTTCATCTGCAATAGCGAAGCAGTAAGTGTTCGTGGAAGGAAACCGAGAGCGGCCCCTCGATGCCGTCAGCACCGGAATGTGTGAGATGCGCCTGTTGCTTGTGGACATTGTTGGGCCCTCTGCTCCCCCCCCGAGTCGCATCCAGGGGAGGGGAACTTGAAGGGATGCATTCCCCCCAGAAAGAGAGAATTCGGGGCCCTTCCCGAGGCTTCATAAGATGACAGCCCTGCTGATCGTGTGGTGGGGAGACATCATGAACCTGTGTCACTTGGAAGGCGCACCCCACTTCATGGAACACTGAGACCGGGAGCACAACCGAAGATTCCAGCTTGTCTGACAAGCGTCACCTTGGAGTCCCTGGGAATACCCCCACCCAGCCCTTGCGCCCTGTGGGTAGGGTTTGATACCTGTGCTGGCACTTTCTTTTCTCCTCTGGAATTAAGGGCAGAGGGGGAGTGACCTTGACATTGTGTTCCAAAGGCGGGCATGAACTGGCAGACTTGAAAACACAATTCATACCTTATCAAGGAAAAGTGAAACATCGCTAATAGAAATCATTGAATTTGCTGGTAAGACATATTGCTTCCTAGGAGGAGAAAGGCGTCAGAAAATCAGTATTGTGTGGCATGAAGAGGCTCTTGGGATCTGGGGCAAAACCTGAGAAACAGCCTGTGCCACATGGCGCCCTGCACACAAAGCCTGGCCTAGGTCCCTCCTCTGGCCAGAACCCACTGGCCAGGGCGTCTGCCAGGAAGCTGACGTTCTTTTGTTCTCATGGCAGTTCCCCCGTAAATACCTGCAGGGAGGTGCTAAAACCAAATCAAACCACAAAAAGTCTGCGACTTCATAGATTTTGGGTATTTATTTGAGGTCCTTAAAAGTTATTGCTTACCTTTAATCTTGAGATGCTGCCTCTTTTTATAAGATTCTCTACCCTAACGATTAAAATTAGACCGATCCCAGGGGCTTACGACCAGCAGCTGTGCCCGTCAGAAATGGGCCGGCTGGCAGGATCAGATGCGTGAGTTGCCATAGTTACTCCTGCATCGTGAGAGCAGAATACACGGGGATCCAGCCTGCACGCATCGTCCCGGGAATGGACCCGCCATTCACCATGTGCCCTGGAAAGCAGACGGAGTGCTTTGCCACCAGAAGAAAATTTTACCCCCAGTTTTAAAGCTTTCCCTAGCTTTTCCAGCCACATAGATTCCATTGATAACTGGATGAGACTTTTGTGTTAAGCTGATAAAACCATACCCATGAAGCGTACAGTCATCAAGGATGCAAGCCACGTCCCACAGTCGTGTGTCACAGGAAGCAGTCCCTTGCTGGCCAGTGGAGAATTAACAATGGCCCAGTTGGCTGGCACTGCAGTGACCGAGCCGCCAGGTGGGGGGCCTCCAGGTGCTTCTTTCTCCAGCTCAGAGCAGTTCTCCAGAGTGGCTGATCTTGGACAGCACAGGGCTCCCGAGCCCTGGCTGGTTTGCAGGTGACCCTGCAACACAGGCCTCCCGGGCTCCCCCCAGATCGCCCTGACCTCATGGTGCCCTGCCCTGTCCCTCCAAGGGCAGCCTCAGACTGTCTCCGAGCCACATGGGGCAGGCTCCCTAGGGGCTCCTGGCAGGGCCTGGCAGGGACAGCATCAGCTCAGGGCCCCAGAGTGACATCTCTGTAGGACCCTCTACTTTCTAAGCAATCCATGAACCAGGAAGCTCATGGGAAGAAGCACAATGCGGTGTCCCCTAGAGCAAGTTACTTATTCTCTCTAAACCTCAGCCTCCTTGCCTGCAACAGGGGAGAGGAGTGCTTGAGAGGGAGCATATGCAGCAGGGTTAATGCAGTTCACTCACCCAATTCCTGAGAACAAATAGCTCACGAAATGTTCAGTATCGTTACATCTCTCAGGCAAGAGGTTGGGCCAAAGTCCACTGACCTTGCCCCCTAGTTAAAAGGAGTCACTCTGTGAAACAGTCATTGCCTGCCTGCCCTGCACCTGTGTGCACTGGGTTACGGGAGACTGTAATCACGTCCTAATCCCCAGCTCCCAGTTGCTACGCTTACCAGCAAGAGTGCGTTACACTGGAGCCTCTTTGTAGTTGTCTCTTTCCGTTGAAATCCTGAAATCCTCAGAACAACACTGTGAAGCAAGCAGTCTCATTCTCCTCCAACTAATGGGGAAACTGAGGCCCACAGGGTGTGCACCCCAGCCCACTGCCCAAGCTGCACAACGGGGTGATGTGGACCCCTGGCCCTGGGACCTGGTTGCCTGCCCACCCCCCACCCCATCACTGGGCGCAGGACACTGCTTCCTGCAGCCTGGGAATCCCATCCTCTCCCTAGCAAAGGGGGTCAAGTTCTAGGCCCCCACACTCTTCACGTCGGTGGCACACATTTCCACCACGTGAGCCCTCCTGTTCTCCCCACTAAGCCAGCTGCAAGGAGGCCGTATTTCAAGATAGGGGAAAAAACAGATTCACTTTGGCTTGAAAGAAAATAAATGCACCAGATCCATCGCGGTTGTTTTGGGAGGTCATCACAGAACTTTATAGATAATCAATGATATTAAAAATTGTAATACAACAAAGACGTAAGTGTCAATAGCAGACCAGGCACCTTGCAAATGGGACATGTTAAAAGTCTTTAACTTTACAACCATAGGTTAGAGAAAGGGATGCAATTTATTGGACTTGTTTCACATTTTTCCTATGAATCATTAAATATTTAAGCACCATAAAATTCCAGCATCTTGCAGGGCTGTGGCAGCCAGGCCCTGGTGGTTTCCAGCGCATTATGCAGACTCTCTTGGGAGATAATAACAATGACAATCGCGGAGTCCTGATTTTTCATGTCAATTGTTTTGTTTCCGGCAGAACTTCCTGCTAATGGCGCTGCAAGAATCGTGACTTTTGGGTGTGTGGTATAGTAATTTTAAGAATTGACATAAATAGCATTTTCAGATGCTAAGAATTGGCCAGGTTTCTAATTAGTCATTTATATGTGAGTGAGACTCATAATTCTATGTTAAAAAGAAACAAATATTTTTCATATTAAGTGGTTTGTTTTAAATAGAACATGTGACCATAATCAGTGTACAGCGATTGCTGTGTATTAGCCATGCAATCAAACTTCATTTCCGGTGCGAGAGTACGTGCGACACCCCATTTTATTCATGAGAAAAGAGGGGCCCAGGGAACTGGTGTAACTCACCCAAGGTACCAGCAGAGAGTGCCTGGGCCAGATTCAAACCTGGGTTCAACCAGCTTGAAGGTCCACATTTTCCCACTCTCCTTAAAACCATACCAAATAAAAGTGACGATCATCCAATTAGTGTGGTGAACTCACGGAAACACAAACCTAATGTGCTTCTCTGGGACCCACAGAATGATCTGCTTCACTGTCATGTCTAAGAGGCTCAAAGTACAATCTTCGGGGAGCTCCAGTCATCACGCACCATCCCGCTGACTCTTCCTAAGCACCAGTGACATGGGCACCGAGCTTGTAGCGGAGACCTTGTACTAGGAAGCTCTCACACCTCGAGAGAGGACAGGGTTCCTCCCGAGTCAAGTCATGTCCCATTTCCATGAAAAGTCTTCTCTCAGCCAAATCTCTCAGATCCCATCTGTGCAATTTCAGTTTCTGCAAAAACAGCTAGCTCTTCTCCAGGAGCAGGTGATGGTTCAAGTTTATCAATTGGCTTCCTGTGAATGGTCGTGAGAAGAGATCAAGGCTGTGCCCATAGGTTGTCACCTTCAAAGACTTCGGAATAAGAAATGGTCGATGCTGGTTACCATTTTGCTAATGAGAAGCCCAGGTGCAGAGCAAAAGCTCTAATGCCTTGTGGTGCCCACTGAGTTGTCAGTGAAAAAAGAACTGTGTTGACATGGGCTCAGCTCTGAGTGGGTACTGGGCACACAGGTGAGTGGAGCCTGGTCCTGCCCTGGCAGGTACGGACAGGGAGGGGCTTACATTCTAGCCAGAGAGAGAAGGAAGTGTGATGAGACAGGACAGGAGCCATGGGGGGATGGGAGCCCGTGGGTGGGCAGCTCCAGGTCTCCTGGAGGAATTCATAGACGCTCCTCTTCCTCAACTCAGTCAGTCTTAGAAGATAAGGCATTGGCTGTCGGGTCAGTTTCAGGGGGGTCAGGGAGGCGTCACTGGTAGAAACAGCAGGAGCTTCAATCTCAGGTGCTCAAAAACATGTAGCATACCATAGCACGGTTTAAAAGAATCAATAAGTGGGTTGCATGAACTCGGGACATCCAGAAAGCATTTCATCTCAAAGTATACCCTTTCCTTCTTACTAGGAAATATTCTTAAAATGCATTGTCATCCAGGGACACCCCTAACAAGACCCATGGGAAGTGTGTTCTGCTCATAAGGGCACATTCACCGTCAGTGTTCCACATGGCAAATATTTCTTATAAACAAACTTCTGATTCAGTTTTCCTCCTCTCAATTATTTGTAAGTGCATTGAAACTAAGCACTAAAATGTGTCCCTTTCTCATGAGAAATGTCTTTCATTTTCTCTAAAATGACATTTTTTATAAAAGAGAAAGACAAGTTTCCTAAAAATCTTTTTCAACCAGCCTTTTTTTAAAATTTATTTTATTGATTATGCCATTACATTTGTTCTATTCCCCCCCCTTAATTCCCCTCCACCCAGAACACTCCTCCCCCACCCATCCCCCCCCCTTTAGTTCATGAACGTGTCTCCAGTTCTTTAGATTCTATATTTCCCCTACTATTCTTACCCTCCCCCCTATCTATTTTCTATCTACGGTCTATGCTACTTATTCTCTGTACCTTCTCCCCCCTTCTCCTTCTCTCACTCCCCTGTTGCTAACCCTCCATGTGATCTTCATTTCTATGGTTCATTCCTGATCTAGTTGTCCTCTTAATTTGCTTTTGTTTTAGGTGAGGTTGTTAATAACTGTGAGTTTTCTGTCCTTTCACTGTTCATTTTTTTAATCTTCTTTTTCTTAGGTAAGTCCCTTTAACATTTCATGTAATAAGGGCTTGGTGATGATGAACTCCTTGAATTTGATCTTATCTGAGAAGCACTTTAACTGTCCTTCTATTTTAAATAAAAGCTTTGCTGGATAGAGTAATCTTGGTTGTAGGTCTTTGGATTTCATGACTTGGAATACCTCTTTCCCGTCCCTTCTTGCCTGTAAGGTCTCTTTTGAGAAATCCACTGACAGTCTGATGGGAACTCCTTTGTAGGTGACTGTCCCCTTCTCTCTTGCTGCTTCTAGGGTTCTCTCCTTCATTTTAATCTTGGCTAATGTAATTATGATGTGCCTTGGTGTATTCCTTCTTGGGTCCAACTTCTTTGGGACTCTCTGAGCTTCCTGGATTTCCTGGAAGTCTATTTCCTCTGCCAGAATGGGGAAGTTCTCTTTTATTATTTGTTCAAGTAAGGTTTCCACTCGTGACTGTTCCTCTTTCCCTTCTGGTACCCCTATAATTCGGATGTTGGAATGTTTAAAGATGTCCTGGAGGTTCCTAAGCCTCTCCTCATTTTTTTGAATTCTTGTTTCTTCATATTTTTTTGTTTGGTCATTTTTTCCTTCCTTCTGGTCTGCTCCCTTGATTTGAGTCCCAGTTTCCTTTCCATCATTATTGGTTTCCTGTACATTTCCATTTATTTCAATTAGTTTAGCCTTCATATGTTCCTCTAATTTGTGACTAAAATCAACCAGTTCTGTGAGCATCCTGATCACCAGTGTTTTGAACTGTGCATCTGAAAGTTTGGCTATTTCTTGGTCGCTTGTGCACCGCTCAGTGCACTGCTCGGTTCGGGGAATCGTTTTTGCCCGACCTGCTCTGCTGCTGGCTTCGCCCCTCTCACAGGTTTAGCTGAGTGGTTCATTGTTTTCGGACTCCGTAGTGTTCAATTTTCTGTGGTTTGGTTGCGTTTATTGTTGTTAAAACTTTGTTGTTTTTAGATTTGGTTGTGCGAGGAAGCAAAGTGTTTCCACCTACGCCTCCATCTTGGTGGAAGTCCTCAACCAGCCTTTTGATAGTTAGGATTAGACCACTGAGACCGCAACAAAACAGAAAACATATTCTTTGCTATTCAGAACACTACTCATTATACATTGACATAACTTCTAAACTTTTATGGGAAATACTAATACCAAATGTCACACTGCTTCCTTGGTGTATAATACTGACAGAAAATAAAAGGATGTTTTTTTTTAAACTGGAAAAATAGGAGGCTCTTGTGAAAATCAGTAACTGGAACATAAAATTCAAATGGTAGGTTGTCCGTGTTCCATTTAGAGATAGCGCCATGTCTTCCTGGGAGGGTGACTGAAACTTCAATGAATCTTCTTACCTAAGTTTAATTAAGTCAGCCCTTAATTTTCTCCCAAGTGCATAATGATGGCCCTGTCACTTCCCCATGGGAGCGGCTATTATGCACAGGAGGCAGAGTGTCCACTGTGGGCTGTGAGCCAGCTCCGCAGGGGCAGCTGGGGAGAGCCAGACGCTTTTGTGAGCCACATGAGGGAGCCCCATGTGGCCGCAGGCCCATTAGCACACACACACACACACACACCAAGGACAGGCGGGACTCCGGCTGGGGAAACGCCGTCCGCTGGGAAGTGCACTGCCATGGGAAGTCAATTTTTGTGAATCACGGTCTTAATATTCATTAATAGCTTTTAGGCTCTTAATCCCTTATTGAATATATTTTTTCCATAATTGCTACTTTTCAAAAGGGTTGGCAGAGTAGGCATGTCTATTCTCTGAAAAGCGCAGGAGAGAGCATAATGTGGTGCGTGCATCGGTAATGCATTTATGCTAATGTCACATCTCTGGGTACAGCGACTGTGGTCCTTTCTGGCACAGCGGTGCATTCTGCTTTGAAACGAACTGTTAACGCTGGCTGTGCGGGTTTGTTGGGGTTTTTTTTTTCTTTTTAAATCTCCTTGGGTCATGGTTTTACAATTATTTAAAGTGCATGAAAAAAAAATAGGTTACAGAGGAAATCATTTTGAGATGTTGGAGATCTCTCCTTTCCAGTTTCATTTGTTGGCCTATTTATTTTCTCCTGTAAAATGCATCCAGAAGCCCCCTGGATCACAGGGTAATTGACTTCAGTTGTTTGAGGCGCTATTAACCAATGCATGGAGTTTTCAGTAAATGTAATTTGTGATCTGCCGTCTATTTGCCTTCCTGTGAATTAGCCTTTTTATACATATAAAGAAAGCCAGCTCTTCTACCCCCCCCTTGGTAAAATAAGGGTATCTGGGTTTCTTCTAGGTTGGAGAGTCCAACCACATCCATACGGGCAGCGTTTGCTTAATCTGTCCAGCACAGAGCAGGGAAGTACAGTACCATGGGAATCACACCACGAGACAGCATGGACCGCCACCGCGGGTGTCTGAAACGAGCACCATTGCGTCTCCCAGCACAGCTGGATGACCGCGTCCCCCTGAAGGTCCTCTTGGCCTCACGGCGGAGTCTCAGGTTCTCTAGCTCACCTTCACACAGACCTGGCACCTGCTGATTTTCTGCCGCTGGGCCTGACTGTCTTTCAAGGTGTCCGGTGACGGTGCCTCAGCAAACTGCAAGTGTGGCTGGACCACCGTCAGCCAGAAGCTGTACTTATTGGCGAAAAAGTGGCAAGTCCCCTGCCGGCCTTGGCATTCTAGGAATGGAGCTGCTCTGAAGTCTTCTAGGCAGCTGCCCGGCGACGTGAGAGCCTGGCCTCCTCCTTGGTCCCCAGCTCCCGTGTGCTACCAGGACGACAAGAGAGAGTTAGGGCTCAGACACACGCAGGCAGCCGCAGACCCGGTCAGTGCCATGCCAAGGTCTGGACCCGACCTTACGGCTTTTCCCGAAATCATCCTGGAAAGGCCGAACGAGATCTGCCGAGGAAACCAGAACTAGGGACAGGCAGGTGTGCATACAGAATTAAGCCGCCCTCACCCAGGGCTCAATCACTTCCACCTTCTAAACTCCACCAGGTAGAAGGAAAAAGTAATGGACAGCGAGAAGAACGAACGGTTCCGCATGTCGGCAGGCTGGGTTTGCGGTGGCCTTTAACACCGCACGTCTTTCTGGGGACCCTGTGCACGGAGTTTGCAGAATCGCCGCCCTGACCGAAGGGACAGCAGAGGGGTTGACGGGACAGGGTGCGCAGGGACTCACCATCAGGAAGGAGTACCCGATCCAGAGGCTGCGCCAGGCCCGCGGGCACGGGGGGATGGACTGGTTCTGGCTGTGCAGCGCCACGGCCTGCGCCGGGGCCTCGCACACGGCGCAGCGGCTGATGTACGGGCGGATGTCCTCCTCCGACAGCGGCCTTGTGGGCAGCGGCGCGGCGCTGGCCAGCCAGTAGGACCGGTCATTTCTGCGGGCGTAGTGGCACACCTGGTGGATGTTGCAGTAGGCGAAGGGCAGCGTGCTGAACAGGGGCAGGCAGGACCCGGCCAGACCTTGGGGAGGGAGAGGACACCACGTGGTGTGTGAGCAGCTGGTCCGGGTGTGTCCAGCGACCTCCCTACCTGTGCCATTTGCAGACACACTGTCTGGCATATGGGGGCCCTGGGCAAAGTCTCCAGCGGCGGCGGTGAAAGTGGGGGATGGGCCCGACCATTTCTGCCACTTCCCGGGTCCCTCATTCCCTCACCCACTCATCACAGGTGAGCCAAGCACTCAGCCAGGTGGGGGGCGGAGCACTGAGCACACTGTCCTGTCTTCACCAAGCTCCCTGCCTGGCCTGTGGCAGAAGCTGGAGGAGCAAATGGGCAATGGAAATACAGCATGACCAGCCCTGTGGACGACACACGCGGGGCCCAGGGACTTATGGGAAGGAGCCAGAAGAAGTGATTGGAAGCTATTAGAACCTGAAATACGAAGAAAATTGGCCGAGTTTGGCAAAAACTGTTCAAAGAAGATGCACAGGAAAGAGGGTCAGAGATGATGAGGGCTGCGCAAGCTTGACCTCCAGACGTTCAGTGGGGGTGGGTGGGGCGGAGGTCTGTGCGCTGTTCCAAGGGTGTCCAGAGAGCAATCAGACCGAGGACATGGCTTTGTCTATCCCGAGGGGTGTGGGTTTTACCCCAGCGGGCCCTGCAGAGCTTTGCCTGTGTACTCGGGCTGGGATAGGGCAGAGAAGTGAGACCCCTGGTACCCAGACTGGGCGGGCAGAACAGAAAGGAGGGAAGTAGACACAGTCAGGTGTGGCCTGTCTCTCCCTTTCCCCAGGCCCCTGACGGGAAAGGCCAAGGAGAATCCGGGGGAGGAATGGAGGGGGACATGTCAGTAGCGGCCACCTGTAGGCCTGTACCCTGTGACTGACTAACAGCCCAGTGAGAGCGGTGACCAGGTGCACCCCACAGTCCTCCATCCCTGGTGGCATCTCCCTCCTGTGCCCACCACCCGACCTTCATCATCTGGGAGAGGCAGAGGCACCCGGGTACTTAAAACTCAGCTTGAAATCGGTCTCGCCGATCTACTGAAACCTGACAAGTAGTACCAAGGAGGACTCTCAAAATCAAGTTCAGTCATTGAAAGAAACTGGAGTAGGGCGGGAAGCCGGTGCGGTGAACGCCACACTGTATCATCTTCAGGGCGCGGGCAATGACACCATTTACACAGAAACAATTTACATTTGCAAGTAAAGATTGCCTTTTGCATCGTCTCACTTACAACTCACTTACTGACCATCATGTTTTTTTTTTTTATATCTAGTAAATAGCCAGATAATAATAACAGAGCCAGAATGAGCCTCTTGGTACCTCACAGGATCAGGGGCTTAACAGACTTCACTGCGCCATATAGAAAGAAGAAAGAAGCCCAGAGAAGATGAGTCATCATTGAAGAGGTTCGAGAATGTATGAAATTAACCCAACAGAGTCACTCGTAGGCAATGGACCTGGGCGCTCGCGTGTTCTCTACATACCAAGGTCTTGGTTGTGAGCTCTCTCCTGTCCTTCCAGGTACAGCAGGCTGTAGCCCGTCCAGAGCCTGGGCATGCCCACGGGGCAGGTGGGCTCTCCATCCGTCTGACTGTGGAGGACCAGGAGGAAGCCACTGAGGTACCCAGGGCTGAACCCCTTGGGCCCGGGATTCCCAGTGGGCCCAGGAGGGCCTGGAGGAATAAAGGGGAAAAAATGAAGGCTATTTAGGGGTTCAGTGTCACACACGTTTCTGATCACCCCAGTCCCAGGGCCTTGCAAAGCGCTCAGGGCACAGGAGAAAACAGGCCCAGCCCCTGCGGAACGCACACCCCTCGCACAGCCGCGGGCCATGCAAACAGCTCACACGGCAAGTGTTCATTTACTCCAGGCAGCATCCAGGTGGCGGGGCGATACTGGCCTGAACACAAATCAGACAAAACTCCCTGCCCTCCTAGAGCTTATGTTCCTTCCGCTTGAAGAAATGATACATGATAAACGTCATACGAAGAGAGAGTGTGAAACACGTTAGAAATGGTGAGGGCCGAGGAGGGAGAACTGGAACAGGTGACACACCCAGGTGTGATCTCCCAGGCAGCTCTGACCGACCGGACCGGGTGCCTGCTCCGCCAAAAGGTGATGCTCGGAGTCTCTCTCTCTCTCTCTCTCTCCTCCCCTTTTCTCCACACCTCCCCCACCCCCACCTCTCCTGCAAGCCAGCCAGCCACACCTTCTTCCTTGAGGTGTGTCTTTGCTTTCTGTCTCCTGGCTCCAAGGCCCCTTCGTTTGCCCCTGTAACTTGCTTCCTGAGCCCACACATTCCCACTGCTTCATTCCCTCCACCCTGCTCTTCCTCCACCTCTGTGACTTTCCAAATGAACTTTCCCTTGTATTTGAAACAAAAAATCAGTCTTTCTCACACCCACCGACCTGCCTCATGGTTCCTGCCTATTCAGTTGTCAGCTCCATTCTCAAAAGAACAAGGGCCAGGGATCCCTGTTCAATCTCTTCTTTTAAAAGTGGGGGATGTGGCCCTGGCCTGGTGGCTGAGTTGGCTGAAGCATCATCCCACACAACAAAAGGATGCAGGTTTGGTTCCTGGTCAGGATGCAGGTTCGATCCCCGGCTGGGACATGCACGGGAGGCCACAGGTCAGTGTTTCGCTCTCACTTCGATGTTTCTCCCTCTCTCTGTCTCTCACTCTCTAAAATCAATAAATCCATCCTTGGGAACGGATTTAAAAAAAGAAAAGAGGGGGAAGGTGGAAGAAGGCCCAGTTCTAGAATCCAAGTTGGCAGGTGGGAATAATCAGGTCTACAGAGTGGGAGCAGGGCCTGTCTCGTGTGCCCACCCCCCTCAGGGACTGACCTATGGAAGAAGCCTAGGGTGATTTCTAATTGCCAAGAGCAAAAGGTGAAGTGTGACTTCAAAACCAGAAGTTTTGTGGGTTTTTTTTACTTGTTTCTGGAAGACCAGCAGTCTCTCCCTGTCTACACTGCATGCTGGTTTCTCTCCCCGTCTACACTGCACGCCGGCACTCACAACATGGCAGCTTGTGCGCTGAATCAGGCCTGCTCCTGGGTTTTGCTGAACCCATCAGGATTTTACAGGTCGAGGTCTTGGACTTGAAAAGTGGAGTGTAGGGAGCACAGGCCCCGGGTTGCTACATGGCAAACACAGGCGGGGGCTGACCTGCGTTCAGACCGGGCTCCTTGTGGTCGCTGACCCTGCCCGGCCCTCGCACCCCTTGTCATTACTCACCTGGCATTTCCACATGGTCCGCGAACAGGAGGCTGTGTCCTGGGGTCTTTAGGTCCCTGCTGCCTAACATACATCCTGGTGCACTATATGTCAAATTTCTATTCTGAAGGGTCTTATCTCCCTCTCACACAATGCCCACTCCCAAACGTTTTTCTGAAGTAAGAGCCTTGCATGCCATATACACTTTATGGATGGCCACACAGTAAGATGAAGTGAATTTGGAAAACCAGAGGCCAGGTAGATCAGCTAGTTGTACAGGGTGGGACCCCTGGCACCATCCCCAAGGTCTTCAGCCCAGTTTCTCTACCGAGGTCCCAGAGCGAAGGCCAGGCGGACCTTGGGAGAGCGAACAGCTGCAGTGGCTGAGCCTTTCATGAGCATGGATAGCAGTTTGGGAAAATACCAGACTGGGGAGAGCACCTTGACTTGTTTTTATGGTGGGTGAGTATCAGTTAGAACTCGGAGGGGGGGTGCATCCTGTTTTGTTCTCGTTTCCATCCCCTCCCACCCGGGGTGCTGGTATCTAAGGTGAATGCTTTTAACAGGATCAGCTTGGAAAAGCTGCTTCAGAGGCCGGGGATTTTGTACACAGATCTGCTTGTCAGAGAAAAGGCGAGAAACCGAAATTCTTTACCCGGTGCTCCAGGGAGGCCGGCTTCTCCCACGTCGCCTTTGTGTCCCGGAGGCCCGGGGGGCCCTGGGATGCCATCCTCGCCCCTCCTGCCATCCGGCCCGGGCTCTCCTTTGCACCCTGCAAGAAGCCCATGATGGCAACGGTGAAGACAGTATGGCCCCGGCTGGCCTGTGGCGCTCACTGCGTCTATACCACGTTCCACCTGAGCTTCCTGGCTCATTTCCCTCCCGAGCTACGTCACACTGGGATCCTACTGTCTCCACTTGGCACTGGGGGTGGGGGCGGTACCTGGGCTCCGGGAGGCCCCAAAACCTGCTAATTACGGCCAATGAGCCAATACTGAGCAGAGCCAGAATTTGAAGCCAGACTAGGGAGGTGCTGAGAGGTTTTTGCACAGTCTTCCTAGGCTTGTATATCTGACCTTTTTTCCCATTGAACATGTATGGCTTTTATCATTAAATATTATCCTTACTAAGGATTTTTAGAAGCCTGAGTGAGTGAAATGTAATAGAATTCAGTTAAGGGTCAAGTTAAATTTGGAGCAAGATAAGAGCAGCAATGCTTTAAATAGTTTTTCTGGTTTTAGTGTTTAGAAGGTGCTAAGTCCCAGGGCAATTCCTTTACGTGGATGATCTGAGCCAGCTTTCTCAGGAGCAGCCATGTGACTGGGTACTCTCCTGTGCCAGGCTACCAGCGGGGAGACTGAGACTCAGAAAGACGGAGCCAATCACAGGTCAACAGGAAACAGGCCCAGGCAGGCCGAGCACGGGGCGGGGTGGGGGTGGGGGGGCGCTGCTCCGTCAGCCGCCAGCCCCTGCTTTCGTGACCAGGCTCAGTGCTCAAGTGCACTCCTTGGGGGACGTAAGCTGGGGGAGGTGGCAGCCGTCACATTGGTACCGAGGGTTTTTTTTAAGCGTTTGCTTACTTTTGGCCAAGATGTCAGTTCGTTGCCACAAACTCCTTTGGGCAGAGTCGCAGATTTGGTCCTTGCCTGTGAAGGGGTTTGGTGCCCACAGCCCTAATTACCTGAATTTCTAACATTCTCGAGGCTCCGAGTCCCTAGTTATTATTCTCCCTTCTTCTTTTCCTCCCATTCTCTTTGCCCCCTCCCTCCTTCTACACCACAAACTAGCCTAAACCAACCTCATCAAGTCAAAGAGAGCTCCCTTAGGTAGCCTTCATTGTTCTCTACCCTTGGACTTGACCATCAGGGGATCAGGAGCCCCCTGAGGGTTGAGAGCAGGGCATTGCCCTACTCTGGGGACCAGGCAGGTACGTCACCCGACTGCCCCCTCACAACCATCCGAAACGCACATTCCACTGACCCCGCTGTTTTCAAACTATGTTCTAACAGCACCTGCCCAAAAGAGTCCCCCACAAACCTCCTTCCCTCCCCACGACCAGCCGGTCCCTCTGCTCCACGCCGGTGATCTACATTCAGAGTGGCCTTCCAGACATTCCTGGCCTTGGTGTAGCTCTCATCACACGCTCTCACTCCTGAATCACAAACGAATTCTCTGGGGATGTCAGGCGGTGCCTGGACTGCGTTCTGTGCACAGCGAACATCAGTGGGCAACAGAGGAAGCCTCTCCTTCTCCCTGTCTGGGTGGGAGACGCCCACCCACCCCCTAGTAACAGGGCAGAACCCCCTCTCCCTGGATGGCACCCTGGACATGAGCAGGCATATCTCCTTCCACCGGCCACAAAGAGCATATCTGATATTTTAGAAGGGGAGCTCGGAGCATTCTTTTCTCTCTCCCAGCCAACGAGATGATTCCAACAGTGGCCACTGTGCATTTCTGGAAAGGGCTGCCCAGGGGCTCACAAGCCAGTGAGCGGCTCATCACAGAAGAGATGGCAGGCGTTCCCGTCCACGTGGGCTGAGAGCTCTCACGATCTGGGGAACCAGTTCACTCCCTGAGGTTACAGTGCAGCCTTGGCCCCCTTAAGGGAGGACAGAGAAACGCTCAGGCAGCTGACATTTCCAGAGGCAGGTAGGAAGGCTTTTCCTAACCATGGTCGTGTGCCCAGAGCTTTCCGCTTCCTGGACTTGTTCTTTACCTGGAACTTGTTTTACAGAACAAAGCTACACCTAAGAGCCCTCTGGTGTTTGAGGGATTGCCCCCGCTGAGAAGGTCATGTGCAGACTCGAAGACAAACACGCCTCAACAGTATGTGGGGACCGGGTACAGCCATTAGGCAGGAACGGTCAAACCGAAATGGAAACCGCCTTTGGGTTCATCGCTGGGATCCTCAGCCTTGCAGGGCCCCCTGGGAAGAAGAAGTTGCAGATCAAAGAGACCTGTGAAGAGAAAAGCAGCAGACTTCCCATGGTGGGGGCCTCTTCACAGACACAAGTGATGCTTAGTGACCACCCTTACCGGGGCAGGAAAGAGCCAGAAGTGTTTTTTCTATGTGGGTTCCAGCTGTGGCATGTGCTCATGCGTTTGGTCTCATCAGCTTAGCAAGGAGGAAGGTTGTGGGAGAGAACAAACAACATCATTTTAAGTGGAGGTGGGACTTCCCAGTGGTGGCTTCACAGCCAACCTTGGGGGTGGTCCACACCACCCCTCACACCTGCAGATGGCCCGAGGCAGTCGGGGCTGGGCCACTTCAGACCCTCAAGACAGACTTGTCAGTTTTGAGCACCTGGACAGCATGGCCAGTGCCTCCAGGGTGGCCAGCAGGGAGAGACAGGAAGAGGGGACCAAGGGCAAGAAGGGTCCTTTACGGCAGGAGCCAGAGGGCACATGTCAGAGGAGAGAGGGCCAGAAGAAAGCTTCGGCACGTGAGTGGTGCACAGGTGGGCACAGAGGACCCTCCCGGGAAGAGGGTCGCCACAGGGCGAGCCTCGCTTTCCAGGAAGGACGGCTGGGCACCTTTTTAACACAACAACCCCATCCTGTGGCACAACTGCGGCCTTGAGGTACTCCCACCGCCCACAGGCGGGGTCTGTGACATCAATAAGGAAAGGGCACGGGAAGCCAGAGAAGACCCTTCTGTGGCCGCCTGCAGCTCCTCCAGAAGGAATTAGAGATGACAGGTGATCACACCTAAGCCCGTAGAGACTGTCGGCCCTCTCTCAGGAGTTCACTATGCAGAGAGAACCTCATGTGTGCCCAAGATAACTATTAAGTTCAAGTGGACAGATTTGCCCATTTGACTTTTCTCAGTTACTTTCTTTGGTTATTTTCCAAAACCACCACAATGGAGGGACCCAGCCCCCTCTCTGGTCTCGACTGATGTTAGGGTGAAGCGGTGGATCTCGACCTTGGCTGTCAGCCACAGCCATTTGGAAAGACTTCCTAAAACGCTGGCACGTGAGCTCTGCTTCCCTCTCTGTCATGTTGGTCTGTGGTGAGGCCCGGGCACCAGCCCCTCTAGTGACTTTAACCTACAGCGAGGGTTCAGCCACGAGAGAAGGTGTCACTCTCAGCTGCCTCGACGGCATATTCATGGAGCCTAGTTAGGACTCCTCAACCTTGAATGCACGGTCTGTACCGTGCTCTGGGGGTCTTGGTAAAATGCAGATTCTCATTCAGCAGGTCTGGGGTGTGACCGCACTTTGTGCAGCAAGCATGGAGCTGGCTCTTTGTTACCAGGTGATTAGGCCGCCCTGTCCCCAGCTGGGCTTCTGCGCCTTCCTGTTGGACAATCCCGGTTCCTCTAAGCGCAATCTTTCCTTAAAGGCTCTGCCCAAATGCCAGCTCTTGCTGGGGTCTCGGTGGCCGTATAGTCCTCCACACAGGGACGCACCGCTCCTTGTCTCATTCTCCGAATGCCCTTTGCTCGAAACGAACACAAACTGTCATCTCCCATTATGTAGCATCCCTGTGTCCTGCTGGCCATTTCTGCCATGAGGTTGGAGACCCTGGGGTTGGGGGGAGAAAAACACACCCCCACTGGAATTGTCCACACCTGGTTCGTACTCTGTGGCGAAGAGAGAGAATCTGGAAGTATTTACTGAACTGAATTTGCAGAACCCCATTACGGGCTTACCTGTTCTGCTTCAGAGTTCTTTCTTTTTAATGGTGCAGGGGCGGAGAGCCCAGCTCTCAACACTGCAAGGCAGCTCTGTTTTTAAAATCAGGTTGATGGATGAGTTATCCTGCCTGACTGAGGGCTTGAGCCATGCACTGAGAGTCAAAGCAAAGAGCTAAGCCAATCCTCAGGACTCAGTGACTATAATAGAACATTGCCACAGTGTTCACCCAACAAACAGCAGATGCATGCAGCAGGTGCCCACGACTGCCCCAAGTTGAGGAAGGCTCCAGAGCCATTCTGGACATCACCCGTGAACTGCTCACACTCCAGCCGGGGGGGGGGGGGACATCACACTGCGTGGGCTGGTGGAACACGGGCAAAGCAGGCAGTGCAAAACCCCTGCTTCCAATTCCTTTCTTCCTAAACCAACAGGAGCTATCACCACAGCTGGGGCGGTGGGAAAAATGAGGGAGGGAACGGCCCGGTACCTCTTAGGGTACTTTGCACACTGGTGACTTAGAATCAGGGGCACTGTCAATTGGCCTGAAAAGAGCAGCAACTACAGGATGACCGGCCCGGGACTCCCGAATCGTCTTGTGAATTACGCAGCGCAGCGGACATAGACGAACAGAAACGAAACAACTTGGAAGACACCTTTTAAAGGAGCAGTTTAGTTTGAATATTTCAATAAGGGTCCTGCCACCCTAATGGAGCCATCCTCAAATCAATTAGAGGAACAATGCAGTTATTGCTGTAATGTATTGCTGTAATTTAGAGTGACCTTCCCTGGGGCCCCCTCTTCCTGCCCCAAGGATTCACCCCCTCCTCCCTTCTCCTAGGCCATGTCCGCTCCAGGGAGACCCGATTCAGTTGTTTTTCATTCAAAATCAAGTCGACAGCTGTTAATGACCAAATAAAACATCTACTCCGTTGAGCTAAAAGGTTTCGAAACCTCATGTTCAAAACCCGCCCAAGTATAAAAGATTTAAGTAGAATCTCCACATAAAAAATGAAAAGGACCTGTCAATCCAATTAGTGCATGATTAAACCTTCAGAAGGAAATTTTCATTCATCCTTCCTAGTTGCTTAGGCTCCCATCCCCCGTCCCCACCCAAAAAACCTACTGAGATTTTCATTTCAGCAATATGCCTGTGATGCCAATAATGAGCAGCCAGTGTCCAGCTCGTACCTGCTCTTGGGGGGCCTCTCATGCCGGGGGGCCCCATGGCTCCTTCTGGTCCTCTTGGGCCTGGCACCCCAGGGAGCCCCGGGACTCGGGGGCAGGCATCCAGATCTGCAGGTGGCCCCGGTTCACCTGAAATTGGAATCACCACCTGCGTGATGGATTCGAGTGCTCACCAGCAAGCTCCTTCTGCCACCTCAGGTTAGTCGGGCTTCAGACACGACACCTACATGTTGTCAAGAGTGTTGGACTCATCTAAGGTCTAGGAAGGTGGTGGGACTTTGTTCCCTTTGGTGCATGAAAAACTTCCAGAAAGCATTTGGTTGGGAAAATGACCGACTGGATGAGTAACTGAGTAAGTGCAGGGCATCTCAGAGAAAGCAGAAGAGAAGCATGAAACAGTGAAGGTCGGTGGACTGAGCAATAACTGGGTGACCTTCACGGGGTTTCTGATCTTTGGGCCACTTTCTCCTGCGGAGCCAGCCACAGGTGGGGTTGGGCGAGGAGGCACCAGTGAGCTCTTGACACTCAGCGTAATGTGTCGAATTCACTGCTCTACTTGGCAGCCAGTGTGGGGAGGGGCTGGTCCATAGTGTTTGTTACTCAAAGAGAGAATCTCAGGGTTGGTAGAGGCACTAAAAAAGTTCCTTTTAACGCTGAGTGTATGTTGGAATTATCCAAGGCAGTGACAAAAAATTACTGATTCCTGTGTCCAGCCCCAGAAATGCCAGTTGAACTGGGATAAAAGATGACCTGGCAGTGCCCAGCTGGGGGGCTTTGCAAAACCATGGGTGCTGGGGTCCATCTACAGGTATTAAGTAGGCATTTCTGGGTGGGACCAGGCATCAGTAATTTCTCCCCAGAGGACTCCAGTGCGGTCCAGGACTGAGAAGCACTGGGGGAAGCTGCAGTTCTGACTTCAGCACATCTGAACCATCTGGCCACTTTGTCGGAGCCCAGAGGACGCATCCAGCTGGCCTGGGGCAGCCCCGACTTCTGCACGTCTACTGTGTTCCCGGTGAAGCTGACGGCACCCATGTGGGGACCTCATTTTGAGAATGACTGCTCTAGAGGTTTGAAATGCTTTTCTTCTCCGTTGCATTCACGTCTTGAATTCTAAAGCTTCACTCAGTCACCCTGCAAGCCACCCGCAAGGAAGAATAAACAGTACCACTACGCGCAACAACGATCACTGCACCATGTGTGGGACGCGCTTTATCACGCAGCAGGCCCTGTGCACAGGGCTTTACAGCTGAACACTCCCAGCCGGCCTGGGAGTTTGTGCTGCTAGCCCTAGGACATCACAGGAAGGAAACCAAGGCTCAGGTAACCGAGGGACGTATCTGAGCTGACATGTGGCAGAGGCTGCATTGGAAGCCAGGGTGTTCTGGCTCCAAACTGGCCTTTTAACTGCCACACCATACTGCATGAAGGACTCTGCACATCTGTGTGATAAGTGCTAAGAAATGCAACCTAGTTTGAAGTACACCACTCACAAGTTATAGTTTTCTTAAAAGTCATACAAATGTGCAAACTAACTTGAAGAACGGCATGATAAAGCAGCAAGAAGACTCTAGAAAATGTGGCCATAAACACAGAGTTTTAGTCTACATAATGGTTACTATGCTTTTGCAGATCGAACGTGAACCCTGTGAGGGCGGAGGAATTTAGCCTCTTGTATTGCATGAAACCACAGCAACACAAAGTTGGACGTATTTTGATTGTATAAACAGCTTAATGTGAAACTTGGTCCTCCCAGTCTGGGCAGCTTGGGAGACACACAATGACTTTCCTGTTTTCCCTGAGTAATCTCATGAATTGTGGACACGGTCCACCAGTGGTGTCCCAGTGGAGGAAGCAGGTAAGGGAACAAGGTGGGCATTCGGCTGGCACTTCAGACCTGGGGGTGTGATGTCATCCTCAAATGAGGTGATACATTTAGTCACAGACAGCAGAAGGCTGTGGTGAAAACTCATTCACTAGATGACTGTCATTTTAAAATACCAACATTTAAAATAGCAGGATTTTTTAAAATTTTGATTTTGCTTTTCATTACTTTTTAATAAACCAGAAGCTGAAAGAAAGGGACCAAAGCATCTAATATAATAACATAGGGCATCTGTGTTCAGGGCCACTGACATTTGGGTTGATAACAGATGTGGGAAAAGAAGAAATACAAGCATTCACCGCTTTGCTTTTCTTCTTCTAAGAAACTTTTCATTCTCTTTGAAAATGCCAAGACACAAAATAATATGCTGCTTTTGCATTGTGGAGGATTAAACAAACACTCAGTTGAAAGAACAATGGCATTTTCATTTTCACACACACAGAAATTTCCTCCTTGAAAGCGGACTTCTGGTGCGGGAGGCAAGGCTGGTTGCAGCCCCTTGCTGGGTGTCGAGGGCCCATCTTTTCATGTTGCTGATGCTGCTTGTTTTAGGGACGTCCTATGCCTTTATGTTGCAGAATTTACAAAAGAAGCTTCCATTGGTAGAGAAAGCACTCACACTTGGCGCCTGAATTGAAACCGTGTGAGCGGAGCAGCTACGGTGCCTTGACAACCTGCCATGAGGCTCAGCATCGGGACAGTATAATAAGGAGTTACTATGTCGGTAATGGGGAGCAACGGCAGGAAAACCAGATTTCATGACAGGACCCCCCTGTGTAAACAATGTAATAAAGTTTAACTCGCACATGCAGTGAAAAGGGGAAGCATAGAAATGACTGGAGACCAGACTGGGAGGAAATTACTCACAGCATAGGAAGGCTCACCTCTGGAACCTAGAGAGATCCGAAGGCAAAACACAAGGCCGCGTGACGATTTCCATCCGGTGGAGAGAGATTTTAAATTGTAAATGAAGGGAGGGAGGTGGGATAGGAGGGGTGGGGAGAAAACACAGGCAACTGTCATTGAACAACAACAAAATAATTTTTTAAAAAATAAATTGTAAATGAGGACACACAGGAAATGGGTTGAAAACATACACAATAACTCGAGAACAGCATCTACAACAGCATCTTACTGACATAAAAGGTCTACATGACATTACTGAGAGGAACAGCTATGGTTTATTAGTGGAGATTCTGTGTCTAGGAAAACTCTCATGTGCAATATAAAATTCAAGTTGATTTTTTAAGGCAAGTACACCCAAATTTAATGTATGCATAAATTCTGTCCATTTAAAATCTTATGAAAATTCCATATTAATTTGCCAAGTTTTATAGGTTAGGCAAAGAATGAAACTGTGATATGAATCAAAGCATAAACTTTTCGTCATGTTGGACTACAGCCCACAATAAAACAGTGCAATTTATTTCTCCTTTGGACTGGAGTGCTAATTTGGGAGATTGCAAAGTATTCTGAACTGATACCACATCACCATAATATTGATTTAGGGTCTTGAAGTATATTGCTTCTGCCAATCTCAAATACTCAATGTCTGAATGTCTGAATGTCTCAATGTCTGCTTGCCCTTCCAACTATTCCTTGGCTTATTTTGACATTATGATGAAAATGTGTTGTCTATGAGGTCTAAATTAAATAGCCTTTTAGCTTTATAGGAATTAATGTACTTTCCAGAAAACATCAAATAAAACATCTCTCAAAATTAATGGGTATTCCAGAACAGACACGGAATAGACAATCCTCACCTATCAATAATCAATCAGTCTCTGCCTCTTGTGTGAGGAAATACAGACTTACTCATCTTTGAAACAGTATATGTAAAATCAACTCCTAATGTTCAAACTTGTTTTTTTTTAAATAATAAATAATAGTTCACCAAACACAAGACTTTGTAGTACAGTCTGTAGTAAAATAACCTTCATGTGAAAAGGACTGAATGCATTAGGAGGTGTGATGATTTCAGAAGAGTTACTTTCTGGAAGATGACTGTCAGCGTTAAGTGTTTGCCCAAAGTGCCTGTGTGGGCTGCTGGGTGGAGATGCCTCAGCATGAGAAGCTCACCTGGAGGCCCGGGGGGCCCTTGTCTGCCTGGAGGGCCAGGTAAACCCTTCTCTCCAGGTGACCCAGGAAGTCCGTGTGGCCCCTGTGGCCCCGGGAATCCCATTGGTCCTGAAAGAAACAAAAAACAAGGGCAGCAGCATGGAGCCATATAAGGGCGAGGATATTGTAATGCACTGGATTTGGAAGTTCTTGCCAAGAAAATGCAGGGCAAGGATGGCCTCAAGGTCGAGAGGAGTCTCTCACTTTTTTCTGTAAAGCTGAGAACTGCCTTTGTCTGAAGGAAATGCCAGACTCTGCCAAAGGGACTCAGGAGGATGGTTCCATGATCAAGAAAAAACTTACTCAGAACACAAAGCCCTGCAATCCTGAACTTCCTCTGGAGGCAGGCAAAGGACATGCGGTGAAGGTAAAATCAGGGAAGACGCTTCACTCTCTGGGGAGAGACACTCCCGGACCTGAGTTCCCGCCACTCTCTCTCTCACTCCCAGCGTCCACTGCACCAGCCATTTGGTACCTAGCACATGGCCTCTTCTTCCCCATCCACAAAGTCCTGCTCATGCTGCAGAGAGCAAATCAAGCTCGCCTCCTCTGGGAAGCCCTCCTGGAATCCCAGCCCCAGTCCACTTGCTTTCCGATAAGCTCTCACAGAAGGTGTCCCTTTCCTCAGGTCCCTGACCCCAGTTTACATTGATGGATATTTTAGGGTGAATATCAGTCCCCCCCATGATACTTGACACTTAATGAGAGTAGCGACTCTGCTTAAGTTTGCTCACTACTGCATTCCTGTAGGTGCCTAATAAATGTTTGTGAAAATAGATCAACTCTTTCTCACTGTGAGAATCTAAAAAGATAAACCAAGGCAAGTCCCTTATCCTTCTCACAGTTCAGCACTCTTTGGCCCCTCGTCCTCCCGGAATGGGAAGTTAGCAGCATGAGGACACATCCTACCAGTACTTCTAACACTCTGTACACCCTTTCACAGGCCACTGTTATTCACACACAAGCTAGTTATCCCCAGTCCTGAAGTTTACTTCAAGTTGGAAAGGGGAGTGTTCATTGTCTAGAGGTATGTCTCCATTGGGGGTGACCAAGGTTGTACAGCCAGCGCTCTCTTCCTTCCTCTTAGTGACTAGGGTACTAGCATGTCTGTCCAGTTTTGGGGTTCCCTGATTTGAAGCCATGTACCTGCAGACACAAGCCATGTTCTCTAAAATTGATTTGCTGGCTAACGACAGGAAGGAGGGGTGTTGTGTGCTGTTGCCCAGGTTGGGCCGCACCGTTCCGGGCTGCCACCTGCGCCAGGGGCACGGCAGCCTGGAGGTGCCGCTCATCTCCCCTCCTCCCAGACCTTCTGCCTTAGCTCACGCTTGGTTCGGGACTCAGGCCGGGTAGTGGTTAGTGGGCTCCCACAGGCTTCACCATTTGCTTCTCCGCTGTGCAGCTTCCTTATTTATGACGTAAGGAATTTAAAATGGATAATGGTTCTTGATACCTTTCCAACAACAAAAAATGTTCTATAAACCTAGGAATTCTCTGAAATCCTGGTGACAAACATGTCTCCAAATATTAGCAGCTAGGTAAAAAATCAAGTAAACATTTTCGCCTTTGCAGAGACTCGTTCATGACTATAAAAGAGCGGAGTCAGCTGCCTGCAACCCAACTGCCCAGTTCAGAAGCCACTACCCACATGTGTCTACCGAACACCCGGAATCGGCAAGTGCAAACTCAGCTGTGTTGTACGTGTAAATGCACACCAGCCTGCAAAGGCCGCAAGAAGGAGTGTCTGATTTGACAGAACCACCCTTGATTGTCCCACTGATAATTTATATTGATTACATGTTAAAATAGTATTTGAAAATATTATGTTAAATGAAGAAGGTCTGAACGTTAGTTCCACTCTTCTGTTTTACTTTTTAAATGTGGCTACTTCATCTTTTAATTACACAGGCAGGTAACTTGCATATATTTCTATTGTTGGGTTTGGTCTAAGAGATTACCAAGTATGTTTTGAGGGGGCTGAAGATGAACTTGTATTTGTTTCTTACTTGTCCAACAGTTACCCAAACTGTAGGACTCCTTGGAAAGGTAGAACATTGGGGGAATATAGCCACTGATTCCACAGAAAATAACATTAACTCGCAATGGTCCAAGGTAACAAGTTTTCACGTACTACTTAAGGAACAACCGGCACTCATACCTTTCCATCCATCTTGCCCGTCACATCCTGGGTAGCCTTTGCATCCTGGAGGGCCTGCTGGGCCTGGGGGGCCTGGGGGTCCTGGCAGCCCACAGTCGCCTGGTTCCCCTGGCACAAGGTCAACAGTCCCAGGGGGCCCCGGAGGCCCCGGTGGTCCTGATCACAGGGAGGAGGCAAAAAGATTCTTTCAGTCAAAGACAGATGTGGGTACTGAGAGCTTCTTAAGGAAAGTAATTTAAGGGTTTGCAAGCAAGGGAATTAGAAGAACAAGGGAATCAATAGTGTTGGGAGTGAAACAGAGCAGGTCCCTCGGAGCCTGAGACATGGCGTGAGTGGTGGGTGAGTGTGTCAGACAGAACGAACCCAGAAGAGCCTTCCCTCCCAAAAGAGCCATTCCTTTCGGAAGTACCCCATCATGATTTTTGTTTGCATTGCCATCCCACTGCTTTAGTATGATAGAAGACAGACAGACAGATAGGTAGATAGACAGACAGACAGATAAATAGAAAGAAGAATAAACAGGTGATGGGCCTTTGAGAAAATTTGGCTGATGTGAAAGAAATGTTCACCCAATTAAACATGGTCCTATTTGAAAACAAGTGTCTACCTATAAACATTGAGCTCAAATTTTACTCTGCTAAAACTGTGCTGTTCAAAGCACTTTTTTTGCAGTAAAATGGAACTATGTAACACTGTAATCCCACCTTTAGTAAAACGGGAAGCATTTAAAGATGGCAGGTTTGTGTCTCTCTGGGTCTCTCTGCACGTAGAAAAACCCGGACTGAGCCATGCTCTTCCCAAATTCCCCCCCCCCCGGCTCTTGCCCAGCCCTGCTGGGTTACACACTGTCCCTGAGAGGTGATGCGAGGAGCACAGTGCACTGTTAACCGCACAGGAAGTGTGCTTCCAGGTTTTTGCCAGGCCTGGGTCCTGTCACTGTGCACCAGCGGCAGAGGTTTACAGGGTAGATGTTGGAGACCCATCTGCATGTAGGACGAGATTCTTTCCTGCCAGCCATGCTGACCCTCATGCTCAGCCTCGAGCCAGTGATGGGAAACGCTTATTCTGAGTCAGAGTCTGTACCCATAGAGAGGTGGTCTGATGGGGAGGAAATAGAAGAGGGGGGGCCTGAGCTCTGCTCCTGCATATGGTCCTGCCAGCCCACCACCGCCGCACCCCCGCCCTTCAAACTGCCCAAATAATGGGGCTGCCAACGTGCGTCTCCCCCGCCATTCCCTGGTCCTGCCTCCCGACGCAGCTGGTGGCCTCTGGAAAGGGCCCCCACCACCAACCTTTGCCAGGAGAGTCCCATACCTTGTGGACCATCAGGGCCAGGAAGTCCTTGATCTCCAGGTGGACCCGGGTCAGGAATGTCACCCGTGGGAGCTCTTCCTGGGGCACCTGCAGGCCCAGGTGGCCCGGGCCTCCCTGAGGATAGACATGTTCAGATGTGAGCCTCATTACAATCGGAAGGCTTTGACTGCATTACTGAGAGAGAGAGAGAGAGAGAGGGAGGGAGGGAGGGAGGTACAACACTCTGCTTCTTACCTGGAGGGCCTGGGGGGCCTTTTTCTCCAAAAAGGCCTGGAGGAGAAATTCCTGGACTGCCGGGGTCTCCTCTCTCCCCTTTCAGCCCAGGCATCCCCATTGGACCGGGTGGGCCCATTTCATGCAAACCTTAATGTGGAAAACAGCATTTACCACCGTGTCTTCTCCCTATTGTCCCTGTCGTTGGGGCTGATATGGAAGCAGCTGGCTCTGCTGAGACCAACCCAGCTTCAACAGTGACCCACTGGCTGGGTCACCACCTGCTTTCTTAAGACCCATCACACCGGTCACCACAGGCTTGATTTACTTTGTAATTATTTTCCAGATTAAAATCAACAACAACTTAGTGCCAATACCAATCCTCTAGCTTCTACAATGGAAAGAGTGAAAACAAATGAGATCCAACCATGTGCAATTATGAATAAATTGCTTGAAAACTGAAGGTGGAAGCTGACATGTAAATGGAATTATCATCAAGTTTCACATTGAAAAGACAGAGCATCGCTGGTTTCTTGGAGAGGGCACACATTCTATCAGACTGTTTAGAACAACCATTAAATGGATCCTAAATGGCCTACATTGCACTTCTAGGCCCTCTGCACTGTATAAAGATGTTCAAATCCGCAACACACAGGTTCAACCCTCCTCCCATGGTCCTTCAAATCTATGTGGCCGATTCCAGCCACCTTGTCTGATGCCGAGTTATTTTTTTTTTAAAGCAATGCAACAAATTTGCAATCTATTAAAATACCAGAACAAGCTAAAATGCAATTGTCAATAAGCATCTATTTGTTATCTCAAAAAATAACAGCAATTTTTTTAGGTAATTTGTTTTCACAGCAGGTTATTTGAGAGATGCGAAAAGTACTAATTAGACCCACGTGGTAGTACTTGGCATTACTACGCTTAGCAAAACAAGTAAAAGTCCCAACTATTTATTTGTTCTTCGTATTAACATTTTGCAATCTGGCTCCACCTAAGCAACTACTCAGGGTATTTTTACCAGAGCAATAACCCTAAAGCAGCATCAACAAAAGGCACTGTTAACCAACCATTTCATCTTATGTTGGGTGTTCTCAAGTGTCCTCTTTACATAAGGCATCTTCAGCACTACCAAGAGTTCCAATACTGGGCCTCCAAACAAAGCCAGTTTCTTAGTTTTGTAATCTAAATTGTGTGAAGTGAGGAAATACCTACCAGAGATGCAGTGATTGCAGGTAAGTCTCTCACAGCGGGTTCCTCTTACCTGAAGCTCCTTTGGTTCCTTTCTGACCCTTTAAACCATGCAAGCCATTCAGGCCAGGTAGCCCGGAGGAACCTGCAACACATCACAGGCTTGTGACCCCCAGGAGGAGACCAGCCCTTGAACTTCCCTGGTCACAACTGGCAGCACGAGATCTCACCTTCTACACATTGTTACCAGGGCTGGATCCACACCAGTGGCCACTATTTCACACAGTCACTTGATAGACATTTTCTACCGAGAGTGCTTAACACATCCCCTTCTTTGGTGTGAAAGCACTGCTGTGAGTTTGACCATTTCAGGAACATCTTTCTCTCTAAGCAAACAGACTGGGATTGCTGAACCATGGTGTGGGCTGTGACCTCCAGTTTTATGACAAGGACACCATCCTGGACGGGGAAAGAGATTGGATGGGAGCAAATGTAGGCCGCCCTTCTCCCGGGTTCAGGGTCTTTCCCTCCACCATGGTCTCCAGATTCCAGTTTCTGCAGGATCTGCTCAGGTGGGTGATACAAGACAGTAAGGACGGGCGGCGGCTCTGGCACACTGGGGAGCCCATGCCCTACCTAGTTTGTTTTTAAGCACTGTGCTACTCAGAGAAACAGGCCTGAAGGTCAAGTTTGGCGGCAGCTCTTTCTCTGCCACCCCTTCTTTCAAAGAGAATCGTCCTGGTGCCTCTTTTCAGAAACATCATTTGTTTCATGATGATTGCTGAAAATGTCATCCTGTGTAGTTAGATGTGATATCATTGGTGCCTTCATCTTCTTTCAGAATCTTCTGTCAGACGTCAGCATAGTTCCCTATGGTGACAGCTACCAACCTGACTTTACTGAAGTTGTCACTGACCATTAAACACATACACACCCGTAGGTTTATCAGCACACAGAGGTGGACATGCTTATAGTGTAAGTATGCGAAACACAGAGTTTATTCCTGTATTATTATTTATTACTTATTGTATTATTTTTCATACAAACAACCGTAAACCTACTCTTGCCCACCTCTGTAAACATATACAGGGTCCAGCGCAAATAACACTCCTTTTTAGTACAAGATCTCTTATTACAAAATCAGAAGCCTATAATTCTGTACTCTAACAGTAACACACTCAAGCACACCGTACGACACTTTAGGTGAAATGTTCAAGTGAAAACTGTAAAGTATTACACCCATATTATTAACCCTACCAACCACACTCAAGCAGGCGTCACTCGGCCAGACCCTGTCTATGTATATATTTATAATATATTTCTACTAAACATACAGCACATTCTGCTCTAATACATAGCTGTAGAGATGCATAGGGAGGGGTAGAGGGAAGAGGGGGAGGGACAGAGGAGGAAAGGGGGTCACTGACACAGAACAGTCCCGGGGGCTGAGTGCTCTCCCGTGAGCCTCACGCACATGGTAACCTACTGACTCACTTGTGGAAGAATCTTCCCCGCAGCCCTTGGCCATGCAGCGGCTGCCCATTCTCCCCCAAGGCTCTAAGCCCCTCGGTGCACAGCCAGCCATTCACTGAGCCAAGGGTCACATCCCTTGCACCTGTGATAACAACAGCCTCAGCTCACCCCCCAAGAGCCCCCGGCCCTACACCGCGCCGCCTACCTAGGCCCCCGATGCCCACACGGCAGGCTCGTGCTCTATGACGGTCACGTCTGTTAATTTACACGTCTGTAAATTAACTGAGTGCAAGATCAGATCTCACTAACTTTTTTATGTAACCACTGGACATATCTCCTTGAGACACACAGTAGGTGTTCAATGAGGGTTTGTCGAACAAATGAATGAGTCAACAAATAAGTGGCTGAGAAATTGTGGGATGTGAAGGGCGAGGGATTGAATGGGTGGAGAGAAAGCTATAAAACAGTGGACTGTGGTTTCTATTTGATGTCACATCTTTCTGTGGTAGATTTATCATAAGATTTGGGGCAGTTAGAGGCATCCGTTTGTATATAAATAACACAAGTGCTAACTGTTACCCATTCATTAAAGGAAGTCCTCTGTGGACTTATTAGAAAAGAGAAGATAGCTGGTTCCATTTTATTGTCAATACTTGAAAGAGATAGTTGCTCAATTTTTTAAATCTAAACTTTTGGTTCGTGGAAATGAGACACATTCCCTAGCACCAAAAAAAAAAAAAGGATGCACCCTTACTTTCCCTGAAGATCTTATTTCCTACACTCTTGACAGTTCTGGTTTAGTCCTGGCTGCTGTGGCTCAGTGGATTAGTGCCTCTGAACCGAAGGGTTGCCAGTTCGATTCCCAGTCAGGGCACGTGCCTGAGTTGCCGGCCAGGTCCCCAGTGGGGGGTACATAAGGGGCAACCACACATTGATGTTTCTCTCCCTCTCTTTCTCCTTCCCCCTCTCTCTAAAAATAAATAAATAAAATATTTTAAAAAAACAGTTCTGGTTTAGTTTATTTTCTGATCCTCTTTCCTATTTATGAGCCAATGTTCCAAGTCTGCACCAAAAGAACACACAGACCTTCCCCGTCTGCCAATTCTGGGTATTTACTGCAGTCTATCTGAAATGATAATAAATTTCAAGACGACTTTGCTCTTTCAATGTGTTTTGATCTCCAGCTTAAGCCACAAGATTGATGGCCTGAGGGAGTTGGCTGGGGGCGGAGGGCCTCAGCTGCTGCCGGCTCTCCATTGTCCCATCCACACGTCCAGATCCGGCCCTGTCACCGGCCCAGCCCCTGCCATTGTCCAACTGGCCGACCCCTATCTGACCCAATGTTATCTTTCCAAATTGAATGCAGCTACATCTGGGTAGGGTTTTAAGGGCAATTTTTCCTTTCTACTGAAAGCTTTTTACCAACCCCATCTCTAGATCAGAAAGTTGTTCATGCATAAACTATAGACAGTGCTGATGAGAGGCAATTAGGCTAACAAAGCACAGCCCTTGGTAATGAGGAGTTTTAGTCCCCCCTACAGACGCCTTCCTGCTAAAAGGCCTCATTTCAGGCTGCGTCACGTGGCTCTCCCGGGCCCGTCCTCCCTGCAGTCGGAGGGTCGAACCTCTGCCCCAGCTCTAATCGGAACCCTAGCTTCCAGGGGGGTGGGCCAAGCGACTCTGTGCCTGGGGCTCCCCCGTGAGGGCTTCTCCTGCCTGTCCTAAAGCCCGAATACACTTCTCCGTCCCCACAGGCCTTGACACAGGTTTATATTTTCAATGCAGGGACCAGTTTGTCCCTGTCTGTTGGGGACTTTTCAGCTCTAGCAAGAAGTTCCATGTCCTCAGGCACCCGCGAAGTGTCAGGCACACCCGGACAGCCAGTCTCCCTGAATCACTGCTGATGGGACCAGCAGACCTATGGACGGTGGTTGAGCAAAGTTGAAAGCTTATCAAAACAGACTCGGGAATACGATTTAATTGTTTTTCAATTCAGAAAACACACGCGTGCCCAAGAAGGGGACCCGCAAGAGCACAAGACGGGGTCTCCTAACCCCAGGAGCTTCAGTTCCCAAATGGCCTTCATACCAGGCGCCGAGTGAGGCAAGGAGGACCTGGAGGGAAACAGTCTGTCACTTGACAGAAAAACAGGCAGTCGCCCTGGGACTGGTACGTGCTGTGGGGCCTGGGGGGTGGGGTGGGGGTGGGGGGACACTCTCGTTGTAAATGGGAGGGAAACGGTTTCTGGGATTTCCACAGTCTAGGGTGCATGGTATTTCTTGGCCCATAAAAGGCATTCCAGGGTATTTTATTTCTTTTTCTTTAAGTTTTAGTTATTGACTTGAGAAAGAGAAGCACCAGCCTGCTGTTCTACCTAGTTATGCATTCGCCGGCTGACTCTTGTGTGCACCCTGACTGGGGATCGAACTTGTAACCGGGACGGCGTACCAGCCGACCGAGCTACCCGGCAAGGGCCCAAGTTCTATTTCTTATGAAATATCTCACTGGCCACCGACCAAAATCCCCAAGTCCGTACTATCTAGTCATTGTCATGCTACAGCACTGACCTTCGGTTCCCAGTACTCCAGCCCCATGTGAAAGCCCACCTAGGAACTGCGTCTTCTCTGTAGAGGGCGCGTGCACTTGAAACTGTAACTCTAGGAACCAGGCCGTCTTTAGCATATGTTTAAGTTAAAGCTTCATTCTGACCGAACACAAGCAGGACGCCCACTCCATATGGCCTGTTCCAGCAGAGCAAACAAGTCTGAGTTCAGCAGCTGCTTTGTTCAAACAAGAAAATCAGGCCCCGTTGACTTCTGTAGCACATACTTCAAATATTTAGTTTCTCAGTTCAAAGTGTTTCTGCTGGAGTGCGGCTCATTTTTATACCAGCACGATGAAGTGCAACAGTGGGTTTGCATGGTCGGCGTTTTAATGTTTAGGGCCGCACTTCACAGTTTCCTTTCTTTTAAAGACTGGACGGTTTGCAGTGAAACAGTGCCACCATGTGGCCAGGAGGGACAAAATTATGATGTGACTGGAGGTTACCTTTCCAGTAATTGTTATCTGATCAAATTTGTTAGCTTTTAGGGTTCTTAAATAACATATCACCCTGAAGTTATGGAATAAAATTCAAGAGAAGGAAGAGTCAACAATATTTAGTCGAACTGGGTGTATAGTGTTTTGGCGCCAAGAGACTTGAAAATCCTCGCTATTTTACTGAACGAGGAGGATAGGAAGAAGTGGAAATGAACGCAGTAGGACTGATTAATCATGGGAAACATTTTCTTTTGGTTCTTTAGCAATTTCATCTTCCAGACACTCAAAAAAAGTGTTAAAGAATACCCCACCAGGGCCGGAGGGATTGACGGAAACAGGAAATGACCACAATAACCAGAGAAACTCTTAAAATAATGCAATTATCATTTTGCTTGAAGCCTTACACTTATCACAAATCACTGGACTTTGAATTATTAAAAATGCCAATGAAGGGGGGGAAAGCGATAGCAAGATCTCTTGTCTCATGATGGGAACTTTCCCCATCATTTGGAGGCACAGAAATACCTGTGTGCCAACCTTTCAAAATAAAAGGCTTCTCCCGCTGCAGAATTGCCCCAGGTGACATGCCACACTACTGCTTGCTAGGAAACCACAATGTGAAAGCTATCTGATGAGCAAAGAGGTGTGAGTGTAGAAAAAAGTGTTACTTGGATTTTTCAAAACGATAATATGATTAAGCTCAAAGGAAAGGATTCCCAGCTCTTCCAAAGAAAGGTACTTTCCATTCTACCAAAATTCAGTGCATGTATGAGTCGATAAGCAGAGGTAAATGGGATGAAAAGGGAAGAAGGAGGAGATAGAGGGGTCTTGGCTATAGAAATCTACCAAGTACGGCCTGAACCTTCACCTGCCGATTGAGATGAGGACCTTCATCTTCATAGAGACTAGCTCAGTTGTTCATGCTATTTGTCCATTTCTTCCTTTATTAATTTATTCATAAATTTAAAAATACTCACCCATAACCAACCGACAGACTTATTGGGTATCTACTGAGTGACAAGGATATCAAAATAATTCTTAGTTTTAAAAAATTCACGTTCTACTCTGTGACAAGGACCTCTGAAGAAGCAAATGTCATATGATATAAGTGTTGGGGTAAAGGTACATGCAGAGTACCCATGGAAAATAATATTTTTTCTAAAATGAAAGAAATTAACTGAAGAGGAGTAAGTACCATAGATGAGTGGGGGAGGGCACGGAGGTTTGTTAAAAATAGATTGTACGATTATATCACATGACATCGTAGTAACCAGACCTGTATTATAACCTATCTACTATGTTTTTAAAAGCCAAGATATTCAACCAGGAGAAAATGTTGCCTTATAAAATGAAGATAATGAATAGTACTTCCTCTGTAGTGTCTTATTTTTTCTCTCCCATTTGTCGCACTGGTAAATACATATTTATTTACACATACAGATTTAATATGTGTCTCTCCTACTACACTGTGAGCTCCAGGAAAGAACCATGTCTATTTTCTTCAAAACTGTGTCCTCGTATCTAGAATCTGGCACATAATAGGAGTGAGGCTCTCTGGGGAGAGACCAAACGAATGGTCCTGGACCTTAGGGAAAACAGTGGGGAAAAGGCCCTCAGAAAATGAGACGGTAACAGCATCACGTTGGTACAAGATGAACACCACCTGAAGCCCTGGGCAAGAAAGAAGAGGAAGGTGCTGGTGACGCCCTGGGGAAGAGCCATGGCCCAGACCAGTGTCACTCGGGTGCTGGAAAGGCACCAGGAATTTGCCCCCACGGCCTGGGTCTCTCTGATGGGTCAGGCTTCCTTCTGACTTACCTTTCATCCCCGGAAGACCTGGTGGCCCAGGATCCCCGATGAGGCCTCTTGGTCCAGGATCCCCGATTTCTCCTGGAGGTCCCATTGGCCCAGGCCTCCCTGGGTAACCTGAGGATGACAGGGAGGTTTTGTGGACGCCCAGAGGGCACCTGAGTTACATTAACTGGGAAGGTCCTCCATGTTCTTAGTATATAGGGCACTTCAACCAGGAGCACTGTATCAGTTTTCTCCGTGGACCTCCTAACTCTAGGGAGAAACATACACCTACCCTCAGAGGATAAAAGACACTTCTGAGTGATGAAAGTTGCCAATTACAGCTTTAAACTCTCACTTTATTCTGAATTGGCAAGAAGAGGAGCCATTCAAGTGTATGTGTACTATTTACCAGCAGTCAAGAGGAAAGAAGAAACCCAGCGCCCTGAATGGCAGGTAAACTAGGACAGGCTGGAAAGGAGCTTCCATCTGGCACACCGTCCCTCTGTGCCTGGCACCTGCTGAGCCCTCCGCAGGTGGTGACTTCTTTACTGCCAGACCAACCCCGTGCGACAGAGCTAGCTCCAATGGACAGGTAGGAAATGGGCAAGTTTTGGCAGCTTCTCCAGGTGACAGGTCTGGGCAATGGCAGAACCAGAGCTGAATCCAGGTGTAGGCAGAGGCTGGCTCTTTCTGATACCAGGGATAGGGAAGCGCCTGGGAAGATTCCAGCTTCCTTCCAGGTACCTGGGCACCCCTGCGGTCCGGGGAAGGCTGGCAGTCCCGGCCTTCCTGGTGGTTCTCTGGGCCCCTTGGCTCCAGGCAAGCCCTTCTCTCCGGGTGCTCCCAAAGGCCCTGAGCATGAAGAAGCAAAAATCCAAGTCAGTGTAGGTTGCTGCTCTTCAAGGCTGTGAATCTATAAAACCTCCAACTTCAGCTCTTGCTATTCTTTTCTAGTCTTTTTTATATTAAACAATTTTTCTATTGAAAGATAACATTAAGAAAAAATTAAAAGCAAAACACTTATACTCCCACTGCCTCACACATTTTTTACACGTGCAAAGTGCAAGGAACACCCACAATTTTATATTCTGATTTTTTGAAGTTAATATTGAATCATAGTACTTTTCCAAGTTTGTCATCATTTTCCTAATTATTGTTTTTAAATCACTGGCTGACAGCTTACTGAGTTCATCTAAATTAAATTAATTAATGCAACTTTTTTCTACTATTGGTCACTCAAGTTTTTTTCTCTTTGCTATTATGCATAATAATTTTTATACATCTTTCATAAATTTTCCTATTATTAAATTATTCCCTTAGGAGAATTCCTAGGAGTAGAACTTCTAGGTAACACAGTATGATATTTGGGTTCTTTTTATTCATTTCAAAAGGCTGAGGTATTTTTTAAAAAATCACAGACATCATGGAATTTCATCTCTAAATTCTTCAGGAGGTATGTCAGAAAAATAATATTTTCTTACATGGTCAAAATAAGAATATCACAGCCAAGAAAATCAGTAACAACCCTTAATACCATCTAACACTCATTCCGTACTTAAATTCCCTCCACTGTCCCCTTAATGTCCTTCACAGCTGGTGTGTCCACCCTGGGTTCCATTCCAGAAGCACATGTGACATCTGGTGGACGTATCCCTTAAGTTAAACCACCCCGCCACAGCCCCTCCCCCAGGACGGTGACTCGCTGAAAAGAACCGTCCAGTGTGCTCTTCCAGCACAGACCCCTCGGCACTGGGTTCCTGGTGAGGTTGCCAAAGTGTTTGGACACGTGCGGTGCCAACTCACAGCACCCCGGTACCCTCCCACCGCTCAGGCCTGCAGGTCCCAAAGCAGAACATGTGCCCCCTGAGGCCTTTCTAAGCTGTTGGTTTGTTTTCTTGCTAATTGATAAGGATGAAATAGTATTCCAGTAAATTAACTTACACTAAATTATACTAGAGAGGATGCTATCTCCCCATGTGTTTATTTGTGATGTGTGACTTTAATACAGTTCATATATTTGGGATAAACTACACCTGTTCCCTGAGCAATGAGATTTTCTCTGTGTTATTTTATTTACCCTGAAAATATTCCTGCAGTACAAATAAGGCAGCATTATTCTCATCTCCAAATGAAAAAACAGAAGTAATGGAAGGCCGGCTCTCGCCTCCACAGCTGCAGTGAGAACAGAACTCTGGGTTCACCTGTACGGTATTTTCTCTCTGAACTGAAGGTGGCGGTAAACCTGGACCCAGTACCCTCCTGCATAACCCCCGAGGCCACGCTGGGGCCTCTTCTTAGGCTCATTCAAGTTCAGTGCAGCTCTTTCCAGGCAATGAAAATCACATACTTAGGTAAACTCTGAGCAAGTGAATAACATAAAAGGTGATTTCTACATTTCGAGCTAAAGCTATGGCATATGGGAAAGGGCACACTTGAAAGGGTGTGAAGCACAGGAGACCAGAGAAGGGAGGCCAAGGCAAATTTTCTTGAGAAAGTTAGCCTCAGTGTAAAATAACTCAGATTTATGGTGTTTTAATTAAAACATTAGGTAATATCAGAGGGCTCCATTTTATATGACTTTAGCTTATAAAATCTTACTATCTCCACATAAAGATATAAATACATGTAGAAAGATCTTAGTTTTCTTTTTTAAAATATATTTTTATAAATTATGCTGTTACAGTTGTCCCATTTCCCCCCTTTATTTCCCTCTGCCCTGCACACCCCCTCCCACCTGCATTCTCCCCCTTTAGTTCATGTCCATGGGTCGTACATATAAGTTTTTTGTCTTATACTATTCTTAACCTACCCCTGTCTATTTTCTAACTACCATTTAAGCTATTTATTCTCTCTACCTTTTTCCCCTTTCTCCCCTTCCCATTCCCCCATTAATAACCCTCCATGTGATCTCCATTTCTGTGATTCTCTTCCTGTTCTATTGTTTGCTTAGTTTTTGTTTTTTTAGGTTCAGTTGTTAATAGCTGTGAGTTTGTTGTCATTTTACTGTTCATATTTTTTATCTTCCTCTTTTTAGATAAGTCCCTTTAACATTTCTTATAATAAGGGCTTGGTGATGATGAACTTCTTTAACTTGACCTTATCTGGGAAGCACTTTATCTGCCCTTCCTTTCTGAATGATAGCTTAGCTGGATAGAGTAATCTTGGTTGCAGGTCCTTGCCTTTCACAACTTTGAATACTTCTTTCCAGCCCCTTCTTGCCTGCAAGGTTTCTTCTAAGAAATCAGCTGACAGTCTAATGGGCACTCCTTTGTAGGTAACCACGTCCTTTTCTCTTGCTGCTTTTAAGATTCTCTCCTTATCTTTAATCTTGGGCAATGTAATTATGATGTGCCTTGGTGTATTCCTTCTTGGGTCCAAATTCTTTGGGACTCTCTGAACTTCCTGGACTTCCTGGAAGTCTATTTCCTTTGCCAGACTGGGGAAGTTCTTTATTAGTTGTTCAAATAAGTTTTCTACTTGTTGCTGTTCCTCGTCCTCTTCTGGTACCTCTATAATTCGTATGTTGCAATTTTTAAAATTGTCCTGGAGGTTCCTAAGCCTTTCCTCATTTTTTTGGAATTCTTGGTTCTTCATTCTGTTCTGGTTGAATGTTTTTTTCTTCCTTCTGGTCCACACTGCTGATGTGAGTCCCAGTTTCCTTCCTGTCACTGTTGGTTCCCTGTACATTTTCCTTTATTTCGCTTAGCATAGCTTCATTTCTTTCCTATAATTTGCAACCATGTTTGACCAATTCTGTGAGCATCCTGATTACCAGTGTTTTGAACTGGCTATCTCTTCACTGCTTAGTTGTATTTTTTCTGGAGCTTTGATCTGTTCTTTCATTTGGGCTTTTTTTTTTTTTTTTTTTTTTTTTTTTTTTGTCTCAGTGGGCCTGTTACTCGTAGTAAGGGGCGAAGCCTTAGGTGTTCACCAGGGCAGGGAAATCACAGAGCTGCATTGTGACTACATGGGGGAGGGTCCTAGAGGGAACAATGCTGCTTGCCCCACTCTCTGCCAGTTTTCAGTCAGGTCCTCTGCAACCCCAAATCAAATTGGGCCCTTCTGGTGCTGATTCCTGGGTGGGTGGACTTGTGTACATTCTAGGATCTTGTGGGTCTCTCCAACAAACTCTCCTGCAAAGTTGGGAATTTCCCCTGGTGCCTCGACCCCCACAGGTATTTTCAATCAGAGGTTTGGGGCTTTATTTCCTGGTGCTGGAACCCTGGGTGTGTGGTCTGTCTCGCTCCCCAGTTCCTCCTGGTTTATCTGCAAGGGAACGTGGGACCGCCTGCTCCACCAGCTGCCACCTTGCTGTGAGTCCTCTCCTCCTGGCTGCCCATCTCCACCCCTTGTACCGGTCTGGATGAATGTTTCTTCTTTAACTTCCTGGTTGTTGGACTTCCATACAGTTCAATTTTTTGTCAGTTCTGGTTGGTTTTTGTTTTTAAATCTGTTGTTATTCTTCTTTTGGTTGTGCAAGGAGGTACAGTGTGACTACCTACTCCTCCTTCTTGGTCGGAAGTCTCTCTTAATGTTTTGTGACTGGTGATGATGGCGCCAGTGACTTGTTACACTTGTGTAGTGATTTTCAGTTTAAAGCCTCTGGACGACCCTGCAATGTGCACAGGGCCAGCTTACAGGTGAGGAAACTGAGCTCTGAGATGACAAGCAACTTGCCCAGACCATGTGCCCAGTGATACTGAAGTTGACTTTGAACCACTGACTTCCCTTTCTGAGAATCCTCCCTCTGGTACATGTTATGAACCGCTATAATGCTAACCTCAAAACTATTTTCCCCTCCAAATGTACACTTCAGCTACACATTTCCATTAAAATATATTATCTACATATATTTGACCATGTCAGAGGTAAAGACCCATATGAAAGAGAGGAGGTAATTAACCCATTGTAATGGCCTATTTTTCTGTTAGACTTCTATTTTTCCTGGTAGAGCAGTCATGTGGCATAAAAACAAAGAAATACAATTTCCTACAATCATTCTGCACAGGTGTTCTTTCTGTGCTATGGAATGAAACATGGCAGTTGCCAGGGAGAATTTCAAGATAATGCACAAAAGGAGGTGCTTTAATTTACGAGGGACCCATTGAAAATCGAACCTGGTTTCTAACCCAACCACTATCAGCAAAATGGTGTTGGGCATAAGTTATTTACCAATCACCTGTGGACGGACATGGTTCTTTCCATGCAGTGGATATCCTTGGGGATGCATTTTTGTGTACCTGATTGTTGACTTAAGATAAATCCCTTCAAGTAGAATTACGGGGGTGAAGAGCAGGCAGCTTTTGTCAGCCGGGGGCACAGCCAGCCACGGCCTCCTCCACTGGAGGGCAAGCCCGCATGGCTGGGTCACCATCGCTTCCGAGGGATTACCCATCAGTCGTTACTGATAAACAAGGCGCTATTTTGAAGAAATTAGATTTGCTATTGGTGATAAGGTTTTCCATTCGTTTGGTTCTGTTTTTGTAAGCTAGATATGTAGTAGGTGAGCTATTCCATTATATCAACAATGGCATGTCTCCCTGGCATTCACGTAAGCTTTTCTAAGCAGAAAAGGGCTGGAATGAAAATCTGCTACTGTACTTAGTGTGAGTGGTTATGGCTAATGTATCACTTTTAATTAGAGAGACTGCTAACTAGTTCAAGTTTTAATTGCTTTTGGTGACATTTTCTACCGTGTCAAAACCTGGGCGTGCCTGAGAGTGTACTGTCAGGTCAACATCGTCGGTCCTGGGAGCCACAACGGAGTGAGGACTGAGTCCCTGACATATGACCCCGGTGCCCTTCTCGGCCAGGAATGCCCGGCTGCGTTTCTATGTGGTCCTCCTGGCATGTATCTTAAAGGCAAAGTGGGGAGAAAATACTGACATAGTCAGGGCAGACTCAGAGGACAAATTAATTGTCCTATTTTTCCAACCAACCGTATTCTTTTGTTTTGTTTTACTTTATTTATTTTTTAATTTATTTTAATTGTTTTAATAAGAAAATTGTGTAGCTGTACCTGGACATCCGGGACTGCCGGGCTCACCCTTTGGACCAGGTGGCCCGAACTGACTTGCAGGATCCCCTTTGTTTCCTATGAGTGAAAAAGCACACATAACATTATTTAAGAGAACCTAATTTTGTCTTATATAAGGAACCCAATAATTTTCATAAGTTTATCTTTATAATCTGTCTTCCTAGTCTATCTTCAAATATTCCAGGAAAGGTTTTTATTAAATGCTTTACTTTCCTACATAAGAACAAATGGAAATATAAATGCAAGATGTGTGTAAATATATACAATTTCATAAGTGATAACAATCATAGGAAACTGTAAATCTTAATAAGTTTAGATTTTAAATTCCCTCAAATAGTTCCGAATGTAGGTATCTATTTAAGAAGGTCCCTGGCGTGGCGTGACTGTGTCTTTATCTTGTGTTTTTGACACACACAAAAATTGTCCCCATTTCAGCTGTTACAGTCACATGGCAAGCTCTCTGCGAGTCAAGCTCTCTGTGAGGAAGCTCAACTTATTGCTCTTATAAAAACAAAGTCACGAACAGGGTCAGACTTCATGACAATTTCCCAAGAGGTGGCACATTCAAAGGCCATTACAGGCAGTGACCCCTACGGTCCCACAGAGCCTCAGGATGTAAGGACTTATGTCATAGTGGGAGCCATTATAAGTGGAGGGCTCAAGATGGGGTGGCAGGGAGGGGTTACAAGAGACAAACAGAGCTAATTGAGCATGTTAGCTGCCCACCAACCCAACTTTCTTAAGGGTACCATACACAGCTTGTACAAGCTTCTCTTCCATCTGACCCTACTTTGAGGAGTAGGAATCTGCCTACTCCAGTCAGCCAATCTTCCCTTGAGACATTGTAATAAAAAGTGAGAATTTGAGGTCATTGGCTATTGAAGCAGAAAGATTAAAAAAAGTAGAGTATCATAATGCCCTGATACAGAGCATGTTAGAATGCAGTCCAGACGTATGCAGGAGGTCTAGAAAGAACACTGAATAGAGAGTGATGAAACCAGTTGGCAGGGGAGTAAACAACAGGCTGTGGGCAATGGCAGAAAAGTCGCAGGGGAGACCCATGGGTTGTTAAGGGTCAGGCTCCATTAGCTGCACGGTCTGGCAGAACTGGGTCTCCTCTCTGTGGGCCCCACAGGGTGTCTTTCACTCTAAGTTTCTTGAGTGCATTTCAGTTCCTTGAAAATGCTGCCTAATGCAAATAGGAAGGAAATAAGAAGTAGATTTGTACTTTGAGAGAGGCAAAGGGACTGGAGCACATTTATAGATCCAGTGAGGAGTGAGTTCTGAAAATCCTGAAGTTAAAAGATGTCAAAATTCAAATATGAAAATATCCCTCTTTGTAACCATTTCCAAAGAAGAGATCTATATTATTCTTTCTGGATAAATGCGTGCACAGCTTATTTTTCTTACATACTTTCTTACAATTAACTTATTATTGATATCGTTTCTGTCAAAGAGGAAAGCATGTATTATTGGAAATATGGGAGAGGATTTTTAGGTGGTTCATTAATTAGTATTTTACATTTTAAAGTCTTTTTTTAAAACCATATTAAAATATAACTGCATATCAAACCTGTAAATCCACAGAGTAGAGAGGGTTAAAAAGGTGAATCCTTTTTAAAGTAAACTTAAAAATATTAAACCAACCCTGGCTGGTGTGGCTCAGTGGATTGAGCACTGGCCTATGAACTGAAAAGTCACCAGTTCAATTCCCAGCCAGGGCACATGCCAGGGTTGTGGGCCAAGTTCCCAGTTGGGGGTGTGGGAGAGACAACTGATTGGTGTATCTTTTGCACACTGATGTTTCTCTCCCTCTCTTTCTCCCTCCCTTCCCCTCACTCTAAAGATAAATAAAATCTTAAAAAATATATTAAACCAAAGGCATAAAAAATATTAATGGTATAGAAAAATAGTAAAAGTATTCAAGTTTTCATGCAAACATTGCAATTTAAGATAGCCTGATTTCTATTTATCTGCTTGTTTATGAGGATAAAGGGTTAATGAAATTCTCTAAGGACATTTTTGACATTGGGTCAACTTTCTATTTCTGTTTTCCAGAAACATGATAAAAGTAGAAGGTAGGTTGTATTACAGGCACAAGGTAAACTAAGGCCTGCAGCCTGTTTGTAAATAAAGTTTTATTAGCACTTAGCCACACCCCTTTGTGTATTAACTATGGCTGCTTCCGTGCACAATTGAGCAGATGTGACAGAGACCACAAACTAAAAGTATTTATAATTTGGTGCTTTGAAAAAAAAGTATTCGCTGACCCTTGACTTGGAGTAAAAAGTAACGTAACTGTCCACTGCATGTGGCCCAGGAGGTTTGTAGTGTAAACTATTAACACCCGGTGGGAAGCCCTGGCTTTGGCCTTTGCGGGCTGTGACTCTTGTACCTGGGACCTTAAAAACCGAACCTGTGGGGTCCTTGGAAGAAATTCTGGCCCCTGTGGGGTGTGAGGCTTCTCTGCCGAGGTGGACGGGGTGCACCCGTGTGTGTCCAATCTCCTTCCACCTGGGCTGAGGGAGCCGTGGTCACTCCAAGCACAGCAGCAAGGACTCCCCAAGGAGGACAACCTGAAGTGCCCTACAGACTTGCTGTTGTCTGCCTGGTCCTCTTGGATCTGAGTGACAGGTGTGGATGACTTGGGCCTGACTGTTTGTCCAGAAGAGTCTAAAAAGAACCCCTGAGTGTTGCAGTTTGTTTGATTTTGTGTTGCTTTTCATGCAAAGGGCGCCTGCTCACAATGTCCCAAACACCCAGGACTAGGAGACTCATGGCTGGCTGCCGTATTTCCACGCCATACCTTTGGGTCCTCTCATTCCATCAATTCCGGAAGGTCCAGGGGGCCCTGGAAAACCCGGCTCACCCTGAGAGTTTAATGAAACAGAAGGAGAACTGTAACTGGGTTTCACATACCAATGACACGGGCATGACATGATCCAGACATAGTGTGCCATAACCCATTTGGTGTTTACAACTTGCAGTAGGAAAGAAATTTGGAAATGCATTACAAGCAAGCTACTACACATGTCTAGTTTTTGAAAGTGGATGGAACTTCAGAACTGGGGGCATCTGTACCAACAGGGAGCATCTGATTTTCTGTACTTGATTGCAAAATAGTAGCTGCATCATATAACCTGAATTTTAAATTTTAAATAAACAAGTTGATACTAAATAAAGTATTAGAAATCACATCATGCCAAAAACTTTAAAAGTCTATTTTTTTCCCCATGAAATGGGTGGCAAATTATATTAATACACTTTTCTACAAGTTGTGATGCAGGCAACTACCCTTATTGTACCTCCCAGCTTCCGGGGGCTGTGTTACTCATAATTGGAAGGACCAGGTCTTTGTATTCACAGCAAAATCTGTGATATCTGCAAGTGGATAAGAAGGCTTAGACATAAGAATTTGGGTCATTTTTCAAATGACTCTTTTAGTCCATCAGCAATCATGAGGCAAGTCTCATGGAGCTGTTGTAACTAAACTCGGGGTAGTACGTGGAGTGAGCAACATGGTCACCTATGTCAGAGGAACCAGGCACTGGTCAGAAATGACAGTCACATCATGGCCTTCTGGAAGTCTCCATCTTTCCCTCAGCCAGTCCTTTCATTCTAAAAGCCAGGGAGAGGGCAATGGTGCCTACTGGCAATTTATGATGCCCCATCCGCATCCTGAGAGTGCATGGTTTTATTATTTCTCCTCTCCCAAAATAACTGCCACTTACCTGATCACCTGGAAATCCAGGAAAGCCAACGATCCCTCTCAGCCCGGGGAAGCCTGGAGCGCCTGGGGGTCCAGGAAGCCCTGGCCACCCATTTTCACCAGGCTCTCCTCTGTGAAATCCAGGTGGCCCGGGTCTTCCCGGATCTCCTTTTCTCCCCGGCATCCCAGGATAGCCTTTATCACCTGGTGGGGTCGAACGTGTTACAAACCAATTGGAGGAATTCTTGGACTAGGCTGAGGAGCTCGAAACCATTCTTGGACGGTTTGGGCTCCAGTGACCTGACTGTGAAGGAGGCTGCCCGCGAACAGCCCCAGGAGCATCCTTGGAAGGAATCAGCACACAGCATCATTCACATCAACATTCTCATTTTACAGATGAAGGACTTCCCCGGGGAAGTTCAAACGTTTGACCCCTAACAACTACTCAAGGACAGAGCCAGGACAAGAACTCAGGTCTCATGAGAATAAGTCCGAACTTGGTAAAGAGGGCACCAGAGTGGAGGTCAGATCCTTGCTGTCTGCTGTGTCTGAGGCAGCAGCCCAGGCCAAGCAAGGGAGAGCTTGTCAGAAAGGCAGGTTCAGCCCCGCCTTGCTGACTCAGAATGTGCCAAGCGAAAATGACCTGGAAAATCTTTGTGCTCTTCATTTTAATACCAGCCACTGAAAACAGGGTACTTTAAACCCGCAGTAGTATTTTGTATATTTCTCGGGATCAATCCTACTTTGGAACATCCAAATCTATAAATACGCATGAACTTCAGCTAAGTTCTGGCATGTAAAAGCAAAAAAAAAAAAGAAAGAAAGAAACAAAAGAAAAGAAACAACAACCAGAAAACTACCGTAAGTTCATTGGCATATATTTATATCTAAAAAAGGACCTGTCCCAGTCTCAGTGTTACTGGAAAAGTTGCCTAATCCACATGCTTGTGTGAATGATCTGTAAAGAAGTTAATATATTTGATATGGTTAAAAAAAACCAAAGTGTTTACCTCCTTCTCCTGGGGGCCCATCATCTCCAGGAGGTCCAGTTTCCCCGGTGCTCCCCTTTGTGGAAATTATAGCCATTTCTCCTTCATCTCCTGGGGATCCTGTGTCTCCTTTCAACAGTGATTATTCAAGAGCAAAACAAATGAGCAACACACATGTGAGCCTTCTGTTGTCCCTTCATGCAGTTTGCAGACCCCCATGTAGTCTGCTCGACTGCATTTATGTGGGTGGATTGCACAGGAGTAACACTGCTGGTTGCCTTCCTGAAGGAAGGGCCATGCCTTGCATACACCTCTCCCACTCGGCCTAACAGGGTCTGGAGGACGGGGAATACTCAGTGAATGTTTGCTGGCCTCCGTCTTCAGTGAAAAAAGACAGGCTTGAGAAGTTCCAGGTCTAAACTGTGCCTCTCCATTCTGTAAAATCTGAACCGCCTATCCCAGGTTTTCCAGTTCGCCATCTTCCTCTTCCTAGCCACCCTCTATTAGTGCCCTTCCATTAAAGGAACCGACACTTGTCTCAGCTTGGGTCTTCACACAAAGAATTCCAAGAAGTAGGAAGAGTGAATGATATAGCTGCCTGATTTTCTTAATAAAAACTGTCCAGTTGTAGAGTGTGTTGGGGTGGGTTCCTACCAGCTTGGTGAGAGCCAGTTATTAACAACTCAGAGCTTTAAATCAGCCGTTCTGGGAGTCTTTACACCATGAGGAAAATACTCATGCCTCGGTGGGACTAGACGTGCCATGGTGGGAGTATCCGTGCCACACTCTCAGCAGTCACTACCAGGGGATTTATTTTAAACTTTATTTTGGAGAACCAGTTCATCAACACACCACTGGCATTCACCTCAGTTTTTACTTTTTTGATGGGATCATTGTTTAGTAGCATAATATCGCTAACACAACAAACATCACTTATCACAGTCTTTAGCTAGCAAAGAGTGATGCTTTGATTCCTTGATTCTACAAAAATAATGTATAAGCTAGTAAAACAAAATAATAGCAGAATCAAGCACCTGAGAAGTAAGACCTTGGTTAATTTGAATTAACCAAGAGGCTATTTCCCCAAAGGGTGTTAAAGGTTTTACCTTGTTTCTGAAATTGGCAACTACTCATTCTCAACACTGGAAACGAAATGTTACTTTCACTCACTGTAGACTCACAGTGAAGAGGTAAAAGTTAATATTTCAAACAGATGAGAATAAACAAGTAATCTCAAAACTTTCATGTTTTATACTAATAAAAACTCTTTTTATTTTTCAATTACAGTTGACGTTCAATTTTTCAGTTGAAAACTCTCACTTTAAATTAAGCTGGTGGAGAGACTGAACTCAGCCCACATGAAAGCGAACTCATTCCGTTTCAGAGGCCGGCAAGCCACAGCCCGAGGGCCGAATCCTGCCTGCTGCCAGTTTCTGTACGATTCATGAGCCATGATGGGTTTTCACACTTTCAGATCATTGGGAGAAAAACGCAAAACAAGAATAGTATTTTATGACATGTGAAAATTAGGTCAAGTTCAAATTTCCGTCTCCATAAATAGAATATTCTACATGTGTCTCTGGTGGCTTTCATGCTACAATGGCCTAGTAGAATAGTTGCAACAGAAACCATACTTCATGCAAAGCCTAAAATAGTTATATCTAGCTCCTTAAAATTAAAAAATATATTTTTCATAAAAATATTGAAACAGAATTTGGGAGCCAAGAGCCCTGACTGCACCCCCTTCTTAAAAGATGAGAATGTTCTCTGAAACCCAATAGCTGTAAATCAGAGCACTTATCAATTTTCTTCTGTGAAGAGAGCAATTCATTTACCATAGTGCTGTGTAATAAGATTGAGAGGTCAGGAAAATGGGCTTTGTTTAAAATTCTAAAACCAACACAGAGCCAAAAGGAGGAATCGAAGCTGCAGGATGGTCCCATTTTGTGTTCCAGGGACCATATTTATTGGTTCTGAGCAAACACCGAGAGCAAATCTCTGCTGCATCGCTATGCTATTAACTGCATTTACCTTTGGCGCCTCTCACTCCCTGGTCTCCCTCCAAGCCAGGCCAACCCTTCTCTCCGGCGTCCCCCTTTCTGCCACGGTGTCCCTCGGGGCCAGGCTTTCCTCTCTCTCCAGGGAAACCTGGCAAGCCAGGCAGCCCTTGGGGGCCTGGAGAAGAGAAAGCATGAATTTTTAGGGAGAGGTTTTAAAGGCTACGTGGTCCTAGATCTGTGCCCTGCGGTCCACCTGAGGTGTGCACTCCCGCCTGACTCTGAGTTTGTAGTGAAGGTGAGCACCCACGATGAGTCCTGTGCTGCAGAAGAGCCGGGCTCTCCCACCCCACGGGTCCCTTATGTTTCTGAGTCCTGATCCCACAGTGGTTGCAGAGAACTGAGTGTGAGGGAGGGAGCTGGAGAAAGGAGGGGGGCATCTGAAACAGAAGCGCATTAGCCTTGACCCTACAATTTACAGGTTCTACCCAGTTCATTGAACAGAAGTGTTTGTGGGCTCTGTGGCCCTAACACCCCACCTACCAAAAAATTCTGCCACTGGAAATATTAGTACAGAAGATAAGAAATGGGGAGATGTCACCAAGGGAAGCACAGAGTCAAGCTCATAGAACAGAACATTCTATAGTGCGGTCATACCTAACAGGCTTCACCTGGCAGTGAATTGTAAGTTTATAAAGTGAGGAAGATAATTGAAAAGTGCTACCCACCCTTGGGGCCTGGATGACCAGGTAGTCCATCGTCCCCAAAGGGGCCTGGGATTCCTGGGGGCCCTGGGGGTCCATCTACCCCTGGCCTTCCTGGGACTCCTGGGAGGCCCTTCATTCCAGCTGGCCCAGGAGGCCCCGCGTCTCCTTGCTGTCCTTTCCCGCCCGGGGCACCTGAGGCAAAGCACAGTGACAACCATACAGCGAGACTAAAACGCGGCCTCACCCACAGACAGGGAAAGAGGCTCCTTAAATGGTGCGTCTGGGCCCATGAAACAAAAGTGAAACAGTGTTTATCGGCTAAAAGAAGGCTAGCCACTCTCCATCACTCTACGGATATACTTTTTCTGGCTGCTATAAAATGAAGGGCAGAAATATTTCCCAATAAGGATGGCTGAACAGTATAAAGAGTTTTTATGGGAAATGGATAGGGGTGAAAACCAAAATGTTATTTGTATTTACTCTTGGAGGTGCGGAGGGATGGGGACAGAAACCAAAGAAGAAAACTTTCCCGACCCTTCCAGACACCATGGCCGAGTTTTGGTCAGCATGTTAACTGTGATGGGAGAACTGTAGAAACCAGAGCTCCATCATCTGATGTTCTTGGTGCTAGAAACAAAGTGATAGGGGCAGGTTTCGTCCCACCCTTGTGTTGACCCTATGAGATGGCACGTCCCTACGTTTGGGTCGACGCAATAGGATTGACGTAACAGGTGGCAAACTGGATGCTGAATGAAGATCATGTTGGAAATAGCCCCTTAGAGCCCTGTGTTGAGAGATGCTCTTTCATGAGTTCCTACAGGTTTTAAAGTGTATGCCAAGGATACAGGGTCCTGACTGCTCTTTATCTGGGCTGTTATTTCTCGAGGTCATGTTTGCTGAGAGCAGCCTCGACAGATGATACAGCACCTCCCCCAGCACAGGAGCAGGCTGTCCTCTGTCTACTGAAAACCAGTGGCTTTCCTCTCGGGTACTGCAACGAGCTGGGTGCACAGCATCTATCTAGCCCCTTATGTTGCCCCCGAGAGACTTGGGTGGCTCGGGGAAATGGCATAAACCAACAGGAAGTTCATGCTACTTTCTGTGCAGTAAATAATGAAGTTCTTTGTCTCTGACCCCGCAGACTCATTTCTCCCCAGCATCCGTGAAACAGCAACAAGCGAGCTTATTCCTGTGTAAGTCAGGTAAAGCCCCAGACCCCTCACAGCTCTTGCCACCTGCTGACACTTACCTGGACTGCCTGGAGCCCCAGGGAGACCCGGTGACCCTGGTCTCCCGGGAGCACCTCTTTCACAGGAATGGCCCGGTGCACCTGGGATACCTGGAAACCCGGCGCTTCCCTCTTTGCCTTTAGGGCCTTTGAGACCTGGGGTTCCGGGCACGCCAGCTGGCCCTGAAATGATACAATTCACCTGTGTCGCTCATGGCACAGAAACAATACAGATGGTGAACCGTACGTGCAGGCCCATCAACACAGGAAGTCAACATTTTCATCTGGCTCAGCGCTCAAACGGGTTAATTCTGTGAATGGGAAGCTGTGAGTTGCTCAGGGAGTTACTTGACAGGGTTAGGTAGACAACAAAGAGGTTGTTTATGCAAATTGAAAAGCCACGCAGTTCTTCCTGATTTTAATTAACCTCTAACACTGCATCAGGCTTCACACAAAATCTCCACACCACTTACAAACCCAACTGGTGCTGTACCGATTTCCATTTCTATTTATTGGAAAGGTGTTGTCGTAATCTTCAGAAAGAAAAATACCCCCCCATAATTCCCCATCCTAACCAAAAAGATCTATTTTATTTTTCCATGTTTTCTTTATACTTGTGGTTCATATGTATACATTTTTAAAGTAGTAATCACAATGCACATTGAATTGTTAGATTATTTCACATTGCATATTAATCTGCAAGTGTTTTCCATTTTGTTGTAAACTTTACAAATAACATTTTAACTGCTAATGCTAATCACTGAATAGTGTTTCTTAGAGTATGTAGGCATGTGTATTACTTAACTCTCTTTATTAAAAATAACATTATAGTTGACTTGAGAAACTCAGGTTTGAATTGTACAAGTTAACTTATATGCAGGTTTTTGTCAATAAACACAGTAAATGTATTTTCTCCTCCTTATAATTTTCTTAATAGCATTTTCTTTTTTTCCAGCTTACTTTTATTGTTAGAATACAGTATATACTACACATAACATACAAAATATGTGATAACTGACTGTTTATGTCGTCCGTAAGGCTTACAGTCAAGAGTAGGTTAGTAGTATTTAAGTTTAGGAGAGTCAAAGGTTACATGCGGAGTTTTGACTGCACAAGTGTGGGGATGAGGCTCACTGTCTCCAACCCCAGCATCGTTCAAAGGTCAGCCGTGAAAGTGTATTTTTATAACCGTCATCTTCTGTCCAGTACTGCCCTGAGATACATTTTCACAAGTCTGATAGCGAGATTATCAGACCAAAATTATTTTCATTGACTCACATGATGTGTTGCAACTTTCCCATTTATTGGATTTTTTATATGCAAATATTTTTACTTACAGACTACCCAGCTAAGCTCCCTGAGGACAGAGGATGCGGCTAACTCCCCTACCTTCCCGCTTGCCCAGCACGATTGTACTATTGTGGGGACCTAGTAAACGCTGGCCCATCCGCTGTTAGAAAAGCACAGAGCAGGGTCTGTCCAAGTCTGGTCTGGGGTCCACTCTTGGTCACTAACACCCTAGGGCTAAAGTGTTTACTGGACTATGGGGCCTCACCCAATTTGGACAAAATGAAACAGAATTCCTGAGTCTGGAGCCCAGCAGATGTTGATTCTGATGACCTCATCCCAACCCAGGATGACTTTTAAGTTCATTTAAGTCTGAAAACTTCTGCTGGGGTTCCTGAAGAATCCTTAGAGATTTTGGAAAAGGATGTGAATCCCTGCCCGGGCCACCTTCCCATCCTGAGTTTCTTCCCCGCTGCCCTGCCTGCAACCCCTGCTGGAGCGGAAGTCCTGTCACCCTGTCTCCTGTCCAAATCATGCAGCTCGTCTGCCAGGGCTCCGCTGGTGTCCAGCTCTCCCAGGGAGCGCTCCCTGGGCGCCTGCCCACCCCTCTGAGCTGCTCTTCCCCATCCAGCCCATCCCGTCCTTCACCCCGGCCATGGCAGTGGGCGGGCTACACAGTCCCTGCTCCTTGGCACTAACACACTGTCCTGAGTCCAAAGCAGGAAGACCAGTATCCAGTAGCTGCCAAATCAAATTGATTTGCCTGAGCCATGGTGAGCTGATCTGGATTTGAAAACCACCAATAAAATGCAAAAGCAACACAGGTTATTTGAAAGGTAACTGGGGTATCCACGTAGGAGAGACAGTGCTCAGGGGACATTTTTACGTTCTGGATTTCTAAGTCAAGATATTGCAAATGCCCTTCAATGACGTGTCCCAGAACTGAGCTGGCTCTGTAGACACAGGGACAGCACAACCCTCATACCTGCAGGCCCGGGATGTCCTGGGTCACCCCTGAGGCCTTTCAACCCTGGCATTCCTGAAGGACCCCTCTTTCCCGGGGGTCCTGGGAGGCCATAAGCAGGGTCTCCAGGGATTCCTTTCTGACCATCCGGTCCAGGTAAACCAGGAGGGCCTGGGGGCCCGGCAGGAGAGGAGCCCTTGTCTCCTTCCAGACCTGGATCTCCCATGACACCACGGACACCTATGGAACAAAAATCATTTCAAGCATTAAATGTAGAAATCTAGAACCTAAGACAGCTACTACCTATAAGAACCTATAAGACTGCTACTTTGATAAAAACACATTTTTAAAAAATACAAAGGCACTTAACAGGTGTTGTTTTTGCCATCTTTTGCAAGGAAGTATATTGTAATTTTGTATTTCCTAAATACTGATGATGTCTCCCTGATTGCTTGCATCCTGTGGCAGACAGACTGCCTGGATCGAGCATCTTTTACAATGTAACAGGCCAACGATGACCTACAACTGATGCTTCAGGTGAAAGAGGCCCCGAAAACTCACAAAATTACCATAACGCAGCTAGGACCTTCATGCACCGCCAAAACCCTTTTCCCACCATCTGGGGATCTCTGGCTGTTGCCTTAAGAAGATCATCTAGTTTTAGGACATACGACTTTCCTAATGAAAAGCACTTTCCTTACCAGGTGGACCAGGTATCTTTGATAGTCCCGGTTTGCCAGGCCAACCTTTTTGCCCATCAAAACCCCTCAGCCCAGGAGCACCCTGAGGACCTGGAAATCCTCTGGGACCTAAACAATAACAATGAAACACAGACTCAGTGAGACGCAAATCAAATAAGAACAACATGGGGTGACTTAAAAAAAAATCTGTGTTGAGCCTCTTTACCAGTGTTTCTACTTGACGTCAGTCAAGATGTGTCCTCGTCTGGGCGGTAGAACTGTTTTATGTCCCCTGCTCCGAATAAGTGTTTCTTAGGCAGTGATTGTGTTCAGGCACGTTCAAGCCCCCCTGTAAAGGGCTCTTCCTGAAAGCCTTTTGCACGAGCACCGCCCTCCAGCTGAACCTTTCAGTGTGTTTTCATGCTGAGTGTCAAAGGCAAATATGCAAACACAGCCTGTCCTTCAGGGAGGGTGCAGGTGGTGGCCAGCGTGTGGCCTGATGCAAAGACGCCACAGGCCAGTCTAGTCCCTGAACCTCACTACATTTGCCCTTAAGTGAAGTACAGGCCAAAAGTCCCTGTGAAAGGAATTGAGGGATTTTTTAAAACCTCCTGTGATTTCCTATTAGGAGATACCTCAGCTGAAATAACATACAAATCATGAACATTCAATCAGTCAGCCAGCAATGGTTCCCTCTACTGGCGGAGATGTGTACTTCCACACCCTGGCCCTTGCCTTGTGTTGGGTGGAGTGTGGTTCCCACTCTCTGATCTGGGGCTTGGTCCTGTGACTTGCTTTGGCCAATAGGATATTAACAACCATGAAGCAACGAGAGGTGCGAACTCTGCCCATAAAGCCAGGCTGCCCTCTTGCATTTCTGCAATCACATGAGACAAGCACATGCTGGTCCCACAGTGACCCGATTCTGCAAACCCCAACTTGAACTTGAGCCCAGGACCAAGTCAACCAACACCATCTTAGGTCAACTGAACTCCCACAAACCTACAGACCCAAAACAAAGAATATTAATATTTGTGGTAGCCCACTGGGATTTTGAGGTTGTTACATAACCTTATCGTGACAAAAGCTATTGGCTACGGAGGGCTGTAGAGTGCCATTCACCATTCAACCTTTAATTTTTTTTTGTTGTATAGGACAGAAAGGTTACCTTCAGTAGCTCTGCTAATGGTTAATGGGTTCATTTAAGTGAACTCTGAATAAATAAAAGGAAATTGGGCAAAATTCTTTATATAGATTTGGGGTCTAGTGTGGCTAAAAAGATAGTGATTCAAATGAAGTAGTTTCATGAATATGAAATCAGGGACATAGGTATGTGGGCATTTTTCAGATTGTTTCTGGCCAGAAGTTTGGGTCTCTTGTAGAGCAGAATAGAGAAACTCTTATAATCAGTAAGCAAATGATTGTTTTTTTATTCTTGAGACTCAGGAAAAGAAAGTAGATAACATTTTAAAACTCTCCAAGGCAGACATTTTCACTTACATGTGATCAAACCAAGGTCAATGTTGTTGCAGAGAGATATGAAAACCCACTTGGAGTATGCCCAGACCAGGAGACTAGAGACCTACTGTGAATGACTACAAATGCTGTTTTCTCATGGGCCCTCAGATCCTTTGATTAATTTTAGAAATGCCCTATTTGCCTGTGGATTTGCTTTTGTTTTATCTGCCTCACCAGATCTTTTATTCTGGGGAATGTATAAGACAGTAACTTCTCATTGGTCATACCTGGAGGTCCATCAGCACCCGGAGGGCCTTGCTTCCCAGGATAGCTGACATTATAAGAAATTGTATCACCTGGAATAATAATTTTAAGAAGGTAGCATTCACACAACTGATAGCCCAATGCATGGTGAATCTCAATGACAATTCAATCAATATATTTTCATAGAGGATATGTAGGATTCAAAGGAAAAGACTCAAAAACATCATAGATCACTTGAACTACTCCTATTTCAAATTTCTAGAAAATCTGTCCTGACATCCAAACTTCAACTCTCAGAGCAGTTATAAACATAAGGGGACTAAGAAAAATATTGATTCCAAGAAGCATCAGTTTTAATAACATAGAACAAATATTGAGTTTATAGACTCATGGGTGTGAGTGCCAGGAGAAGCTCTGGTAAATCATGAGCTAGCAGCAAGTGTCCATGCTGAATTCAGAAGATTCAGCTCCTCATCTGGATGTGGGGTAATAGTGCAAATAAAGAGACTGGGCGGGGCATTACTAATAGCTACCGTTCACTGAGGGCCTGGCCTGGGTCAGGTACCTCCAACAGGTGAGCTCATGTTTTTGCGATGACCCTGCAGTGCGGTGATTGTCACCCCCCATTCTAATCAGGGAGGACAATAAGACTCCGGTGCGTGCCTTTGAGACTCCCACTCCTTTCAAGTGGGATGTTCGTGTTTTACCATAGAAATAATATCTCATCACATATGCCCTCAAATCAAAAACATATGAGAGGAATAAAAGCAACCTTAGATTTTGATGGATCCTGGACTGATTTTAAACTGTATTGAGTGCCACAGTATTTGCCTTTCTGAATCATTAAATCAAGAACCGAAAATATTATTCTTTTCTGAAATTTCACAATTAACAATGCAGCCCAAGGTATGTGGACATATTACAAAAGAAAAAAATCTTAAATAAATCTTTTTCCAACCTTTAAAAAAGTTTATAGCTATAATACTGCACATCATTTCATTGTTTGAAATTCATAAACTGTCAAATATATTTAAAATCCCTTCTTTTTTCTCCCAAGAATGCTTACAGATGGGTTTGCAGGGACAATGTAATGTGTTTTTTAAATGAAACTCTAGTGTTTTTTTAAAATTAAAATACACTGCCTTATCTCAGAAGGTTGTAAAAATAGATATTTTAAATATGGGTATATATGTAATTTTAATACGGTCAGATTATATTAATTGATACTGAGAAATAAGTAAAAGGCAACTTTGGCATGCCAAAGAAAGCAACAAAGACATCATTTTTAAGCATTTGTTTAAATATTAATTGTGATGCTTTTACTTGTTTCACAACATTCATGGTCTGAACAGGAGCTTGGTGGACTTTTACTTAGTGATTCTGCCCTGGCTCGAATAACTGTGCCCAGAGGAGAGGCTCACTTGACCTTCCGTGGCTGTACTTGATGTACCGCCACACAGAACATTCATAATTACCTTTCTGACCCTTCGGGCCATCAGGGCCCCTCTCACCCGGGCGGCCTGGGGCTCCTGGCTGCCCCCTTTCTCCCGGTGGGCCAGGAAATCCCAGTCCTGGAGGTCCCTTCGGTCCTTCTCTTCCAGGGGGACCTGGCTGTCCAGGAAACCCTCGGTCACCTGGGGCCGCGTCCTCATGATCCCCCTGGGAACGTTCGCATCGTGAATCAGTTACCAACCTTGGAGAGTCCATGAACTCAAAGTAGTCATTGTCACAAGCTTACGAAACACAGGCAGAAAGCTCGTAATTCTAGGAGACAGGGACTCAACAGCAAATTTAATTTCAAGGGGTTAGATTCTTCTTTATATTTTACATTCATATTTCCACATAGATGTGATTGGGGTGTGGGTCTTATTGCCTCAAACACAAAAAGTTATGTGGTTGTGACATCTTAAAAACAGAATAAGAAATTTTATGGAGAACCATTCTTTATTATTAAATGTAATAAAATACAGACATGAGTAAATGAATGGAGGTTAGGGGGCTTGCAAATTGAGTAAGTTCTTATGCATTCGAAATTGTTTTCCAGCACTTTTATGAGCAGGCACAGGGCGGTCTCCATCCCCTTCCACATCTGTGGACAAAGGGCTGGCAAATCCTTGCTCTTCCCACGTAAAAATCTGACCTTTGACCAACTGTCCACTTCTGTTGCTCTGGAAACTATAACAATCACATGTCAACTGCATTAGTAGGCAACCTTACATAGAGTAAAATCAAACCCAGGCAGCAAAATCTGCATCTGGTCTGGAAGGGCTGGAAAGACCTGTGCAGAACACTCGTTGGAGCTTCCTTGAGTGGTGGCTCCTATAACCACCACGTTCCACGTGGGGTCCCCCGAGCTCCACTGTGGGGATAACAGTCCTTATGGGGAAGGCGGCTTTCAAGTCAGCGCTGCTCACACTCTCCCACGTGTGATCTCATCTCCTCCACCCCACCTGAGTGCCTAGTGGCAAGGGCTCTGGCTCACCAGGAGTGCCTGACGCTGCCCTACGGGCAAGTTCACTGTCCTGTCTTCTATGCTTCTGAATAGGCTGGTCCCAAATGTGATATATAATAGTGTTGTGAGTCTCGCTTGTTTCAGTGAACCTAGGAAGACCACCCCTGGCAGTGGGTATTACAGAAATTCCCCTCCCGATGTGATCTGTAATATACCCTGGTTTCACACAATTAGGTTAGTGTGCACGAAGACAACTGCCACTCAGTGGCATTGGTTCTAAATAGTTTCTCGAGTGGAAGAGTGAATTAAACAGGGACTATCGAGTCTAGAACAGAGAACATTATTCACATATGTGAAGTCAGCTGAAAGGCCAGAAAGCTGTAAACATTATCTAACCTGACTTCTAAACTTCTGCCTCTTATTTACATGTGTTCTCTCTGGATGATTTCTTATAAAATTACAATGTGATTCTTCCCTAGTACAACGCAGTCTGGTGGAGGTACCACGTGCTTTGGAATAAGGCCAGCTGCCATTTTCACTGCTGTTTAACCTACTTGACAGATAGAGGACCTTGAGCGACCTTACTGTAACACTGGAGAGAGAATTGCTCTTTAGAAGCCTGCTATTGGGAGTAGACACCTCGTCACTTCCTGTGTGAGGATAAGTATTCAGAAACACCTCAATATACCTGATGGTTTAAATTCCTAAGCATTGAAACATGATTCACAGTCTTTTCTTATGGCCTTCATTACCTAGACATGGTCTCCACCCAAAACATGCTTGACAAATGCAGAAATGTCATTTAGTAATGGATTTTCCATCAGCCAATACATCAATGTAGTGAATTCGTACCAGTTTATCCTTTTTTTGCTTGCTACTTCCCTCACATGCTCCTTCACTAGGGAACAGAACTCAAGGTAATTATTAGGACCTGTGCTCTATTCTCCACCCTCCTGAGTCAACCAGACAGGCCTCTCATTAGTGCAGGCTTTGAAGACACAAGGGAGAAAACCACCGCAAGAATGATACAAAGCCTGGAGATGGAAAGCCCTGATGTGACGGAACTGCCACTCAGCATTTCAGACCATCTGCAGTTACGCCCTAGCTTTTAGGACAGCCACAGTTTTGTGTTGGTGTATCAAGGTGGCTCCAACTTCCAGCACATTAGCATTTACCGAGGTAGAGCGGTTGCTTTGCGCTCATGTAAGACAGCAAAATTCCAGAGCAGAAGAATTGTACATACTGGGGGGCCTGGGTCCCCTGGTGCGCCAGGTTGTCCATCCCAACCATGTTGTCCCTGCTGCCCTGGAAGTCCTGGGAGCCCTTCAGGACCTCTTTCGCCTTTGTGCCCTGGGAACAAAAGCCAAAAAGACAGTCAAGCTCTTATCAGAAGTGGGTGAAGTAGAAGACAACTTGGGACTACAGATAGAGGCATGACCTTGACCCTGTGTGAGCTGGGAGAGAGTCCTCTGAGTGTCCCACTCGTCTCAGTCACACGAAAGCAACTGTGAAAAAGTCAGAGGGGAGATGACAGTTGCCAAAACCACTGAATCTTCTATTTGGGAGACATTCCTCTTCCCATTCTGACGGGGGATTCTGTGTGGGGCTGCCAATCACAATAGCATCTCCCCTGCTTGTGAAATGTCAGACATGGTCCTCCACCGCCTGGCCACAGTGGACGGGAGATGATTCGTGGTTAGGCACTTGCCAAGGCTGGGCCAGTCCTTCCTGAAATTTGTTTCTAACTGGAGCAGAGAAAATAGAGTTCTCTCTTATATCGGGTTGGAAGAACTGGACCTGCCTGCGGCATGTACCCACAGCCCAGTGAAAGCCACTCTTGGGGCAAAGTGCAGATGACACAGTGAAATATGCAAGATGCAGGGACAGCCTCCTACGTGGCTGTCCTTGCAAACCCCACATCTAACCTTTCAAATTTTGCTTAATTAACCCCCAAATTACTTTTTTCTTAAACTACTCCAATTCGGATTTCTATCACTTTACAACCAACATATTCTTGATCAGTACAGGATTCTGTAAGGCAGTGAATACATACTAGGCCAAGTCAAAGGAGGGCTGGTTTCAAACCCGGGTTCCCAACACTAAGGATTTGAAAAGGTGACCGAAGGAGCATGTATATTTCCAAGTAAGAGACAGAGGATTCGGGGCTCAACATTCACACGACTCAGTGAAGGGCCAAGAGTATTTTTTTAAAATCTCAATAACAGTCTTAAGTCTTGTTGTAGAATTGATTTGTGGTCACTGGGGAGATCACTGCAAGAAGGTGGTTCATGCATCATTTACAAGGTCGCAGCGAAGTGACCGACGAGGCTCACCTTTGACTCTCGCTACAACCCCATCTCCCTTTTCTCCTTGGTTGCCAGGCGGTCCTGGGGCTCCAGGTGTTCCCTGGGTGAAAAATAACAGCAACAGGTCAACAGTTTAATTGTGGTGGGTCAGAGGCTATTCACGTTCTTGTATATTTAATCTCTTCTTTCCTTCTAATCACCTGTTCCAGATTCTAGCCTGGCACACCTGGTATCCCTCTCGTCCTTGCCTTCCGAGGCGGGCCCTGCCTTACAAAACTGAGGCTCTTGAATTGCACGTAAAAGCCGGGTCTGAATAACGTCTGTCCCTGAGTCAGCAGAAATTCATCAGCACCACTTTCCCGGGGTGACAACGCACTAGGATTATGTAAGACACCGTTGGGCGAAGCTGGGTGCAGGGTACGTGGGAGTTCTCTGAATGACCATGTGACTTCTTATAAGTAAAACTTTATTTTAAAATAAAAAATCTATAGTTAGAAAAAACTTTTAAAACTATCTTCGGCTTTGTAATGCAGAACTGAAAGCACAGGGGTAGGCTAACCATGGCAGCTGCTGCTAGAACTGAAGGTGAGGTTTAGAGATGCGTTTGTGATTAAAGAGCCTGATAGTCAGGGAAGTTAATGAGTAATAGAAGGAAAAGTAAGAACTTTGCTATAGTCAGTATACTTCCTCTGCATAGCAAGTAACCAACTACCATATTTTGCTTTGTATAAGGCACATTTTTTTGCCCACATTTTTGGGCAAAATAAGAGTGCACATTATACATGTGTGGTACTAAAATGTGGGTGCATGTTTATACGGCGAAATATGGTAATTCTGGCTGGTGGGGTCATCATCTTTTGACCTCCATTGTTCTGAGACTGGTGTATTTGGGTTATGGTTTTGTAGGTGTCACATACTATCAAATAGCAAGCCATGTCAAAAATCTAGAACCCTAGTGTTGGTATATTGGGGTGGCCAAGCATTCCAGTAAATATTCTAGTAAACATAGAAGCACTAAACATAGCCGAAAGTTACTTATCAAAAAGCACCGGCAGGAATCTGAAAGGAGGCAAAAATGACTGACAGACCATTTGCTTTGCTCCCACACAGGCCCCGTTGCCATACCCTCACATACTCCCACGATATACTGAAGCAGGCCCAGGTACCTGTTCAACTGGCCCTTACTCGTTTACAAGCAATGAGGTGTAAAGGGGAGGAAGGCGCCAGAGAGATGGGCATAACCTCAGCGTCAAACAGAGAGAGTGTAAAGAAGCCAAATGTGCACCCAACAGGCAGAGAAACTGAATTGGATGTCATGGTTGGGAGCCATTTCATGTGCTACACACACCCCAGCCACTCCATAACCCCAAGAATATCACTCCAGGGTAACGTCCTGTGTGCAGCAATATCTAGGAGGCATCAAAACGGTGAGTGGAGAGAAATTTCTTAGTAGAAATAGCCAAATGCAACAGGAAAGGAACTTTAGAAATCGTAAAGTGCTCACAAGGCTTGAGTGTTGCTTAAATTCTTATTTTTTGCTACCTATGCTGAGCCATAAGGGACAGAGAGACAGGGCCAAAGTGGTTGGCGTGTAGTATCCAGTCCAAGAGATGGATAATGAAAATGTCAACATTTCACTGATGGACTAGCAACAGGAAGCTATCCACGTAGCATTTGAACCAATGACTCCCCAGGAAGACAATACCAGGGCCCCGCTTTCTGAACACCCCTGAGGAAGGCATACACCCTGGAGTCTGAGCAGATAAACAGTGAGCACACTGGCAACTTAGAGTGTATTACGAATTGCTCTAATGATCTGCAGACGTGGAATTTTAATTACTAGAGTCAGAGCATAGACTAAGCTGAGCTACTAAGAAAAAGCAATTACCAGCACCGTCTTTGCATTTTGCTAAAGAGACATTCATTTACTGAGAACCTACAAAGAGCCAGGCGTTGTTCTGAGTCCCAAGGATACAGCAGTTAACAAGACCGTCTGCCTTCACGGCATGGAGACGCTAGTGAAACAAATGCTGAATCTGTGAACTTCCTGGGGTCAGAGAGAGTCCTGGCCACTTTGGGATTGAGAGCGACTTTTCACAATTCTGAGACCCGCGATGACTAAACACGTGTGTTAACAAAACAGCCAAATCTCAGCAGCAACAAAAATGTCCTCTCTGCCAGGCACATACTAGTTGTTTTGCACATGGTCTAGGTCCAGGACCTCAACTGCAGGTGCCCGGTGGGTCGTATCCTTCTGAGGGAAGCTGGTGGGTGGCCATGGTGGGGGCTGGACAGCCCAGACCTCCTCCCATGGGCACAGCCGCCTCTGAGCTTCCAGCCGCAGTGGGAACACACTGACCCTGTGTTAATGAGCTTCCGAGTCTCCAGGATGGCCATAAACCTCACATTAACAGTACAAAAAGAAACAGTGAGATGTAGGAGGGAGTGAGAGCACCCACAGTCACTGACTGTGGTTCCTTCATGGTTCCTCCTTCTGTCCACCCCTCCCTCCCTCCTTTCCTAGTGCCCCACAGTATGAACTTGGCTCCTAACTGTAGCCACAAAGCGATGAATTTAATGCAGGGAAGTGATGTGGATAGAATCATACACAGACCAAAGACATCACAAATACAAAGACTTAAGCCCTTGAGCACAGGAATGACATAAACCTCAGCCTGGACAACCCTAGATGAACTAGGAATCCACACTTCAACATATTAGCCCTGAGAAGCAACTCAATAGGAAGCCACAAAAGTATTTTAGAGCCAATTAAATCTTCATTAAGAAGATTAAGTAGCAACGAAAAGAAATGACTGTGATAAAATGTTGAATTAGAAAAGCAGACTATAAAATGCAAATTACGTGATAATTACAACCAAGTCCGCTCCCCTTCCGTGTGTGAGGGCCTGGCTTCCTGCTGACCAGACTGTGAAGTGCAGTAGCTGGGTCATCACCCTCACTTCAGGGTCTCAGATCGAGACCTTATTTTCATGAGATTTCCTGGGAGAAATGAAAATGTACGTGGGAGCTGCTGGTGAGGCTCCAGGCCACCCAGGATTAAGCCTCTTTCATAAGCAGGGAGAGGAGGTCTGTCTCCAGCCTGCAGAGGGGTGTCCAGGGGGCAGCGATTTTATTCTGAGGGGCAGCTGAAAGGCTGTGCTTCAACCTGAGCCTCTTGTAATGGTCAGAAAATGAGAGCCACTTCGAGATACATCCCATCCACTCTCTGGCACTAAATCTCACGTGAGCTCTGCCAATGCCAATATTTGTATCTCCAGCCTCTCCCTCTGATCTGGATCCTTTACTTACATATTATCCCCGCTGCCTACTCAACATCTCCACTTGCCTGTCTACTAGGCATCTCAGACTTAAATGTCCCCAGTGGTATTGCTTCCCTCCATCGACCCATGGCTGCTCCTCCCATCGTCTTCGCCATCTCGGCTCCAGCCTTCATGCCTCTTCTCCTCACCTCCCCTGTCCAGGCGAACAGCCCCCCGTTGGCTCTATCTTCAGAATGCATCCAGAATCTGCCCACTTCCCACCACGCCCTGTACTACCAGGTACCGTATTTTGCTATGTAAAATGTGTACCACATTTTTGGACCAAATTTTCAGGGAAAAAAAACTTTCATTTTAATTTTTAATTCAACTTTTTCTTTATTTATATTTAGATACTTGGTTTTTATATTCTAAAGGAATTTTAGCATTTATTTTTTAACATATTATGGTACAAAAAAATTTTATGTGAGAGATAATTACAAAACACAAGAACAGATAAAAGTATTTCAGGCACTACCCATGTATAGTGTGCATCCTTCTTTTTCCCTCAAAAATTCGGGCCAAAAACTGTGCGTTAAACATGTCAAAATACGGTAAACCATGTGCCATCTTATGCCATCAGGATTGCTGCAGGCTCTCTCTGCTCCTCCCCTTCCCCACGAGGGTCTGGCTTTAACAGAGCTACAAGGATGGTCCATTTAAAATGAGTGTCAGAATCTTTCTGGCCTTAAAACTCACTCCTGGCTGCTCTGTGTCATCCAGAGTAAAAACTCACACTCAGCCCAGAGTAAAAACTCACACAGAGCCCCATGCTCAGCAGCCCCTCCTAACCTCCAGCCATTCCTTTGACTTTATCTTCTCCTGCTCTGCCCCTCACTGTCTCCACTCAAGCCACACTGGACAGTGATGGCCTTGATCAACACACCCCATACTATATATTTATTCACCCATCTGTTATATGGTGTGTGTCCTCCCCACAGGGTAGAGGCTCCCAGAGAGCAGAGACTGTGTTCTGGTCCCTGCTGTATCCTTAGCACCTGCAATAGCACCTAGAACATAGCAGGTGCTCCATAAATACGAGTCAAATGGATGGATAGACACATGGATGAATGAAAACAGATATTTTAGGGCATGCATTTATTTATAGAATCAAAACATAAAATATGTATCACACTATAAATTAGAAATAGGTCCCATTGAATTCAATCTCTGTCTCTTTTAACTAGAAAGATTGTTACTGGGAAGAATTACTCACTGGTGGCCCTGGAGATCCTTTGGCACCAGGGGGGCCCGGGTGACCTTTTTCTCCAGGCCACCCGCGGGGCCCCAAGTCTCCTTTACTACCCTGCTTCCCAGGAAGTCCGGGAAGGCCTGGTGAGCCCACGGGGCCGGGCTTGCAGGCGCAGGGCCCCGCGTGTCCTAGACAGAGGATAAAAGGCAGCTTTGTCACACTTCCCAACAAAGGCTTCACTACACAAAATCAATAGTGAAAATAAAAATAAAAAGGTTCTAACGTATACAGTTCTTACAGCAGACAACTGATAAAGTGTGGTGTGGGGCGGGGGCACCGTGTGGAGACACAGAGGCACAGTCTCCATGGGGTGGATATATTGTTTTTGCACAAATGGGGTGTTTTGAGTCTTAATAAACTCGTCTTGACAAATTAATTCTAGGGGAAAATCCGATGTCCAATTCTACTTAAAAAACTTTTAAAATAAGAAAGCCTCTTAAAAGTCTCTTATTTGGTTCTTACTAAAATGACCTCTTACTTGGTCCCTGCTGAAGAAACAATGATGAACATTTGGTTAGAGCATAAACCCTGAACAGTGAAGGGAGCAAAACAATACATGACAAGGGACCATTGAACGCATTGAACATCACAACTGATAATTCACTCCAATGTATTTGCTGATCATCAGGACTTTTAGTCTTAAAAAATGTCTTTAAGATCATCAAATTCATCAGCCGTCATAGCCACCTGACTCAGCTGGTCAAAAAGGCACCGAACAATTTAGGGTAGAGAAATAGCACCATAGGTTTTGGATGAGTCTGGGAAATACGAGACCCTCAGGGAGAAACTGAAATAAAAAGATCAACACTGTACTCCCTCTGCTGCTTCTAAGGAGTCAAGAGGCTCTTGGTGAAAAGTTACCACTTTAAGGCAAATTTCATGGCGGGTAAGTTTCTCCTTTGTATTCTACAACACAAGACTCCGACTTTTGGTAAGATCTAATCACGTGATGAGCACATGCTGAAGTGCAGTACTCATCAGGATAATGAAGGTGAGTACCAGTCTAAGCGAAACGCCACACTGTACCTGTCATACATGACTCCCAGTCCTGCGTGTGTCGTCCCCTAGAAATTCTACCTTTGACGCATACTTGCCTTTTTCTCCTTTTGAGCCGCTTCTTCCGGGAGGACCCATTTTGCCTTTTACTCCTTGTGGTCCAGGATGCCCAACACTACAATATATAACTTTACAGTGGGAAAGGGGATGGGCAGAGACAACCACACAGTTTCTTGTGAATGCCTCCTACAGGAAGTGGAAGTGTCTCTTGCACTAACATTTTCCCCTCAGCCCCACTCTTTCTTCCACTCCTCTCAGCTCTTTCTCTCTCATAGAAGAACACACAATACAATGGGCACATCAGGCTCTGCCACCATAACCTTTGGTAAAACCGTCCTGGTCTCAGCACTAATTAGTGGGTTGCAGAGCAAGGCAACAGACAACAAAACAAGTAAACAAAAAACTAAGAGGAGATGTATCACAAAGATCTTTTCGCCTTTGATTATCAATGTTTATCCAATGAAGAAAGCATGAAGCAGAACTTGTCAAAGCAAAAATTCAGAGCCATCTTACTTGAGCTAATAGCATGCAAGCAACAAGTTCCTTGATGTCCCCCATATTCCAGTAAAATAGCATACAGTAAAAGAGTATTTTTAGAAGGCAGAAAATTTAAAACAAACAAAAGAAAAAGGAAATAATGGCAAAAAATATAAGAAGACTTAGTAGACCTAACAAAGCTGAATTCTACATAGGCAGTAAGGGAAGCAATGAAAGAACAAAATTTACATTGGAAATCCCTCCCGAAGTTCAGGAACTGAGACTGCTGAGGTAGAATCGCAGTGAGTCAGTCCTCAAACAAAATGATTTGTTACAGAAACAGTCAGACTATAAGATCCCCTCCTCAAAAGTTGCAGCAGGATGAAAGAACAGCTCCCCCAAACTGGAGGAAGCCATGCAGCAGGAAGAAAACTTGAAAAGAAACTGTAATTTAAAAAGCAGATGATGAAAGGCACTTTATCCCTGAAACATGAACAGGCTGCTGTAAACATTAAAAGAGAACAATAGCAATGGCAAAATGCTTGGAAATTAGACAAAATACGTGATTATAGAAATTTTAAAATTCAGGAGCAGAGTTGGAAGACAAAATTGAGAAAATATCCCAGAAAGTATTACAGAAAAAAAGTAAAGAATAATAGATTAAAGATTTTAAAGAGAGACATGCAGGATGGACTCTCTGACAGATCACAGAGTGCAGACAGAGAAAAAGGGGAGGGGGGAGGGGGAAAATGGCTTCAAAGAAATAGTTCAAGAATCTATTTTCAGAAATGAAGGATTTGTGTTGGATTCAAACACAAATGTCCACTGAGTGTCCACTGAGTGTCTGCAAATAAATGCAAATGTACCCACACACAAAGAGCAAATCATTGTGAAATTCAAGGACATCAAAATAAAGAAAAACTCACAAACTTCCAAGGAAAACAGATTTCAAACAAATGACCAAGTATCTAAAGGTTACTGAACTTTCTGCAGTGATAACACAGGATGCTAGAAGACAAAGGAGAATGCTTTCAGAAATCTGAAGGAAAAGTATTTCCAACCAAGAATTTTACACTCGGACAAACTGTTGATCAAATTTTACAGGAGACTAATGTCACCTTCAGACAGGTAAAATCCCTTAGGTCTGTACTTTTTCTCAGGAAGCATAACGAGGGAGTAAACCATCGGAAAAAATATGTAAGTTGTAGGAAACACAGCAACAGAGAACAACAGAGGGAGAGATCCGGGATAAGGTGAAAGCAGATCTCAAGACAGCATCTCGGCAGCAGATGAAAAATGCAGTCTGCCCTGATTTGAACAGGTCGAAAGCTCTGGGAGAGATTTATTCAAAAGATAACACTGATAGAATATTTAATGAGTTATAATGGACTATTAGGAGACTCAAGCAATTCTTTTTTTTTTATTTTAAAGATTTTTTAAAAGATTTTATTTATTTATTTCTAGAGAGAAAGGAAGGGAGAGAGAAAGGGAGGGAGAGAAACATCACCGTGTGGTTGCCTCTCACATGTCCCCTACTGGGGACCCAGCCTGCAACGCAGGCATGTGCCCTGACTGGGAATCAAACCAGCAACCTTTTGGTTTGAAGGCTGGCGCTCAGTCCACTGAGCCACACCAGCCAGGGCCGAGACTCAAGCAATTCTATCTGGTGTGGTTGACTTAGCAAACACAGAGAAAACAAGGCCATTGTTAACAAAATGTTGTGCTGGTAAAGTAATGATGTATAGTATTACATATGGCTGCCCTGGCAAATAGCATTTTATAACTATTCATCACAAACACTGAATATTTAACTAAAGTTATTATACTAACTACATTTCCCATTTTACATATATGTGGTTGGGAGGGAGGGGGAAGACAGCTAAACTTGTTTGTATGGTGAGAAGTCAAAAGTTAATGCTCAAACCGAAAAATTAAGCAATAACAATACAAGTATGTGGAATGGCAACACAGAGACAAGTAACAAAAGGTCCAGGAAGGAAGAGGAGAAGGAGTTGCCCAGGGTGGCAGTTCCTCTTAATTGGCTTGGTCTAATACTTTCACTTCTAAGCCAGGTCTACGCACAGCTCTGATAAAAACTAAAACTACCTTTAAAAATAAAAATTACGTTAATTAATCAAATTCTATCATCACACTTAAATTCTCCACCAAATATTTTCATGTACTTTAATTAATGGGATAGTCCAATGTCCATTTACTTTTTGTGGCATTAATAATACTGACTTAGCCCCGGAAATATTAAATCATTTTTAAAAGACTTAGAAAGTCCCAGTTTCCACAAATACCAATTCCAACATGAGTGCTAATGAACGTGAGGGAGGAGCACTTTACCATCCGATCCTGGAGGCCCCTGACGTCCCGGTGCTCCAGGCAGCCCGGGGGGCCCCGGGGGCCCTGGTCTCCCCGGAGCCAAATCCGGCCTCCCAGGAGCCCCTGCCGCCCCTGGGACTCCGGGGTGACCGGGAGACCCTGGCGGCCCTGGGGGTCCCGTTGTGCCTACAAGAGAAATCAAGAATGGAAACCATGTAGACTCTCAGATTAAACTTTTCTGTAGAAGAGATCAAATCAGTGTGTTCTTCCTTGAGCTGTGGACATTTTTAAAGGAGAAAATGTAATTAAAAAAATAACTGAATGTGCCAGCCATCACAATGCCTCACCCCACTGTGAAATGAGCACATGAGTGGAAACAAACAGGTTTGGGGAATCGGATTTCTTTCCTTCTCCCCGTTCTTTAGGATTAGTTGGGAAAGAACTATACATCATGTAATTGAAAGTGTTTTTTCCAGTCTTTCCGCCTTGGTAACTTGGTAAAAACAGTATCAGTAAGTATACAGGGCATAAAATACCACGACAGCTGAGGTCGAAGGGGGAACACGGAGGCCTGGATTTGAACCCGGCCTGTCTCTCTCGGCCCTAGGTACTTTCTTTAACCCTGTATGACTATTCTAGAGGCCAGTTATGAGAATGAACTAACATAATCCATATAAGAAGCTTAGTGCAATGTCTGGACTGGATGCGCAGTGTGTTCAGAGGTCAGAGTAACACAGACGCTACATCCCGCTCCCCCTGGACAGTCTACTCACCTCTCTGGTGGCTGTGGCTTATGGACGGCTGGAAGCCTTGTATGAGAGCGACACCTCTCCCACCCGTGTCTCCCTAAGCACACCTGGTTCTAGACCCTCTCTGCGGAAAACCATAGTTTTCAAAGACGGCCACAGGGTAGCTCTTGTCCCTCATGTTCTGGTAGAACCTTGACCTTCTCCTATCGAGAGGTGGAAGGTCCCCTCCCTTGACTAGGGCAGACCTTTGTGATTTTTGGACTCCCAGAGCACGGTGGGAGAGACACAATGGTTTCCAAGGCTAGATTGTTCCATGTGATTCAGTTCTGCCCTGTGTACCGAGACGCTCCAGACTGGAGTCCGGGCCCACTGTAGAGGCGATCCCACTGCTCCAAAGCACCGTGCGGTGAGGGAGCCCAAGTGAAGTGCGGGGCCCACAGAGAGGCCCTGGGACTGCAGGACAGAGAGAGGAGGGAGAGGCCTGGCCAGTCCTCACATTCCGTTTCCTGCCTGCAATCAAACCTTGATCTAGAATGGCTAAGCTTAGCCCTTCCTAAATTCTTGAACCAGGGAAGGAGAGAAAGGTAACATAATGACTGTTGCTATTTTAAGCCACTAGGTTTGGATACGTTCATTAACAGAAGACTGAAACCCTGTCCATAACCAGTAATACAGACGCTAGTTAAACAGTGGCTTTCCTGATTGTGTGCACCTGTGCTGGGGCTTCACACGCATTTCCACACATTATCTTGACTCCTCCAACAGTCCTGCAAAGTTACACCTTATAGATCAGTCCTGGGAAATGTAGGCCAAGTGTAGTAATAGTAATAATAGCTGACATCAGTGAGTCTTCCCACTATGCCAGGCTATAGTCTAAAAACTGTATACGTGTTACTTCTTCAATCCTGACAAGAACTCCATTTTGCAGATGAGAAAACTGAGGCACAGAGAGGCTTAATAGATGCCCAAGATCACATAGTCTGTGAGTGACAGAGCCTGGAATGTTTGTGGACCGTAGTGTGAGTGCATAGCTATTTCACTACACTCTACTGAACGGCAAGGCTTAATCACAGGTGGCTGACTCCAAAGCCCCGCTTACTGCATGACAAATACTGTAGAAGATTATAAAACAAAATATGTATAATAAGGGCCATGCACATTGGTGCACCTAAGACAAAATGAACATGTGCTTCTGTGGCAGTGGCTGCTGTCTTGTCCTCATGCCACCAACTCCTAAGACCTGACTCCGAATCTCTGCAGACCCCACATGGACCTGGATGCCACCTCGTCCCAAAGCCGGGGGAGATGCTCAGCCGCCTCCCGACAGGGAGAACGGGCTACAGTGCATGGCACACATCAGCCACGAGCACCCATTCATAGAGCGTGAAATAAATTAAGTTGGAGCCAGCATTCAAATATTTTTCAGAAGAGTGGAATAGCCACGAGTGCATCCTATACCAACAAGGGTGTTATTATGTTGTGAAATCTGTTTCAGTTATATGTGCATGTGGATACGCACATGTGTGTGATGTGCTGTGCATACAATATAAAATGATTTCTTACTATGGAGTGTAGTCAAGATTTGAAAGCCACTGGGCTAATTCTTTAAGTAAAGAAAAAATGCTTGCTGAATTAAGAGGCTTCCCATTATATTTGGTTTTGAATCTGCTGGACACCTGTCACTTCCATTGGGTTTTTATTTTGATCTACAAGAGGCACTATTTTATTGCAAACAAATCCAAAAGAGAAAATTTAAAACCAGAGTCTAATGCTTCCTAACCAAAAAGTACTCTTATGGTTTATATGGTCCTGGGTCAGTGAGCTGAAGTTGTACTATCTAAAAGATTAAATGAACGAAACAAACTTCTACTACCTTTGCGGCCACAAGATTCCACAAAGTGGAAGCTGGATTCGTGAAAGAGTAAACAAGGCCACTGTGGTTGACAGCTGACTATCTCAGGAAACTTCCTAATCTTCTCGGCAAATATAAGAAAAGACTCAGACTAGATGAAATTTCGTTCATTCAAGACTTTTCTCAGTTCTCCTGGGCTGAGAGAATGCAAATATCCTCCAAATTTCTATTCCTAATTTCACTAGGAATATCACCGAGCACAGCACTCGAAGGAATTCAAAATCCTTATGTCAACAGAATTATTTCCCAGGCTCTTCATCAAATATTACCATGAGCTACAAGGGTTTTTTTTTTTTAGAGGCAGGAGAAATGGAGACTGTTATTTTTGTTTTGTTTTCTGTTTTAACTAAGGCTGACTCAAAATTTGACTTTTTAATTTAGAATTTGTATTTCCACATTTGATATAGGAGATACAAGTCGGAGCCTAGGTGGATTAAGTCACTTCTGATAATTAGATGTCCAAGGGGAGAAGCCCTCTGAGAGGGTGGGACAACCGGAAGAAACACTCTAACCCTGACAGCGGTTTCCAGGTCTCGTCTGCAAGTGCGATCCTCCTGTGGGAAGCCTCCTGAGGAATATGCAGACACATTCCTCACCACAGCCCTGAGATCCTGACTGCGTATTTCTGAGGTGCAGCCCAGGAGCCTGGATTTCTTCCGAGTAAGTGATTAACTGGTTGGAGTTCAGTCGTTCTTAACCCCGGCTGTGTGTTGGAAATATGAAAGGTTTTTATAATAGCAGGTGCCTGGGTCCCTCCATGAGAGAGGCCAGCATTCTTGGTCTGGGGCAGGCACAGCCCCTAGTGTTTCTGAAACACTCCTGAGATTATTTCAGTCTCAGCTAGAGTTGAGAAGCCCTGGTGTGGATGAGGATGGCGCAGACCTGGTTTATCAAAGCCAGGGGACTCATACCTGGACAGGCTTCCCCTGGTAGACCTGGGGGGCCGGGGGGACCAGGGGGCCCCACAGCCCCCATTTCTCCACAGTGGCCAGGGAGGCCTGGATCTCCCGGAGGGCCTGCCAAAAATAATGACACTTGTGAACATAAATAAATGAATACTTACATTATGAGGTCCACATGCAACTACCTTTTGTGAGGCTTGCTGAAATACAACGGGAGACCATTTTTTCAGTTTCCCCCCACATTTTACATCTTATATCTTAGGTCCGAGCCCTTCGCCTGCCACTGCTCTACAGATGCATGAACTTGGAGCAGCGCTGTCTGTCACCGATTTAGGTCCCTCCTGTCTTGGAGGCGCCATCTGGGTAGGTCTTATTCAAATGGTTTTACGCATATTTTAACAGCTAAAAAACTCTGCTTTCTGAAAGGTGACATGATCAAAGTGCCAGCATGCAGTTTACACACTAAAATAAAATTTGATGTCTTAGGCAGATAGAGATGAACCAAGATGCACACCTCTACCTGTGCTTGTTTAATTACATATTCACATTAAAGCTCATAGAGTCAACCTGCCTAAGGTGCAAACCATGGACATCCTGGGCCCAAGTCTTCTGTCGGGGCCACTGAAACCCCATGTACAAGTAATTAATGGAGGAACTGAATGAAGCACTAACCTTTGAATGGAGGAGGTGGAGTCATCAAAGTCCCTGGTGGTCCTAGGGGCCCACGATCTCCAGTATCCCCCTGAAATCATTCATTCATTGGCTTTTCTTAGAAATAGTAATATTTTTCTCACGTTGCCTAGCAATAAATAAATGTTAGAAGCACCAAGAATAATATATTCATATAAGAAATAAGACTGTAGGCTGACAAGAGAAATGAATAGTTCATGGAGTTCTAGGAAAAACAGACTTTCTACCTATAAGCAGTAATAAATAACCAACTGGCAAAGTTGGCTCAAAAGAAAAAAATGTTGTTCACATCGATAATATTATTCCATACTCATAAATTCAATACCTCAGAAACCATGAAGGGTTCATAAATATACCATGAGCGTTAACGTCTAAATTGACACTCAAAGACAAATAGTTTACTCACTCACGAGACCTGAAGCTACATTTTATTTTAGCAGCAAATATGACCCCCTTCACTGTGTCCCCTTAATACTACCATGGCTTGTCCTGCCCAGCACTGAATGTGAGGTCACACAAGTTGCAAATGAAAGAAAATATTCAATGCTGGTAAAAGCAAAGAACTCTCCCTGGTTCCCTCTGTTTTTAATCATGATGCTATTTGATCCCCATGGAATTCTTTAAACTTTCATTATTATTCACCTTCAAAAGGATCAGCGCTCGAATGTAAAATGGAATCATTACCACAGGCAATAAAATAACACATACAAAATTAACTCTGTCTCTTTCAAAAGGTACATTTCGAATCATTCTCTGAAATATTTTTAAAAATACATGAGATAACACAAGGGCTGGAATTCTGGCAGACAACACTGAAACGGCTCCACTTCTGTACCTTTGGGCCCGGAAGTCCAGGCAGCCCAGGGCTTCCAGGATATCCTTTTTCCCCCTGTAAGGGACCAGAAACATGCCTTCTATTAAAAAATGTAATTTTTAAATTACAAAATTAAACTAAATTAGAACATTATCTTATTCTCATTTTGTTTGAACAACACATGCTCGCAGAGATTCTGTGCAAAATCGTAGTATCTTAAAGCTGCTTTTGGAGTTGTAGGAGTTCCACGCTTTAGTTTTTGTGCCCACAGCTAAATCACATGACTCGCAAAGTGAATGCATCTCCCCTCCAATGACTGCATGCATGTTGGCCTGAGCTGGCACAGCTTTGGAGGGACACTCAATTGCATTTACTAATATTTAGCATCTCCCTATGGTGAACATTTACCTTTAAGCCTGGAAAACCTGGGGATCCATAGGAGCCGGGCTCACCCTAAATCCACAGAAATCAACACCAACAGAATTAAATCAAATGCATGCACCAGTTCAAGGAATCAGATCTCGTGTTATGAAATTGCTCCATGGGCATTTAACCTTATCTTCAAAGGTAGTTGAATAAATGGATATAACTATAGATTCCATTTCCTTGTAACATTTACTATTTTAATTGGTCTTTAGTCTTATTTTTTAAAAATGTATGCCTCACCATGCTTTAAATTGAGAACATATTTTTGTGGGCATTATTCTTCCATTTCAGTATATTTCACTTATGGCTTGCACGGGCTAAATATTTTTGAAATACAGCTTCCCTGGAGATGAACAGTTGCTCCATGTGTGATCAGTGATAATCACCACTCTGGATTCCAAGGCATCCCATTCAATACTAAACCTAGAGCCAGATAAACCTAATGGCCATGCTCACTGAGGTCTGGCCTCCACAGTCACTCTATGAATGGGGATCACAAGAGGGACATGCGTGGCAATGTCTGAGGTCCACTTCTGTGTGGCTTTTCTACTCCTGCCCCATATGAGTATCTTCCTTTATCAAATAGGCTTAAAGGGACTACCGCAAGCTGCTCTCACACCGACACCAAAGCAGGCAGAGAACGTCATGATCCTGTTACTCCCCTCCAACTCTTCTGCCTTCCACTTGCCCATTTTACCTAGATGGTACCCAGGGAAAGGGTGTTCCGGGACTCTGAGCTCTTACACAATTCTTGCTGTCAAAATGTATTGTTCCCGTTTGAGATAAGCCCACTTCTAAGCTCTCATGAATAGTGATCTAGTTTCCTAAAACTGTGAGAGGGAACCACCCCAAACTCACTGGGGCTAAGGGTGGCAGGAGCATCCTTACCCGAGGGCCTGGGAAGCCAGGAACGCCCTTTTCTCCTTTTTCCCCCACACCAGGTTCTCCCTTTAAGAGATGATAACATTTACAAGGGTGCAAACGACAGTGTTTTAGCAATAGAGGATGCAAAAACAAAACGAGAAATAAAAACGATTGCCATCAAGTTGAAGAAAACACCACTTTAGAGTAGACACACCACTACAGCCCAGGTGGCAAACACAAGGCCCGTGGGCTGAATCCGGCCTCCACCTTGTTCTATCCGGCCTGGCACCTTGTTTCTACCCGGCAGCAGTGCTGAGCTCCTTGACACTAGTTAAGGAGTAATTGCATTCATACAGCCCTAAAACTACATTCATCCCTTTGAAGGTAATTACGGCACTGATGTGGCCCCCAGGGAAAAGGAATTTGACACTCCATACTACAGGATTATAGTAAGATGGTGAAAAATTCTAGTAACACGTATTAACATTTAAAGCAATGATAAAAAACATGAAGATGTTTCTTTAAAAATTAAGACAGCGCATCCTACAAGTTTCAAAAGCTACTTCAATCACTTACCTTGGGCCCTGGAGGTCCCGGAGGTCCCGCCACTCCCGGCATTCCTTTTACACCCTAAAAGTCAGAGGGAATGTGATCTGGCTTGTTCTTCGGATTTAATGTACTGAATCCCATCTCTTTCAGAAGCTGCCTCTTCCAACACCCATTCTACTAATTTTTAAAATAAGACATTCCTCTTCAACTGTCGCTCAGTAGTAACTAAGATCCAAGCGCACTTACAAACCTGACACTGTACAAGCCGGTCCTATGTGGGAGACGTAATGCCATGGGGTCGTGGGGCACAGGTGGAGGATGACCCCGGAGCCAGGGTCACAGATGCATGCTGGGAATGCAGCCACTGAGAGGAATGTCTCATTTTGAGCAAATTGAAATATAATCCAGTAACTGAAAATCGTCCACGGAAGCTGCACGTGGCGTCCATTAATATCAGCACTGCAGGTGGACAGGGGGGCTGACCTTTGCCAAGAGTCAATTACGTGCCGAGTTCTATGCATCAGTTTCCCTTTCAACTATCAAACTATCAGCCCAGATGTGACATCTAAAGGACAACTGGACTTCCAGGGGTCTTCTCAGCCCACATGTCAAAATCGACCCAAATGGGGCACAATTTAGCAGCCCACACTAGGTCTGTGCAAACCTGAAAACAATGGTAACCTCTCCAAACCTCCTTTTCCACTCTGTACAATGGGGCTAATAATAGAACCAACCTGTTCTATCGCTTTGGGACTCATGCAGCGACACGTGTGGGTGCCCAGTACCTGGCTGGCACATGTGTGTGCTCAGGCAATATCGGCTATGCTGTTGGATCACACTCTACCAAAGTAGCGTGGGGATTGGGAAGTACCTTCTCTCCTTTATAAAGACTAGAATCCGGCGGCTGTACCAGTAGGGTCGGTCCAGGAGAACCTTGTTGGCCAACCTCACCCTTAAAAATAAATCAAGATAATAGGAATTTCATATGAATTTTATTTTGAAATAAAATTTACAACAAGGAAGATTCTCATCCATATATCATGGTGTAATGCTTACAATTCTGTGTGTCATGGATTTAAAATGAAAACTATGGCAAATAGATGGTGTAATTTTAAATATTCATTGTTTTTCATAAGTGATACACACTTATTGCTTAAAATAAGTTTAAAAAATAAAATTGCCCCATAATCTTACCATCTAGAGATAATCTCCACTAAAACTTTGGTATAGTTCTTTGTGGTGTGAGTGTGCTGTGCATGTGTATATTTTTGTACATATGTGTCTGCATGTAAACATACATATATGTGCATGCTATACATGTGTATATGTATGTATATGTGATCAAATGTGTTAAACACAATTTAAAACATATAACCATAATACTATATAAACCATAAAACATAATTTGAGATATATAATATATTTTATAGTCTATTTAAATTTTAAGTTTTAAAATAATTTTATATATTTATTTTAGAATACCATTTTTATACATTTTTCCATTATCCTAGAAATTTTTCAAAAACCTGACTTTTACTACCTACATAACAATTCATAATAAGAATATACTATCATCTATTAAGCCATTCCACTGTGGTGAGGGTTAGGTTATTTCTAATGTATTTTCAATAATATTTTAAAACTCTATATAAAATAATTAGCTGAAAGTTTTTATTTATGTCATTCCAGATTTTATTTTCTTGGAGGAAAAAAATGTTGCTTGAATTGGGCAGGCCACAGCACAACCATAAATTCTCACCCTCCACTAGAAGATCATTATTTTGTGGTTTTCCGAATATTTCTACTATTCTCCACCTAGAATTACCTTCCACCACAGTTAAGCACAGGCAGCTGAGCGGGCCAGGTGTGTTTGCAAACGTGCCCTTATTGACTGTGTCATTTTGGGCAAGTTCCTCAGAATCTGTCAGCCCTCATTTCCTAAATTCCTCCACACCCCCTTTTCCTGCTCTGTGATTTGGGGATTACAACACTGCCTATTTCAAAGTACTATTTTATGGACTAGATGATGCCTGCAAAATGCTTACTACCCACTACGTTAAGTGAAACAAAGAAAGTGCTCAAATACAGAATCATGAAAACCATTAATATTTTCGGTAAGTGGGATTTGTGGAAAAAGAGTATTGTTTCAAGTTTAAACGAAAAAGCATGACCAATAATTCGATCCCTAACTAATGTTGAAAACCTGGAAGTTAGGGACGTTGGGTACTTTGCGGTGGCTGATGTCCCACAGCACCTGAGACGGTACTGGGGTAGTAGCTACTCTACAGACGGCTGTTGCGGGAACATGCGAGTGGACAAATGCACAAACAACATGCGAGTAAATGGCTAACAGGCGTTGGTACAGATGACTGTGCTTATTCTCGTAGTTGGATAAGCCTGAGCAAAACTCATAAAGGCTAACTAGCAAGAAGCATCTTCAAAATATTGGGCATGCTACTATTTTTCCATATTGTAAAAGTATCATATATTCATTTTAGTCAGAAGTGAAAACAAGATAAATTATGAAGAACAAAATTTAAATGAGCCGTAATCCTATCACCTAGAAAAAAATCGAGAATAACATTTAGGGTAGTGTTTCTTAAAATGGGGTGGACAAACTTGTTCTTGAACATCTGAGAGTTCTGCATAAAAATTTCAAAATTAAGTCTTTATTCGTCTGAGAGTTCAAAAGAATTAAAATAGGCCTATTTTGGATCATTTGAACAGTCACCTCCTACCCAAATATTTGTACTTTCAGTGGTTGGTGCCGGTATCACAGAATTGGCTACATTTGCCTCCCTCCACAAAGGAATGTTTCTCAAACTGGCGGGGCAGGGCTTCTGGGGCTTTGATAAACATATTCCCAGGGGCTCATGACTTCCCAAGTTTGAAAAACATTGCTTTAGTCTATTTTCTCTAAGTTCATGGTTCTCAAGGGGGCGGTGGGGCAACTGGACATTCCCTCCCCGAAGGACATTTGGCAACACTTGTTGCATTTTCGGTTCCCACAGTTGTGGGGGAGGGGATGCTACTGGCATCCAAGGCTTCAGCTAAACACCCTGTAGGGCGCAGGGTGGTCCCTCACAGCAATGGGAAGTCAGAACCGTCCAGGGTGAGACACCTGCTCTAAGTGTAGATTGTGGTGTCTTTTTGTTGTTGTTGTAATTTTTACAAAGTTGAGCTTATACGTGTGTAGCCCGTACTTTCTGCTCAGCCTTCTATCATGGGCACGTCAGAAAGTCTTCCAATATATTTTTGGCAATGTGTCATTCTGTTCAGTGGCTGTACCATAACGTACCCAACCACACGGGGGCTCCAGGAGAGAGGGGTTGGGCTCTGTCTTGCTAAATCCGAACACACAGAGCCAGTGCTACCCTGGCACAGAGCAGATGCCACAGTTTTCTAACTATTTGCCCACAGTTGTTGAAAGAACTATTCACCAACGGTTACATGTTCAGCTTTTTTCCAGAGAAGCTGCCATTTTGAAACACTATTGGCTTGTCTTGCTAAGGTTCATACTTCGGAGGAAGGGACTACAGGTTTGAGAAAGAGAGGGAAGTGGAGGTTGTGTGTTGCTGAATACTTTGGATCCAGTTATTCATATTTTTATTTATGTGTGCAATTTGGAGTTTTGAGGCAATTATAAAGACAAACAAATCAGTAATTAAAATTGCTACTCCAGATATAATGTATTGTCAAAAATGTTCAGTCTCTTTTTGCTCTGGGTGAAGGGCATCACATAAATTAACTTCAATTTAGTGTCTAATTTGGTCAAAACTGTCGCTTTATAGTCAAGGGTAACGGTGCCATAATAATTCAGTGAAGGAAAAACTCAGCCATAAAACCGGGCAGCACTGAGGTAATGAACCGCCCCCACAACCACAGCAGGACATAAACTTTAACATTCGCCCCTCCACGCCAAAGGGATTCTTACCGGGTCTCCCATTTGCCCCTTCACTCCCATGCCAGGATTACCCTGGAAAAAGAAAAAAATAAATTAATCTAATTGCTTTTGAATATAAAGAAACAATTCCAAGCAGGACTTCTGGTTAAGCAATTGCACTCTATCAAATGCTCTGGGAAGTGTAGGAAGAGGAAAGATGCCACCCTAACAAACGTCAGTGGTCATTATTTCGTGGTACCTGCCCTCCACTGGCGTGTTTTACCCGCGGCTGCCTACCTTCACACCTGGACTCCCAGGATGGCCCGGAGGCCCCTACATCAACAGCAAAAACACACAAATAACATTATCAGTCAGAGGAACCAGAACGTGTCTTCGCTGGTTGTCCCAGGCTCCTCTTTAGGACCCCCTTCATTTTAAAACACCCATAACAGACTCCCTGCCCTAGGGGGTAGGACTGCTTGTCACCCACTGTGCCCCTGCTGGGAGGGGTCCACACTTCTAGAAAACTGTGAGCTGATGCGTCAGGTGGTGCCCTCTGAGACCCCACCTGTGCCTGACCCAAGATGGAAATTTGGCTTTTCTTGCTTTGTTTAAAGGTTAGGCCTGGGATCTTAGAGGGGCGTGAGCAGGGCTGTACTTACTGGTAACCCCGGCTCTCCTGGGTCGCCCACGGGGCCCGCGGGTCCTCTAGCACCTCTTGATCCCTAAACATAAGACAATTCAGTTCATTTGTTACCCCAAACCGTAATCAGCATTCACAGCCATAGCTGCATGTAATGCCGAGTGGATATAAACGTCCACAGAAATCAGAACGTTGTCTGCCCACGGGAGCATCGTCCCGGCAGCTCCGCCTCGGCCGCAGGCACAGTGCCAGGAGCACGGCCAGAGCACCCAGCAGGTGCGACGATCTCCCACGTTAGTTTTAAATTAAGCGCCAGAGATCAGTCTACTTATTTATGAATAAATTTTATACTAGCAAAAGCAGAGGACAAAGAAACTGGTTACTAGCTACTCCTAAATTCTGTATGTGTTATAACTTTGTTATGCAGCAGGATGCTTCTTAAATATTGTTTAATTAATATGAAAACATGAATGTATTTATACTCTTTCATATATTTCTAAGCATGCTCCGATGATCAGATCAATGTGAATAGAAATGCTGTCCCTAGTTCAAGACCTAGATGGGTCAGCCATGAACAATTTTCCGTCATGGGTAAGTCATGTGTGATTACACACAGGTTCGTGAGGACAGGTCACTACTACAGGAGGCTTCTTGTTCTCCCCCGACTCTGCCTGGGTCAAAGGATTTGCAGGTATGCCTCGGAATTGCCCTCTCCAGGAGGACAAATCCATGTTTGACAGGGACATCAAGGATTACGTAGAACTGAGCTTCCTCACTAGTAAGGAAACCAACTTGTCTACAGCCAGAAGTTACCGAGCAAAATTATATAGGTTCACCGCTGGGAGGCAAAATTGATCTGAGTGCTAATCTTGTAAACATTGGTAAATTACAAAGACGAGTCTAATCATTGAATTACCAGTTCCAGGGAGAGGAAAATGGAGCAAAACATAAATTACAACACACAAGGACAGATTCAGCGGGCAAAATCATTTCTGCGGGATACACAGGGTGGGACAAAAGCAGTTTTGTGGTTGTAAGTACTGCAAACACAGAGTTTATTCTTGTGTTATTATCTATTAATCATTGTATTACTTTTCTATACAAACAAAACATACATTTGCTCCCTGCCCGCCCCCTCCCCCCCGTGTATTAAGTTTCCAGGAAGACTTCCCTTCCCAACTACTAAGCGACTGCATGCACCTGAGCAACCCCGAAGGACCCTTAAAAGTGGAAGAGGAAAGGGCCCCAGACGTGTGTGGAGATCCCCACCCGGCCTCACGGGTGGGCGACCCAAGCAGCCACACCGGCTTTCCCGCTTGTCTCAATGCCCTGCTGTCACCGTCTTCACTGACTCAATCGTGAGCAAGGGACCCACATTTTCATGTTGCACTGGGTGGGCCCTGCAAATGCTGCAGCTGGGCCTGCTGGGATACAAACCAATAGGCTACCTGGGATCAGACAGAAGCACACGCATGCTCAGACTTACTGGTAAGCCGGGAGGTCCTGGGTCCCCTCTGTCACCCTGCAATAATGACACATTGCTTTAGAAGAGCAGCACCATTTCCTGAAACACACGTGACGTAAGAGTAGGAACACATGCACAGGAGTTATTTGGACTAGTGAGCAGCTGTTCGGTCTGTCAGCGTTGAAGAGATACATGTGGAGGGCTCTGAGGCTCGACCCCAGGCCTCCAAAGCCTGGGCCCAGATTCTGCTTCTAATCAGCTAAAACAGGGGAAGATGCTGGAGCTCTGAGCACGTGGAATCAAGGCGAGATTTCATCTTCCAATTTACGGTATTCTAAATCCTCAACCCAACGGTCCTGTCTCATCACAGTTTCACTGTCTCGGGTCCTGTCCCCAGACCCTGTCTCGCTCCACAGGCCCCCTGCTCCTTCCGTCCTCCTGGCTGTAGATGTGGGGGGGTGTCGTATGGGAACACACTCCACCCGCTTCTGTGCACGGCTACCGCTCTATGACTCTGCCCTGAGGCTCCACCTCCTCGAAAGGATCTAAGGGCGAACATCCTTTAAAAGTATGCATTTTCACTGTTTCTAAGTGTGCAGTTCTGTGGCATTAAGTACATCCACACTGTTGTTCAACTATCCCCACCGTCCACCTCCGGAGCTTTCCCATCTTCCCCCGTGTGAACTGTACCCCTTAAACATGAACTCCCCATCCCCCTCTCCAAGCCGCTGGCAAAAACCATTCTCCTTTCTTGTCTTCATGAATCTGCGTACCCTAGAAACTTCTTGTAAATGGAATCACACCTTGGCCCCTCTGTGACTGGCTCATTTCACTTAGCACAGTGACCTCAGGTCCATCCACGCTGTCACATGTGTCAGAATCCCCTTGTTTGTAAAGACTGAGTGATGTTCCATTGCATGTACAACCCATGTTCTGTTCATCCATGCACAGCTCAGGGACACGTGGGTTGCTTCCATTTTTGGCTATTGTGAATAGTGCTGCTATGAACCTGGACATCCAAATACCTGTTTTTTAGTCTCTGCCTTCATTGCTTTTGGATACATACCAGAAGCAGAATTCCTGGGTTGCACTTTAATTACACGTTTAACTTTTTTGAAGAATTGCCGTACCATCTTCCATAGCAGCTACACCATCTACATTCTCACTGGCAATGCACACGGCTCCAATTTCACCCTATACTTGCCGACACGTGTTATTTTTCATTTTTTTCAGTAATAACCATCCAAATGTGCGTAAAGTGAATATGAGCTCTCAAGACCATTATTTCTCCAAGGTTTTTAATCCTGTTTCTCCCTAAGATGATGAATTCTCTATATCTACCTTCCCTTCCCCCTGACCTGTTCTCTCTTACACAATTACAAAAAATTCTCCCCATAACAAACGTACGGCAAATTAGTTTACAGTATGCTGCACTGTAAATTATCACAGCCGATCATCAGTGCTGAGAAGAAAACAGGACAGCTATCACTTTAATTTTCTTCCACAAACAAGGAAACGGAGGCTCAGGGAGGTTACGGGGTCAAAGTCACAGCAGGAAGCAGAGCCACTTCCTTCTAAATGTGCTGGCTCCTGAGGCGGCCCCGCCTTTGATGCCGAGTTTATTAATAGATCATTTAGGCCATTAACAAAAGCATCCTCTTCGCTGTCTAACAAGTATAAATAGGCACAGATGCCACAAACACGCCGTGTGAGCTCACTAAAGGGACTGCCATGCAGGGGCACCCACTCCAGGTGGCATGAGACCCGGGGCCTAGCAGAAGCAATCTACAACTAGTCTTACCTAATGGTTGTAGAAGATTCTACCTGATGACAAATGACCATGCCTCAAAAATGTACCGGGTCTCTCCTCTCGATCTATTGTCCTTCTGCTTATCTGTGGCTACTCATCTTACAGAGATGAGTTGGTCATTCAAGAGTGTGTGTCTAAATATCCATGTATTATTCTCTGCTATAAACAGAAAAGCACGTAATTTATGAAGGGGAGTGCTTTAAGGTCCCCATAGTTTCCATGTTGACTTCTATTAATAGGGGGATACGAGTATTAACGTTACATTTTAATTACAAATAAGCAAGTGCTCCTCAACGGGGAACAATTTTCTTCCCAGGGGGTGTTAGGTGATGTCTGAGATACTGTGTGGGCGGGACTGCTACTGCCTTCTAACCGGCAGTGGCCAGAGATGCTGTTTAACATCCTGCAATTCACAGGTGAGCCCGTGCACAAATGACCAGCAGGCCCCAAATGTCCCTAGGGCCACGGTTACAGACCCTGAAAGAACTGTATGGTCGCAACTCTGCAAAAACAGCTGGGAAGCTGAGGAATGTTCCAGCAGAGCAGCTGAAGCCAGGCGCCTCCACTCAGGAAGTGCAGTGCCCACAGAGGGTCGCGGTGATGATGAGCACCAGTGTGCTCCGGGACCTTCCGAAGGAATCCTCAGTCCTTGTGATTCCTACATGGGTTTTCCTATGTCGGGAAAAATTTACTTTAAACACACCATGACCACAATGCTTACCTGCATACCTTTGATGGCACCAAAAATGAACGCAGAATTTCCTTTTTCTCCAATTTCCCCCGGAAGGCCCTGAAAATAAAATATTCACTTAAAAGATGACAAAAGCATATTACTATTTCAGCGTTTTATTTTCCATGTGAGTAATACTGAGTTGCCACATAAACATTTTAGCCCTTTTCGTGTATGGGGCTTCTGCAGAGGACATGCAGATGTCAAGGTTAATCCCTCTCGGAAGAGCGCCTGACTTTGCCTCCAGTGGGACCTGCAAATGGCTCAACGGCACATTCCCCCATCAGTCTCCTTGAGAAACTGATTAGATCGCCTACACAGGCAGCCCTTGCTTCACACAGTTCCAACGTGCATGCATTTTGGTCCCATGGTTCAGTTACATAGCACGAGTCCTCCAGCTAAACGGTTCAAATTGCAGTCACCACTGTGTACTAACTGAGTAAGTGCATGGAGTACGAACTTCACTGCCACCCGTGGGACCGCAGATCACGCATAAGTAACAGACAGGAAGCATGGTCACTGGCTGATCACATTACCCCTTTCAAAGTCTACGACTGGTCGCTGCACATCTGTTAGTTCACACGCACCCACAGGAACAGCAAGGTGTAGAGTTGTGCTAACCCTTATGTCAGTTATAACTCCAATGTCATGGCATAAGGACAAATCACTGAGCGAGAGAATTAGCCAACAAAGATGCAAATGAAGTGAGGAAATAAAATATAGCAACGTTGGAAGGGCAGTTCAAACAGAACATAAATGGAGCCACAGAAGAAATAACTGAGCGTGTACTCCACTGTCATCTGAACCAGAAGAACTGGGTAAGACCTTAGAAAGAGGGAAGTGGTTGTGACCAAAAGGATGAAGATGAGCCGGAGGACGTGACACAGACAGAAAATTCCACACAAAGAAACTCTTAGAAATATTTCACAACATGCAAGCTGACCCAAACTTAGAAAAGAACGTGACGATGCACCAAAGCACAGAAAACACACTTCACGTTACAAGTTCCATGATGAGAAGACCAGCACTATTCAAACTACGTGTGATAAGCTTTTACAAAGAACTACCACTTTCATTCTCCGTGTGTCTAATGTTTTAAATTACAGGGTACTAAACATTAGTTTCTTTTAAAGTTTCCCTACATATTTATAACGACAAATAATCACCTTCAAAGTTTTAACAACACATTTTAAAGGACATGGGGCAGTGCTAATTTTTTCCCTTGTGTGTTAAGCTTGCTTGGTGTGGTTTCAGCTCACGTGATCATTTCAGGTCTCACACTGCAGAGCACAGTGAGGACTGCCGGCATGTGAGTCAAAGTAAAGGGAGCTGCCCTGTCAAGAGACCATTATGGTCCTGTGGACAGGACTCCAGGCTGCTCTCCCGAATATTGATGGACACTCAGTAGAATGAGGTTGGACCCAATGTGGAGCTCTAGGAAACATGTGCTGACCAGAATGACCGAGTTTGGAAACAAAGGGTGGTTGAGAAGCGGAGCACTACCGAAAGCTGGCTGTTGTTCTTACTTGACAACCCAAGAAAGGTGCAGGTGTGGAAATTCCTTCTGAGTTCTGCATTCAGAGCGATCCCACCAGAGTCTGGAGCAGAAGGAAAACTCCCGGGAAAATAGGAGAACTCTGGTGGGAGGGTGAGAACATCTTTTAGAGGGAAACTTGGGAAAGGTGTTTCACTAGGGAAGTGGAAGGGCTGAAAAATAGTCACAGAAAGTGAGTTTTGGAAGGCCAAATCATCTCCAATCTTTATGTGAGAACAAAAAATAAAAGAGAGAGAGAGAAAGGGAATGTGAGGGGTAGATGAAAGGGTACTTCTAACTGTGTTATGGCCAAATAAAAGTCTAAAATTCTTAAGAAAAAAAAATATGTAAGAGCAGTAAAGAGTTCTCAGGTGCTAGATATTGTCAACTGGTTCTGGACATCATTCCAATCCCCTTCCGTGTAGCTATTGCATTCTGGGGACTAGAAAGTGAAGAACGACATTTCCCAGACCTCTTTGCAGCTGGCTATGAATTAGGTTCCGCCCAGGGAGGCACTCAGGAGACCTGGAGGGCAGAGGATGGGAGACATCCTGTTTCCGGTACTGCAGACAATGCCAAGCAGAAAGGCAGAAACCTGTGTGTTTGCGGGTGTCCCCACGTGGGGACGACAGAGCAGCTTCCCGACTTCTGGCTATCTCAGGGACGCGTAAGCCTTTGAAATCAGCAGTCCCATGGTGGCCCCTGAGTCCCACTCCTCCCACCATTAAAACAGTGCCAAATGCCCTGTCTTAAGTCCCTTTCTGTTTGAAATAGTGAGAGGGATTTACTTGTGGGTCTGCAGTGAACCCTGAATGATAAACGACATAAGCTTTGCTAACAGGCCTCCCTGATCCCTATTACAACAGCCAGGAGCATCTTAATGGCACACAATCAGGTCATCTCTATTCCTTCCTTAAAACCATCCATAGCTTTCATATGGCTTGGAAAGGAATCCAGCCCCCTTCCATAGTCTACAAGGCCCCAAGTGGTCTAGGTCTCACACTCCTCTCTGTTCACACCCACCATCCACCAGGCCCTACACGCCAGTATTCACTCTGTTTCCTTGATACTGAGTCTGTTCCCACTGTGGGTCCTTTCACTTCCGATTCCCATCAGGATGAGCTGCGGGTGCCTTACTGGAGGGCCTTTGGGACCAGGAGCCCCTCCTGCCCCTGGAAACCCTGGATCGCCTCTTGATCCATTGTAGCCATCCTGACCAGGTTTGCCTCTGTGTCCAGGAGGCCCCGGGTGTCCCTGCAGGAAACAGAATGATGAGTGAAGCATGTGCGTCTCGAGAATATCAGGACACAAAGATTACGCAATACGGGAACCCAAAGTATGGTGATTGTGATTCGCATGGTGCTTAATTTTGTGAGACTTCCTGCCCCATCTCCGCAAGTGCTATGCAACACACCCAAAATCAACAAAAAAACGTGAATACGCCCCCACTTTAAACTCACTCAGTTTGGAGTATTCCGGGGGATTTGGGAGGAGACCTTTCTTCAAATCCTTAGAAAGACTAATGAATAGTAAAGCCCCCCAAATACCTCTTCCTTCTTTTATTTGGTTTTCAGATTAAAAATGAGAATCTTAAACCCATTTCCAAAGTCAGAACTCACCAGCTAGTAAAAACTTTCATTGTGAATATATATCTATTCACATAACACCCTACTTGACAGGTATATCTAGCTAAAATTTTGAAATGTTTTTCTCTAACTTATTTGAAAACCTTGCGATTTGAGGAATATATTTCGGTATAGGAGTTACTCTACAAAACTGAAATACAAGCAGTCTTTTTGTCACTGACATGAGAAAATAAAGAATTTTATATATCTATAAATTTATATATATACCTATATAGAGAGATATCTATATATATAAAGGGTTTTGAGGAATGTTTCTTCTGTCTTTAAAAAAGTGGAGAAAATTTAGGGATACTTACAGGCAGACCATCCAAACCTGAAAATCCAGGAACACCAGTTGGACCCTAAAATTCCAGACAATAAATCAAATGGATAAAAGTTACTACGTTATTAGACGAACAAACTGATCTACTTGAAAACGTAAATAATTAATGCTCATTTCTTTAGAAAACAAAAACACTTAGCAGTCATTGTTATCTATTTTTTATAAGAGCTTAAATGCCAACATTTAAGAATCAAGCTTCTGAACTTTTTTTGTACTAAGGAAGCCAATGTAGCAGCACAAATTCAGTGAAAATATTCAACACCCTGTAAGCTGGAAATTCAACTTCTCAGAAATGTCTATCACCGAGAAACCAATTCTTAAGTGTGAGCACAGGTGATGCACAGGACTGTTTTCCCACACTTCTGCACACGAAGTTTGGGCAGGGTCTCCAACGCTCATCAATGCAGAAACTATAGTGTTATCCACTCTACAGCATGTTCTACGGTATTTTTAGAGGAGTAAGTTCAGTCTACACAAATGCATATGGAATGATCTTTAAGCTACATGGTTGGAAAGGAAGGAAGGAAGGAGAAGAAAGAGAGAGAGAGGAAGGAAGGAAGGAAGGAAGGAAGGAAGGAAGGAAGGAAGGAAGGAGGGAGGGAGGGAGGGAGGGAGGGAAGGAAGGAAGGAAGGAAGGAAGGAAGGAAGGAAGGAAGGAAGGAGGGAGGGAGGGAGGGAGGGAGGGAGGGAGGGTTGTTTTTTCAAGGGACCATGGAAAGGTACAAGTCCCCAGGCCATACAAGAGGTCTGGAAAGACATGCTCCTCTGGGAAGGGATAAGGGAAGGAGGGCTGATTACCAACGAGGGGTTTAGACTTAATTTATTGCAATGAGCAAGTAGGTACTGCTGGTGAGTATAAAAACGAATTGGCGTAGTAATGCAGGTAGGAGGTTACTAGGAACCTTTCCCTCAAGAAGAGGTTTACCTTATCTCCTCTTTCACCTGCTGCTCCTGGATGTCCACTGTCCCCTCTCATCCCTTTCTCTCCTGGAATCCCAAGGGGTCCTGGAGGTCCCGGCGGTCCAATAGGACCCTGGGGCCCTGGTGGTCCTGGTTGTCCCTAAGAAGGAAGATTGAAAAGGGAGGTGGACCGATTCTTAAGTAGTGTCTTCTAACAAATACATGGTCACTGGGGCTTACAGAAGACTGGAATATTAGAGATCAGCAAACTCTAGTACAAAAACACAAATGATCAATTCATCACAAAATAGGAAACAGCGCCACTGCCTCGTTCAACCTGACTTTGAGCAGTAAATTTGAATCACTGCACCTACTTGTCTGTAAACCGACAACAGTTCTCTTACTATCTTCATTCTGCCAATGGCATGGGTCAACCTCGTGCCGTTTAGTGAAGCCTGGCACTTAAAAAGAAAAACCTCCAAGTCTAATTACCATAATGTTAGTGTCACAAGCTAAGGGGAGTGGGCGGAGGTGACTGCCAGAACTTCTGTTCACTCAAAATGGCTGAGGATTCGTGTGGAGAAAACATTCCTTCTGGTAGCTGCTTTTGCTCCACTTCTTACTTGTAAGTGTGAAGGAGGCCATCTGTGTCACATCATGTCTGTGCAATGTGCCTTTCCTTGAATGAAAAGATCACCTCTTACTTCAGGTGTAGGAGTTTCATGAGCTCGGTTTCCCCAGAAACCCACAGGGGGCGCTCTGGCACAAAGATGACGAAGCCCCTGCTGCCTGGGTTGGACTGAGGCACTGGATTCACGTTCAGTGACTGCCCCTTAGCAGCAGCCCCAAGTCTCCTAGCTCCTTCTGTCCTGGGAGAGGCAAGTCTGGCCTCCCAGGAGCACCCTCCTGTGGCGCCGCCACCGCCCTCCCCTCCCCCTTCTCCGCCCTCCCCCCCCCCACCACTCCCTTCTGGGTCCCGTGCTCCTCTCATTATTATCATTATCATCGCTACTGTTAACTGAGCATCCATAAAAATACTACAAGCTTAGAATGTTCAGTTTAAATGTATAAATATGTGTTACAATAAAAGAACAGAAAAGTATAGAATATAATTACATGGGCACAAACCATGTGGGGGCATTTTGAGGGCAAATCAATTTATTCCAGAGCGTGCACAAATTCTCAACGACAGTCTGAACGTAAGAATATATAATGAATTCAGCGGACCTTTCCTACCTACGTTAATTAATCTTAGTTACTTAATTACCATAAGTTAAAAGTTCCCTTTTTTCCTAAATATAAGGCTTAGGAAATCACTGGGGTTTTTTTGTTAAGTTTGGGAATTACCTTTTCATCTTCCATGTAATTTATACGAAAAGTCCTAAATTATCTTTTGTGAATGCTGTATTGTGTAGAACAACAAAATACACCTTCGAACACAAAAGGGTGAGTGGGAAAGAGACAGCCAATTAACTGCCTGTAAATCTCTCTAATGTGTTTCATTTTAGATCCGAAAGGCTAAGCCCAGCGGGCTAATGGAGAAGATAAAAAGAGAGGAACGTTGAACACAGTGCAAGAATTACATGACTCTATTTAGGATAGCCACGTGTCCTGGTCTGAGAAAGCACCACCTAAACCGCTCCCAAGGAGAAATAAATCAAGGATAGTCGTTGGCATTATTAAATTCTTTGTCCCCATCTCCCCCCTCCTCCCCTGCCCCTGGTCTGTCACACTGACTGCCCTGACATTTCTGAGCAAGCTCTGTCCCTTCTCAGACATCGGTGGTCTGTCCCAGAAGAGTTCCTCCAATCCCCGCAAGTCGCCTCTCAATTCCCCGCCCTGGGAAGACCCTCCGACTTCTTGCCCGGCCCCCCACACCCTTCAGAACTGGATGTCTCTCCAACCTGCCTCTGTAATAACACTTCTCACCTGTCCCTGCAGTCAGTCCTCTCCATCCTCCCAGCTGCACAGCCACCAGGCCGTGAACTCCTGGAGGGCAGCGGCTGGGTGCCCAAGGTCAGGATAGTAAGTGGGCTCCTAGGTGCCCAAGGTCAGGATAGTAAGAAAGGCAGAGGACAGTGAATACTTGATTAAATAATAGGGTCAGACCCCACCCGCCCACCTCAAGGGAAGTCTGAGTAACAGGAAAAGGAGCTGCTTTCTCGTATTTCTGAACTGCCATCCCCACAGCTCTGGCTGAAAGTAGCTCAAACCTGCAATGAAGATGACGATGATGAGTTGGAGGAGGAGGAGGGTCCGGCCCCAGAGCGAGCAGTTCACCAGCGCCCCCTCAGCACTCGCCCTGAGGGCAGCTCTGCCGGCGTCCTTTGTTGTTGAAATAGAACAGGGGCCTCAGACGCCCTCATTTCAACCATGCTAAACGGCAAATACAACCTCTACTTTGCAATTGGAAAAGCTACCATAAAACCCTAAATGCTACATTTCAAAGGTTGTTGAAAAACCTCATTGTTTGATTGATATTTAGTTCATTTTTTCATAGGAACAGCTATTTAATAAAGGGTAAAAAATTTCAAAGAAATACATCAAACCTTATACGACAGTATTAAATCTGTCAGAAAGCTGCTCATGAACATTTCCCAACTACCAATCTTCAAAATAGTCACTGTTAGCTCGCCAAATTTGAGTAATTAATTTATCCATAACAATGTAGACAATAATTCCATTTCATTAAATTACTTCATTTAAAGGAGGGGTCAGGAGAAAACAACCATGGTTACAGATAGGTACTTGGGCTTCTTATTTACTCACTATAATAGAATTAACTTCAGAATAAACAGGCATAAGTAACAGGCCCGTGATAGATACATCTGTAACAAAAGAATCATTAAATAATCACAGAAGTTTTTTTATTTTTTAAATAATGTTTTTAAAGAAATATTCTGCTCCTAACCATGCACCCTTCACCCACAAACAATAATGTGATACAAAATTAATTGCTACACTGCATTCAATCCAACAACAACAAAAAAATGCCCCGTGGAATGACTGGCTTGCACACGTGGTGTCCTGATTTATTTTTCCTACTGTGTACACAGAATTACCTCTGTGATTTACAGCTTTTCGTGACAGTGAAGTCAGAAAATGTATCCCCTGAATCCAGAAATGACAATTGGACACTTTATCATGCCATGTCAAGCCACCAGGTCATCTTTCCTGCCTCTGAAAAGCCACTGTGTCATCGGACAGGTAGAGGCACCTCCCTTCTGTGGCCACAGCAGCGCTGGGCTCTGGGGCCAGCTGTGTAAATAAAGGACACAGGCCATCACAGCGGGCAGAGCAGTCCTTTCAGATTCTGTCCGCGTGAATCGGCTATGTCGATCACATTTCTTGAACAGGACTGAGATCGAATGCTTTTTATTTCACAGCTTGGTAGAAGAAATCAACAGATAAGAGAACATATACATTTTTAAAGCCAAATCTTCAATCAGACTTTGAGGCCGCCCCTGATCTGCTTGTCCCTGGGGGCCAAACGCTGTCCCCAAACAAGGAAGCCTGGGGAGGCAGAGATTCGAACCCATTTCCTCTGACTTCAGAGTTGCTGCTTCCCTCTCCACCCCAGTCGTTCTAACTCCCTGGCCTACAGACCCTCATATTCACCCGAAACGGTGAGCTCACCTTTTTTTTTTTTTTTTTTTTTTCATTTTTTTCATTTCATTTTTTTCTTGTTTCGTGCCTACTACTTCAGTAGCTGCTTGGATGCCTTAGAGCCAACTTCTTGAGGCCAGGGGTCCACGTTCGCTGTTACTTGAACCTTGGCCACTGCCTTGCGCAGTATAAATTATACACACACTCATGAAATGCTGAATCGATTAAGACTTTTATAATTAAAACTAACAAAGCAGCATTCAGCGGCCCCTTCCTGTTTTTTGAATGCCTGATTGTAATGCGAATATATCACCACTAGGTGGCAGGATAACATCGCTCACGCCCTCCAAAGGGCTCCCGCAGCGCAAATCCTTCCACTGGGGACCCCTCCCCTGTCACCGGGGAGACAGCTGGAGGTCGGACGGGTTATGAAAACAACGGAAGGTGCCACTCCAAGATCACACGGTGTGAGGAGAGTAAACTGTGGTGGCGGACTTTTCCTGCACCCAGGTTCCCTCACTTGTTCACGAGGGAATCGATCGGTCAGTTCAGCCTGGAGTAGCGTTGACTCGGGATTTTCAGGGGTGTCCTCAAGGGACAGCCGTGGACAGAAAGCTGCTCAGAACCGGAAGACACGGCCTTGCCGCTGAACAGTAAGGTCCCGCTTGGGCCAAGTGGAAGAGTGGTTTTTAAAAATGGCACAATATCAGCCCCACATCGTACACCGGCTGTGGGCACCGAAGGAGGCCGCGTTGCCAGGTTCCAGCTGACTGTCGCAGCTTGCTCCTTGCTCTGGCCTCTCTCCGGTGTCCCTGCCCGCTCTGTGTTTTCCTCCTCCCTCTGTCCTCCGTGCTGTTCCCCCACCGGTTCTCCTGCAGCTCCACAAGACTGCCCGGGCCCCTTCTCACGTTCTCTGATGCAAGCTCGTCCGTTCCCAGAAGGTCGACTGCATGCATCTCTGAATAATCACTCCACCTCTCTTCTCAGCCCAGACCTCTCTTTCTGAGCCCTGGTCTTTTATCCACCTGACCTCCAGCTCCATGAATCCAAATCTGAACTCGTGGATGTGTGTGGTCACCACGCCCCCCGCCTCCCCCTCCCAACACACACATGCGCGGGCAGCTGCTCACGCCTCATAGAGTCCACCCCAGCGCCTCTAACACCCACGGCTACCTGCCCCACACAGAGTCATCCCCTCCTTCCTGTCAATTCTGTCTCCCAAATATTCCCAACACCCACCCACTTCCCCCACCTCCGCACTCACCCCCTTGCTAAGCCACCACGACCTTTCACCTGCAGCAGACTCCGGACAAGTTTTCCCTAATATTGTCTGTCACGCCACCACTTCCTCTCCAAACAGCAGCCAGAGGACCTCACAGGAATCCCACCCGCCTCCACTCTCTTTAAACTCTCTCACAGCCTTCCTATCGCCCAGGATAACCTGGATCTGCTTTTCTAGCTGCATCTCATGCCCCTCGCTCCGTCACCTACTCGGATCCAAACTTTGGAACCGCCTAGTGGTCCCTCTAACGTGCCAGCCTGTCCCTTTCCCAC